GTCTGTATCACGACATGAATCGACGAAGCCTTTTCTTGTCATGTAGTCGCTCATCCCGGACGACATTTTAGAAGAGCTGCCAGATGTTGTAGCCTCACCGATGATGTCGTCTCTATCACGGCAAGTTGTAGCTTCAAAAGGGATCGGCCCTTCCTCGAAAGTATCAGGCTCATAGGCAGTGAGCCACTGTCGAGTCTCTTCCACGGTCGCGTCGCCGAAACGCTTATGAACAGCACACTGCACGATCGTGTCTGCGGCTTTGCTTAGAACTGCAGGTGATCATGTTGCAGGTTCAATCATGCTGTGGTGAAAGACCTACTAGAAGAAGGTATCCTAGGAGTTCTGGGAGAAATAAAAAGTCCTAGAAGATGAAGTCAGAGTCCTCAGAGAGCGAGAGCTGCATATATTATTAAATGATATTGGAGGTGTACGAGTAGAGCATGTTGCTAGAACAAGTAGTAGTTGCAGCTCTACGTCTACCGAGCGGCTGCTTTTCCTTTTACATTATATCAAGAACCATTGCCATTCTTAACGTATTTGCTATCACTAGCAGTCTTCCCGAGAGGTCTTTCTTTGCATCTTCGGAGGGGACTTTACTCAATAGCTTCATCACATCCGCCACATCCTCTTCGTCCAGTAGGCGAGATTCCTCACGCCAGTCGTGGGGTGAAGATGTTTCGTCGCCTTCCTGACCTGGTCCAGATATCAACTTTGAACTACTTCTAGCAGTTGCACTTCCGCTACCACTACTGGAAGATGCCTCTCCTTGTCCTTCCTTAGCCTGAGAAAGTAGTGGCCTCAATCTGCGCCTCAACATACGCCTGCCAACCTCGAGGAGCTGTTCTGGGGAAGGAACCGCATCTTCTAGTGACGCCCATATGTTTGTCAGTATGTCTTTCCTCACCTCCGCTAGTTTTTCCTTGTCCTTGGCGAAAGGATGGATTAGAGGATATAAAAAGAGACTTTGACCACGAAAGGAGTCGTGTAGCGACCTGCTGATAGGATTCGAACCGGCTGACCCTTTCCCTTTCGACAACTCTAGGACCCGACCGTGCGTTTAAAAAAAAGTCAAGCGGTTCGAATCCTATCAGTATGCTACTACTGACGGCACCAGAATAATCAGTAGCCACATGCTGATAGGGTTCGACCCGGCGCTGACATTCCAGACGCTCCGGGAAGCGTTTAGGAGGTCTGCCTGTTTGAATCCTATCAGGCTACTAACGCCGGCCCGTTAATATTGTGTTGCTCTTCTTGAAAAGTAGTACTAAAAAGGATTTCCCGAAGGAATTAGATTCCCCTTCCATAAAGCTTCCAAGTAATATGCATTGTTTGAAGTGAAATCCTCGAAAACTTGACTCGCTATAGATGTCATGATCCCTCCACGCGCCTTTGCGATATGCTGTAAGAGCCTTTCCGTCTCCTTCTGGCTAAACGAGTCTAGAATCCCAACATTTTCTTGTGCGTCTTGTTCTAGTTGACCTGCTAGTCCTACTTCTGCTGCTATTGCTAGAGCAGAGAGGTCACGACTATGATCACTTTGTTCAGAAGATGAACCGTGTCCTTCTAGAGAACAAGCGCCACTAGATGTTGCTGGAGGAACTGGAGCTTGCCCTAAAGAAGTTGTTGGAGGCTGTTCTTGAAGATGTCGTGGTGCAGTGGTGTCGTCTTGTTTCGACTTCTTCTCCGATGTAGCTCCTTTGGTCCCTCGTTTTCTCTTCAAGTTTCCTTCCGAAGAACGTTCGTCATCCTTCTCTTCCACATCAATTTCTTCTTCATGCACTGCCGAAGGTCCTCCACCCGAACTTGTTCCTTGATTTTGTTGTTTTTTCACCTTCACAAATTGCGAATCTATTTTCACTTCTGCAACCGAGAAATTCTTGTCTTTCGGATTTATTGCTGCACCACTAGTAGAGCTAGCGGCATTACTAGATGTTCCTCCTCCTGAAGCCCCCTCTTCACCAGCTTGTCTTCCCTCTTCTTCCGCTATAATTAGAGGTAGGTTTTTCGTTTTTGGTGCTCGCTTCCCCCGCTTTTTATGCCTTTCTCCCTTAGGAGAGGCATAAAAAGCGGTAAGAAAAGCACCTTTTTTAACCTACTCTTAATATAACATCCAAGATGCAAAGCAACTCCGATCTTAGCCAAGTTCGAGTTCCTGTGTCTTCCATTTCTATCTGAAAGGCACGACCATCCTCTCGATATCCTATCACCCGCGACGTTGAAGATGCTTCTAACCGGACATGGGGAGTCAGCTCTGCCATGTCCTTGGAGGAGACCACTGCTCCATCTACATCTGGTCGTGGTGACAATGATAAATGACCCTGTAGAAGTTGTTCTTGTGCTGATGTACTAGTTGTGCCACTACGAACACAACTACCCGTGGCTCCGGTGCTATCTTGCTGTTTCTTGTCTTTTGCTGCTTGGATTCGAGAACGCAATGAAGACACGGAGGTTGACGCATTCGCATTCATCCGTCTTCGCCCTCGTCGTTTGCTCATAGCATTCGCGGCTGCGTTAGTACTAGTATTCCTCAAGGCGACGTCGACCTGAAGATCTTGGCTGTAGTCATCTTGATCGTCTTCGTCAATATCTTGTTGCTGCAGCTCTTCTACCTCGTCTACATCGCGGCGAGTTAGCATCTGCTCATCTCGCTTTCCTTGCGTTTCACTGAGTGAGGGTCTCAATGCTCGCCCAGAGCGAACATCTTCAAGATCGTCCTCTCTCTGCGCTGCAAGATCCAAAACATTTGCAGATAGCACAGACTCCCGCAGCCTAACTCGCGATCCCAACGGCAAAAAGTGCTGGATAGTCTCCAAATCCAGTGGCGCGCCTAGCAGGGACATAGATTGAGGGGCTCCACCGTTAGGCATGGAGCACGTGAAAGTAGTGCTAGAGAGTAGTACCGGTCCTTCTCCAGGAGGTCGTGCGACAGTGTCTCCAGGAGAGTGAGAAGTAGGTCCTTGTGACAGAATAGGACTATAAGAACCTGGTTGTAAAGGTGAAGGCGACGGTAAACTAGATGAAGTAGAGCCACCAAATAAAGTAGCCGCTCTTGGTCCAAGGCCACGCTCAAGAAGTATATTCGCGTGTTCGGAAATCAAACTTTTTGGAGGCTTTGCTCCTGTAGAAGATGCTCCAGCTGCACTTTGATCATCATGAACTATAGGCCCGTCTCTACTCCCGCCTAACAACTCAAGCAGAGCAGATCCGGCTTCACCATCAGGCTTCGGTCTGAAGAAGTACAACTGAGAGTCCGACTCTCCGTCTTGATGTTCTTGTTGACCGGGAGTTGTAGTACCCTTTCGACGAAGATCTGCAACATCCACTGCAGGGGCTTTCTCGTTTCTGTCACCTACAGGAGAAGTGCTGCTTCCCTGTGCTGCATGAGGATGAGCGCCAGCACCGGTGTATGAACTCCTGTAGCTCAACACTTCTGGCGGTGCCGCGGAGGAGCTACCACTTCCCTGCTCTTGCGAAGTAGTCGACGATGCACCTCCTGACAATTTCCGCAGTCTTTTAGCTTCTGCGGCTTTATGTTTAGGACTTCTTTGAGACTGGAATAGCAGAGATCTAGATCTTCTCTTCGCTCGCGGGGCACCTCCTGCTCGCGGGACACTGTAGGAGTCGAAATGCGCATGATCTTCTTCTTCATCTTCATAGTTGTGATACGCTTCAGGTCGTTCAGCACCGGAAGTATAGCTTGCTGCTACTCCGTTAATCGTGTCGCAGCTGAGGGTCAGGAGGAGGTTGAGCAACGCACCCAATACACCCAATGGTACAGCCAAAGAGGCAGTAGAACCTCTTCGAATTCCTGAGGTCTTGATACGCAGCAAGCTCCTCATCTCGTTCGTCCCATTTACCGTCGTCGAGCTTGGTGAGGTAGAAGGAGCTCGCGTACCGTCTTTGCTTCTCCTGGTGTTCCCAACAAACAGAGAGGACGATGATAGACATGTGTAAAGCTGCATCATTATGTTTTTAATGGTCTTAATTTGGAATGTATTTCTTTAGATTTGTTGATAGGTATGCATCATCAACACAAGAGTCGTTCATAACCACTCATCGCCCTTGAAATCTATCTGAGGTAAAATGAAGCGAAGAAGTCAATTATTGAATGAAAAATTGGATGTCATGCAGTTGCAAAAGTAAAAATTGTATAGAAGAAGCTTGCTAGAGCTAGTGCTATTGAGCCGAAGCTTCAATGTTGCCATAATCACTACATACTACGAGGCGAGCTTGTAGTGAAGTTCAAATACAAATTCAGTGAGAAAACATGAACATATTCTGTTAGACTCTAAGTCTTGTGAAGCGGCCTTGTTCTTATTCTAGACTTCTAGAGATGTTATTTATTACATGCAGAAGTTGTAATCGATTCTTTTTTTTCAGATGATGCAAGCATTTATTACATCAACAAAGTCATTTGTAACGAGAAGTTGTCGATGTCTAGAATTATCTTCAATCAGTAAGTTTATTCAAGCAACAGTAGGTTGTAAGCATGATGATGAAGCAAAAATGTAATCTACAACAGCATCAGCATCCTGGTGAAAGTTTGGATCGATTGACTTTGGGAGGCCTTGCTGTTTGTGTTAGTTTGTCTCAGAAACATGGGAAGAGAGTCGATGTCCTCTGGAAGTTAGGATACAGGAAGGAATAAGCATAGAGCTAAACTTCCTTGCAGCACAAGTTAGCAAGGTAACATCGTCGCCATTTTGAGGAATCGATCGGGAAAGCAACACCAAGTAGGACGCACCAGAGGACCGAAGTTTTGTTCCCTTCAGAGCTACAACTACTTTTCACATACACATGAGCACGGATAAGGATAAAGCAATGATGAAGGTAGTTTAAATTAAATCAGTTGAGGGTGTACTTCAGTTTTTCCACAAGCACATCATGCGTCAGCACGGGACGGTGACACACAGAGAGTCTGCAGAAATTCGACGTGAAAGGTTGGATCTCGCAGATGGTCAAGTCACATGAAAAACACAGTGAGTAGATGAGAAAGCAATCTGTCAACTTTTTTCACACATCATGAGTGTCATTTTTCGGTTTGTTCTCTTTTTTGTTTCTACACTTTCACTTACGCGGGCTTTTGTCACGTCAACATGAACATCATGCTGAATGAAGTGCTCGCATCCATGAATGTAGAAGACCAAAAAGTAGTGTTTCTATGGTACGATGATAATGGAAATCATCATGTTGATCATGCATCATGGACACGCTCGAAATGCTAATATGTTGTAAACGGTTTCGTTAATTTCAAGTACACTGCATGAGACAGTGACTGATTTCGTTGATCCAATTTTTTGTAATTTTCATGAGTGGCATCAGTAGTTATTTTGGTTTGTGTTTGAGAATAAGAGAATAAGAGTAGTTGGGAAAGTCATCAGATAGTCATAGTAGTTTAGGTCATCGTTATAACTTGATATGCGAGTATCTGTTCAATCAGCTCTGCATGTAGAATCCTTTGCAAAATCTTTGTAGCTTCTTGTTTGTCGCCAGTCTGAAAAGTAGAATCAATATCGAAAGACGAGTTCATTTGAAGAGATGATGATGATCCAAAACCATGCTATTGTCTTCAGTATGAATGCGTATGTTCTTCTTATTTAGATGGTAGTAAAAATGAAATTGGAGTCCTATTAAAGGTTAATTATATTTGTAGACGAGCAGAGGTTGGCAACATGTCTAGAAGTAAGTAGAACCACTACCACGACACCTCTTTGAGAGCACGACTATGTGACCCTCATATCCAGGCTGTTGTCGCAGTGATTGATGATATCGTAGTGCTTGTCCCTGAGTTCGTGACTGCGCAAAGCCCTAGCCCGGGTCATCTCTCGACCCCTCTCGACATCTGCGAAGAGGCGATATTGAGTGTCGAAGAATCTGTAAGGATGTCTTACGGGATCCACGTCCTTCCGCTGTATTGGAATATCGTGGGAACGCGGGTTCGCTGCAGGAAAACGGCCGACGTCTGTTAGTGGTGGTTTAGTTTTGGAAGACGAGTCAACTGATGATGTTTGAAGATGGTGGAGTAGCAGGAGCTAGTGTGGTTTAAGTAACTAAGGACAACAAAAAAGAACGGGGGTACAACAAATCAATAGAAGATAAAGGAAAAAGCTATTTTCAGTCCCCACGTGTTCAACGTTCAGGCAGGTTTTCAAAAACATTTTTTTTTTTCTTCATCAGGAGGAGCTCACCATTTTTCACATTCTCGTGTTGTGGCTTCGTTATCACGTCGCTAGCCCTTTCTTTCTCCGCTAAGAAATCTCTCCTTTTGTCTGCGTTACTAGCATCCTCCTGTGCCTTGAACATTTCGTACCTGGTTGTAGGCGAGAAGGAAGCGAGTTGACTGTCCTCGTCGTTGTGAATCATCAGAATCGATATTACTGCTCCAAAAAATTTCTATTCACATTGAATCGAAGACAAACTCGAAGTTGTAGCTAGTTTCAACTTAAGCTTAAGCATTTACCGCTCTTTATAAAGCTCCGTGTCTGGCCGCGTCGGTCCGTCTATACCGAGAAGGCCACTTTTATACTGCCTCTGCACTATTTTGGATTGCCGCATGAACCTGTTGTGGGTGTGTGCAACAGCAAGGGATGCGAGAGAAAATTGATATCTCTATCTCAATGATCTTAGAACTGGAAGTAATATGATCTCATGATCACAGCGATGAGCCCTTTGTTCTCATTCGACGTTTGTTTTTCAAGAACATGATGCGAACCCGAACGTCAGATTCAAAAAACAGAAAAAACCCAGCACAGCATCAATACGCGCTGTGTTCTGCTTTCCCTTTCGCTGCATACGCTATGCCTTCCTTGAGCCTCTGGTGTTCTCTTAGTCTTTCACTGGGGAGTTGTATTCTAAAATTCTTGAATATCTCCAAATGATCCTGATTCATGGCCCCATAACCAGGCAACTTGTGGCATCCTTCTCTATTGTCGCCTTTCCAACTGTCGTACCTGGATGTGTGACACAGTGTCAGTCAGAGCAGAAACTACACATAACCTCCAGAACGGTGTCTTAACTCTGAGAGTCTCATGTCCAATACCATGATAATATCGTTGCTTTTTTATTCTTGCTCATACTACATCATGCGTAGCACTACTAGTACCATATCGGTGGCTTATTGCTCATGTCTATCGCCTGTCCTGGAAAGTGTCTGTCCCTGCCTTCGCAGGTAAATGCGGGTGAGGGTCGACATGACCCGTGACAGTTGGCTAGATTAGAGGAGCTCAAGTCAATTCATTTCTTCCCTTCATTATCATTTCTTCAGATGAATCCCTAGAGGACCTAGTAGAGGGTGGAAACGGAAGATAATGACCGTTGGAAATGATTTTGACTTGTATCTTCAAGCCTTATCCAGAGGCAATGTCCTTGAGAATTTGTCGCTTTCTCGAAAGTTTTGGGCTTTGTAGAAGGGATCCCTTCCCTTCAAGATCTGATCGATCTGTATGGCCTCATGGGGCCCACGTTGGACGGTGTACGACATACTTTGTAAGTAGTTGGAGCTGGAGGGTGGTTCTTTTTGTGTTCGTTCTTAAGGGTGAGGATAGCGTTCTTAGGAAAACTTCTACATGGGAGGAGCTCGTCGAGGTGCCGTAGGTCTACACATTTATATATTGGAGGTAGGCTCGCTGACGTTCTTGGTTTTTATTAGGATCTTCGATCATGATAGTTTATTTGGCGATGAGATGAAGTGTAATCTAATCTTTCTAATACGTCCTGGTGACTATCAGGATCAAACTGAATCATGATGTAAGTGACCATTCTTGTGGTCGTTGTCGGGTGAAGGAAGGGGCAGGGATGAAATGTTTTCGATTGCATGAACGCAATATGATGCCGAGCTTTGACCTCCGAGGATACCGATCGTACGCTTGACCGAGGAGGTCCATCTCGTTTCATTTGTAAATCCGATGTTGATCCTTTCCGATGAAGGTCGTTGATGTTTCTCTATCCCGGTATTGAGCGAATGATGACCGACGGTGACCGATCTCGTTTGGCCAAACGATCACACAGAAGCGTGCTCAGTACCCTGCGCCTCTGGATTTCAAACTTAATCGAGACTCGTGCTGGCTTGTATTACTCTCCTCATTTTTCTTCTTTTTCTTCTCATTTCCGCCTTACTTTTCCACAACAGCATCTGCTGTGCCGCAACTCCCTTCTTCATGTAAAACCTTTTTATCTCCACTACTTTCATCTTCCTCGTTCACTTCTACAGTACAAAAATCAAGACCGAGGCGAAACTTCTACTATCATCCTCGCGGAAAACAGTACACTGCACCTCGGGATTTCAAGAATATCACCAGCGTTGTGAAAAGAGGACATCGTTGTACACTGCATCTCTGGATAGAGAAACAGATTGAGATTAACATCGCCAAAAGATGCCTCATTGGCGTTGGCGGGGGGTGGATTCGGGTCGTGTAGGGGTCGTCATGTGTAATGTAAGGTTGTGGATACCAAGATTAAAAGGAAATAGACCACAGAAATTATTATTTGTTAGGACATGTAATTGAATTAAGGCGTAAAGAGAGCCTGTTTTCTTCTCCCGGTGAGGACATCAAGGATTACACTTGCGTCCTCTGCATCTTCGCTGCTCTTTCGTGTTCTCCCGCTACGTCGATTCCTCCAACTTTCTGCCACCATTCTTCTGTCGGCAACAAAGCCACAACCAACGCCGTTAGATTGTCCAGCGAATACCGTTGAAAGGATTCCCGGACTAGTCCTCGCGCAGCTTGTGTAATAGGGTTTCTTGGAGCAGGACGGATGACGCCGCTAGGTGCTAACATCAGTTCGGGACCTTGCATCTTTAGGACTCGTTCTAGGCCAGCACGATAATGCCCATGCGCGACGACGGCGGCTTCTTCGTCTTTGAGCACATCCCAAATGCCGTCACAGGCGAGGATAAGGAAGAGGTCGCGACCTGTGTGAAGCAACAACGGTGGTTTGAGAAATAAGTACTTGAGTTTTGTCAAAATGCATTGCAGCTGAAAATATTTGAAGACAAGAATCAGAATGCAAATCATGCTGCAAGTGGTGCAAGTAAAGATAGTTGTGCAATCAAAACAGGAACAATCGACGATAAAATGGAGCGTTATAGTGTGCTGGTCGAAACAAGTAGTACCTGGCGTAATCTTAAATGTCGTGATCTCCGGAACACCTGACACTAGGTCTCGAATGGCTGGGTCAAGCTGACCACCAAAAACTCTTGGTTCTTTCAATGGCAAATCCCCAAACGACCGACCTACCGCTAGTCCCCACTGCACTAGGCGACCGCCAATATTCAAAGGACCAGGCGTAAAGACACGAGCCACGCCAGTCATGTCTTGGACGACACTGTGGGAGTGAGGATTCGAGGATTTGATTGGCATCGGAAAGACGCCCACTAGATGAAGCAAAACTGTTTCATTCTTGTAACGTAAAAAGGAAGCAGGACGAGATATTTTTAATTGACTCTACAATAACAGTATGATGCAAATTTGAGGGATCACAACCTCGAAACCGATGACACAGGTATTAAGTATTACCCTCCCACCGCCTCTATCCTCCGTTTCTCGTCCGGTCGATCCGGCTTGTGATCGTCTGATAGTCTGACCGCATTAACCGGTCCATAGGGCACAAACAGCTCCACATCTTCACTCGAGCTCTTCTTATAGCAGCTGTCTCGCTGCAAAATTTCATCTCTTTTCTGCACCAAAACCGCCCGACTATCTCCCAAATTCGCCACAAGTAAGCGCAAATTACTGGAATTCGTGAAGGGAATATCACTAGCAGTGGTCTCGTGCTGTTGGTGCTCTCCGGTACCATTGTGCTCAGCATTTTCGGCATTTGCTTTACTAGCAGCTCCAAGTCCGATGCCTGGCGCTACTGGATTGCCACTATTGCTCGACCCATACAAGTCTTCCCACAAGAAACAGCAGATCGCGGTTGTCCCGTCCATGTCCTTTCTTCCTCTAGCTGCGTCACAAAATCGCTCGTCTGCTTCTGCAAATGCGTCCAGCACACACCGTTTCAAAAAATCCTCTGTCAGCCGTTCTCTCCCAGCTGCTCCTCTTGATGTGAGCATTTCTTGCAGGATCTTCATCAGCTTCTTCTCGCAAAATTCCGCACACAGATAGCCACTGTGACCGTCGAAAACCGCGTAGCCCATAATACGCTCTCCCCTGGGGCCACTCAGTAGTTTGTCGAAGACGAAGCGATCTTCCTGGTTATCCTTGCCGCCTGTCCAAGTACTACACGCGGCTTGGAGCTTAACTAAGCCAAAGTCCAGACTAGAACCAGCAGGACTCCCTGATGTGGAACTAGAGCTTCCGCCAACTTGGGTTTCTCCGACCTTGCCAGAGGCAACACTGCTCTTGGACTTGGCGGGTTGTGCTATGGAAGACTCGGTGAACCTGGAGTTCTACTTGTTGTAGGTAAAGGTAAAAATGATAAAGATGTTAAACAACTACTTTCGTTATTTTAGATGAAGTTAGAACAAGATGTAAAGTAGATGTAGTGCAATTATACCACTGCAATTACTAATTGGTGGAACAGGTACTCGTAGAATATTGTAAAGATGTAGTGCAATTATAGTATTTAAGGAAGTACATTTGGAGCTACTATTCTCTAAGAAAGTACCTCAAATGTGGCCATTGTCTCGGAAAATTCGGGTCGTCATTCATCGTGCGATTGTAGATATCGTCGACGTCGTCATCGTCATCCAAAGGATCGTCGCCTTTAGGAATTTTAACTTCCCTAGTCGCACTCCACGCTCGGTTGGCTTCGATTTGCTCCTGTCTCTGGCCATATTCTCTCTCGTAGCTTTTCATAGTCCGCTCCAACTGAATCAAACGCTGCTCCTTGTCCTTGGGGATGATTACCTACATGAGCATGATCATGATGTTCATTGACATGATGAGATGATTACCTACGATCACGATGTTCATTGACATGAGATGATTACCTACAGGAGCATGATGACATGATGTTCATTGACATGATGTTCATTGACATGATGTTCATTGATGTTTATCCTTAAATTTAAAGGTGCTAGAGCAAGTAGTTACTAGCTGCATGCTCGTCTGTCTTAATTCGACGATCAAACGAACACAGCTACGAGTAGTGGTACCACAGTCGGCTGTATTCGATATTCGTATTTTTTCATCCCCTTCCACGCCAGAAAAGATTATCAACAAAAAAACCATCTAAGTATAATTTTTCTATTTACGTGATTCGCCGTCTCCATTTCGATTTCGCGCATTTCGGACTTTGTTTCCAAGATCGTAACTCGAATCTCTTCCCGTTTCTGGATGTTTTCGTACAGGTTCGTCTCCATGTTCTTGCCGTGGACCTTGGAGAGCTGCTCATGTCTGACTAGCTGTTCTGGCGTGTCGAACTGCCTTTGGCATACCCAGCAGACATTGGGCCGCATGCTCTGCGGCACGTCAACCGTACGACAGAGGGAAACCATTTTGCAGTCTTGGATGTAGTGGTGTAGTTTGCTCTTGGAACAAGTGCTAGTTGATGTAGTAGTGTAGAAGAAAGAGTAGTCTTCGATTGGACGAACAATACAACTGCATGAATCCTTCAACCATGTAGTAGATCAGTGTTCCCATATATTCAGGTACTACTCGCTACAAGGGCGTCCAGGTACAGAAGCGACAGGACCTGTGGCTGTGGTGAAGATATTTATAAAGTTCAGTCTCAGTGCAGAATGCAGAATTTCTGGAGTGTGTCTAGTTTGTGATTGTCAGACCCAGCAGAACCACCACCTTTCGTGCTGTTTCATCAGGCTCGCATTACTACAATCTTCGTATTCCACATTCTGCAAATGCTTCATCTCATCAATGTCGTACTGCCTTTGGACTGATGTCAGGAATATGAGGATCGTGTCGTTCATTTCTCGAATAGAAGTGTGCTAGTGGTGGAAGCAAGGCAGACATTACTTGAATAGCTTTGACTTTGCTTTTCAGGACATCACAATTCCTGACAGTCACATGTTGTAGAACATTCGTCAATTTGATGATCACCAGAATGGAAAAAGTAACACCAGTGCAATTTGAAAGATTTCCGGACCGCCCACGCGCGGCTCGCGGTGCCCGTACTTCTTTCCCATGCATTTAATGTACAATCCAGGCAATCATGCGCCGGCTCCAGCATGTGCTAGGAACCACTCTACAAGCATGTGCTGCTTATCCTTCAAGCGTAGATCCCGAATATCACACACTTCGCGGAAGGCTTTGAAGAAAGGGATTCTTTCATGATCATCATCTTTCGAAGTACGATCTTCAGGACGAAAGCCTATTTTATCATTAGGTTTGTTTTTGTTAGAAGAATTAGGTGTTTTTGATATTGATGCTCCCGTATCATCATCTCGAGCAACACTAAAATCTTCATTAACGAAAGTGTCGTCATTTTGTTCAGCATGTTCTACGAACAGAATGGTGGACCCGTGGACATCATAGAGTGATGTAGAGTGCGTGCTAGACTCTATGGCTTCGTCGATTTCATGCTTGGCATCTTCAGGGCGTGAGGCTAGAAGCTCTGCAAAGGAACGATTTGGTGGGAGTAGTTGGAGAGCATGTGTCTTTGATGGTCTCGATGAAAAAGATGATGAAGATGAGCTAGCCTTGCCTCCTCCACTGGCACTGGTGACGCTATTGGTCCCTATCCTCAGCAAGAGAAAGCATCGCTTCAAAAAGATAGCTTTGATCAACTGTAAAAGGAGCAACAAGTTGCGTTGAGGATGATCGAACATGCTCACCAAGTCATCATCGTCTTCTTCTTCTTGTTCTTGCGTTGTATTGTCTTGCGTTGTATTGTCGTCTCCATAGTTGCTTTCCGGTGCAAATTTGTAAATACCCCGTGCTAATGTTGAACCAGCTAGAGGAGCTACTACTTCAGTACTAGGATCGTCTAATGTTGTTGCGGATAGTACGATCGGAGGCGTACTAGAGGACGTTGCATCTCTCTTCTGTCGTTGAAGGTTTTTTAGGTTCTTTTCCTCTTGCTCTTCGCTTTCTTCATCAACAAGATGCATATCTTCTACACCTTCATGCTCCACAAATCCCTTTTCCACGTCCTCCATCGCTTCTAGATTCTGCGCCAAATCTACCGCCAAAATTCCGCTCGATGGATCGACCAAGGGATGCGGGAAGTCGGTCAAAAACCGCACTAACACGTCCTCCATCCCTCGTCTGGGATAGTCTTTTGGGACAGAGATCTGAAACCTCGCCAAAAGGCCAGCGTAGATCCCATCACGAACGAACAAGGTCCCATGCCATTCACGTAGGTCTCGCCATCCTGGTAGCACGTAGAGACCAGAAGGTGGAAGGTAAATAGGACTAGATGATGAGGAGCTGTTGTTTGATGAAGATGGTGACGTCCCGCCAGCTTTTCCGGAGGCTAAATTCGAAGAGAGAAGGCAATATTCCGAAAGGAGTTCATAGTCTTGGAGACTCTGCTCTCGTAACTCGCGTCGTTTCAACTTCTTAGACAGTAGAGAGGCCTTTGGCTTTCCCTTCGTATTCGTATTTTGTTCATCTCCCGTCCCTACGGAAGTCACTGACCCTGTTCTCGACCTTCTCGTCTTTGGGGGTTCAGCGCGCAGCCGGTTACCAGATCCACCAGATGGCTCCGACATGTTTTATTCCCAGGTACAACAAACTAATACGAAGGAAAATATCGTCCGATATGACCTACATGATGTCATTATTGTCCGAAAATGCATCAAGCTGAGGCACTAAAAACTTCTATTTTTTTACAGAAATGAGATAAGCGTAGATTGAGAGCTTAGTTTTCTTGAAAGTAATGTGTTTCCGCTTTTATTTCAGCTATCGTTTTCAAAAGGAATGTCAACCGCTCCCTTTCTCTTGTTCTGCCACATGAAGATTAAGCGTTCAATTTCATCGCCAGTGACACGCGATTAATGATTTCGCATCAAGAATGAACATCAAAAACTTTTAGCAAAGCAAGTTGTATCCTTGCTGGGCACGTGGCCGCATGATTCATACTCCGACTAGTTATCACTTCTTAACAGCTCTAGCCCCAAATATGCTAGAGCCTACACGAACGCTGTCACTGCCTTCTCTTATTGCTGTTTCAAAATCGTTACTCATGCCCATAGAGAGTTCCAAAGATGAACCCAGTTCCTCTACTAGCTTCTTTTGACACTCCTTCATGAATGCGAAGTCCTGAGTTCGACATCCACTATAGTCAGGAGCGCCTATGGTCATGAGACCTTTGAGTCGGAGATGGGGGCACTCTTTTACCACGTAACGTGCGAGGAGGGTTAGAGGAAGATAGATGAGGTGGAAATGTACTTATGCTGAGAAAAAAAGATGGCAGAAGGCGGATGAATAAGTGGATTCTAATATTGGTCTTTGATGCTATCGGTAATTCTAGTAGTTGCACCTGAAACTCTGTGGGCTTTTCTGCGACACTGGAAGACATGTATCAAATCAAAGTGATCTAATATGAGCAAAAAGAACCAGTGATATTATTCATGAACTCTCAGTCCATCCATAATGCTGTCAGTTCCTCGATATCCGTGATTCCGTTTTTGCTGTCTTCACCTGAACTGTTCAGCTGTAGGTACACTGAGAGTACCAAATTCTCGCTAGTTTGGGCGTCTTCGCTTGCCGCTTTCGCTACTGCTGCGTTAAGCATTTTCGCTAGTTTTTCGCTATCCACCGTTTCTATCGTCAAAGGGAGATGTTGATGTTGTTGGTCCTTGATTAATGCAGGGTCCTTGATCAATGCCACTGCTGCTTTTACCAGTGCCGCTGCCTTGTTCGACTGCAGATGACCAATAAAATGCCACTGAATGTCCGGACAAGAGTCGCTTAAGGTGTCCATTTTCTCGACTAATTCTTGGACGTAGTTCTCTCCGAAGAAGCGCTGGCCGTGTGCGTAAGCTGCAACAAGCATCTCAGCTGGCTTTGTTTTTGAGACCGCAACTAAGCGTGGTAATTGTGGATCGCAACTAGCTGCAGCACGTATCTTTTCGCGGACAGCATCTAAATTACCGCGAATGTCTATCTCTGCTGGATTCGGGTTCTCCATCTTCTTGTAGCTTTTGTTCTCTGAGGGGAGCTGGGTCTTGGGAAAGTCCGAAAAAGAACGCTGATGCTTCAGAAGTTCCAATTTCAAAGGTGATGGTGCTGCTCTGCTTCTTGGATTCACACGACTAGTACGAAAGGAGAGGAATGTCGCTCCACGTAGTCGTACAGCTGGGCTGGTCCTCGAGATCGTCGCTGGGGTCATCCGGAGGACATGTTTTTCAAATCCTTCCGGGATAAAAGAGGTTGATGTACTCAAGGATTGTGAAATCGACATGGAATGTTGCTCTCTGTCAATGCCTATGTCGAGATGAAAATGAGCGACGAAAATAATGAGTAGATTAAAGACACTAGAATTAGAGCGAAATGATAATGAACATGTACGTCTACCTCTACCTTTAGTGCGTGTTGTATGTACCAGGAAATCCTATCAATCAAGTGGCGAAGCGCGGTAGCCTCTAACACGTAAATCCTATCTCTAACACGTAGAACCTGTGGGCAGAAGCATATTAGGATTGTTGTAGCATTTTCGCTGTGTGCGAACACGTCGATCGCAAATACGATTTCGTCGTCGACATTCCATCTTGTTCGCAGGCACTTCTTACTCATGAAAAGAAGTATTTACGATTCACTGGGCAAGAATAAAAAGACTTATTTGTAGTATCTCAAAGTCTATTTTTTGTATTTTCTTGAATTCACGAAAGCAAGAAGAAAAAGAAGAACGTCGGTGACGCACAACCCTTGGCGTTGGTCTTGGTGAAAGTCCTGCTCAAGAGGATCATAACAGCATTTGATCTTACGAAAGAACATAATTCCGACAAACTCCAGCAAAGGTAGAGGTCTTACTTCTGTTACAACTTCTTACTTACTGGTATTACTTAAGAAGTAGAACAATCTAACTCCTGCACTCGAAATCGCTATCGCGACTGCACGAAGAAGAACCAAATTTACTTTTTTATATTTTGTTCCAGGAAGTGATATTCGTATTACTACTAAAGATTCAAAATCTATCAGAACCTCTATCCGAAGGTTGTGGCAGTTGTCTATCCAAACGAGCTATAGAATTTAATTTCACTTCACTTCAAGTTGAAGCAAATTCAAAAGACACCGCTGAAGAGTTCAATACATATTATACAACTCCAGCTCGTTATTGAAAGTCATTCTTCCTTGTGTAATTAAGACGTGCTCCTGGCGTATTGAAATTAACTGTAATATTGCTCTCTATTAAGAAGAAATAGATCATAATTGGGATATTAAGACAAAGACATGATTTCTATTTGGGTTACTAGCAGTACTGCTTTAGAAGATTAAGAACGTCGTTTTCGTTACAAGAAGAACCACAAATCGAAATCTGTTACTACAAAAGTTACTGCTCTACTAACGTAGAAGACCTAGTATGAGAAATCTGTTACAACACCAGCGAGTAGTACTGCTACTCTAGTACTCATCTACACAAATACATAGTCCATTCCATAGTAGAAATCAGGATCCACGAAGTCTTCCTGTTGCCCTTCTCCTTTCTCAAGCTGATGATCGTTGCCCTCCTGACTTTTCTCTCCTGCAAGATTATCTTCACCCCCAACAAGACCAAGGATGCTAAAAAATGCACTAGCTTCCGGCGCTGTAGCTTTGGTTTCCATCACCATCGCTTCTACCTGGTCCTGGTCATTGACGAGCTTTTTTTCTTGTTCGTTTACCACTACTTCATCTTCTTGCTGCAAGAAACTATCAACATCTTTGCTAGGTAGACCATCCTGGTCATGGCGGTCATGGTCATCCTCGTCCATTTCATCTTCTAGAAAGTTTTTGCTTACACGACTGGGACTGGTACTGGAGCTGCCAGGAGTGTCTTCAGCTTCAGTTGTAGGAGGAGCATTCGGTTTCGGAGTGCTTGTTGTATCAGAGGAATTCGATGTTGGCGGTGTAGTAGTGTTGAGAACATCTACCTTGAGAACATCCACTTCCACGCCAGGACTAGTGCTGTTTTCAGGACTAGTAATTATAGCACCACTGTCTTCACGTCGCAACTTGTCTTGCTCTTGTTCAACAGGTTCATCTTCTTGTTGATGGATGCTCTCCATAAGAAGAGCCTTGTCTTGCCCTTGCTGTTGGCTCGCGCTCTCGACAACATCGACACTCGTTGTTCCATTTTTGCTATCTGTTCGTCCCGTTGTTCTAGAAATTGAAGTTGTGTTAGTACGTGTTCTTGTTGTTGTTTTTGTAGTATTGCTATTTCTTTCATCACCTCCACCAGTCAGTCCAACAGCGTTTTTCCTCTGAGATTTGTCGTCCTCATCATGAAGATCGCCTTCATTTTCACTAGGTCCCGTAGTGCTACTAGTGAAAGAGGTAGGGCCTTGGTGTTTCCGTTTCCCGCTTGGTGTGTCTTTCCCCATTAAGAACGGCACAACGAACGGCAACAGGAACACCTAAAGCCCAACCTTAATAGTGGATGCATACTCGACATCTCCCCAAGAAGAACTAGTAGCTTCATCTTCTCCGTCATCATCATCCTCCTTTTTTGCTGATGGATCTACTAGCTGTCCTCGTCGACCATCTACATCTTGTAGTGGTTGATCATCTTCTACTAGCTGTCCTCGTCGACCATCTACATCTTGCAGCAGGTCTTGTTCAACAACAACATCTTTTTGCGATGTTGATTTTGAAATTGCAGATGTTGAGTTAACTGAAGTAGATAGTGGCTGTTTTTGAGAAGTATATAGTGCCTGTGCAGCAACAGCAACCCCTGACGAATCCAACGAGTGTCGTTGTCGTGGTTGTATTCCTTCATGCTCCAGAAAAGCACGAGGTGGTGGATTAGAGCTCTCGATATCCCGTATTCATTCCTGCGAAGCTCCTCCCTATCCCTTATTCATCCCTTTGAATGCGAAGAAGAAGAACCTTTAAGACTCAAAAAGAATAGAAATAGAATTATATGCCGCAGCTACTAGAATCATCTCAGACATTCAGACGCCCTACTTCCGTATGTTGTACCTTGGACAGACAGGAGTAGATACCCATACCGTTCAATTTCGTCCTGTGCATTAATTCGCATTCTAGTGTTCGGAGTAGATATTAAAGAAAACGTCGGGGACTGAGGGACACGGAGCCCCTAGATAGAGGTCATGAACTATTTTCAGGGATCCCCTAAATAGAAAGAGAGATCAATCATTGGATAGCCTTTGCCATAATATCACCACCTGTACTATCAAGACCACTCCCTGCAGATGTCGCTCCTGCACTGAACATCGCCGATGAGGATTCTCGACCTACAGGGGATGGCCCTAGACCTAGAGCGTCTTCTAGAACATCAATAATTAGAGCACAGAAGTTAGTACTCATTCTGATTCTCCGTCACTCTACTACTTTTTTGGACCGTGCATGAAACAAACAAGATGAGTAAAAAAATTGATTCCTCCTCCTTAGACTAGTACAGTAGAATGAAAACAACAAGTAGTGCATATTTATACAAGTGTCACGGAAACCTTCGCCAAAAATAAAGTTGTGCGAACCATTTAGATCAAGGTGGAAGACGTGTAGACTCAGGTTCTGTGATGTAGTACTTGCGTTTACTGGTGGTGGTGATGTACTTAGACGTTTCCAACCCGGCTCATCGTAGAGTTACTCCTTGGCCGTGAGTCGTCACGCCGGCCCCCGGCAAGCCTGCTGACTGAGCTTCACTGAGCTCCCTATCCAACGCGAGCTCGCTCTTGGTCCTTCTTGTAAAATGAGTCTGTCAAGTATTAGAGAAGCGACCACCTCTATCTTTCTGCATTTTGGTTTTCTTTGTCTTCCACCCATTTGAGAGTGATATAATCGTCTTTCGAGACCACTTGTTCTTTTTTGGTTAGGTTAGGTTGGCATCTACCATCCAATGTGGCAGACTTCGACCTCGACGGCTGCTGAAGAGCCTAGCAAAGATCAAAAAAAAGGCCCAAGGAAGGTTATTCATCCGTGGCTGGTGACTGACTTGCCTCTATTTCTCATCTTCCTAGCAGGGGTAATTATATGTTTAAGTTGTAAACCCTAGTGGTAAGTGATCTTGTGCTCTACTTGTCCATCACGTTGACCTTCAGAGGAAGTTCCGGATAGTAATTAATATTTGACTTTCAGATTTATTGATGAACATACTCCTGGGTCGTCTAGACGAGGATATCGTAATCCTAATCGTTCGTCGATCATATTAAATCAACTAGGAGTAGAAGCACTCTACTTCTACAGGAATCAATAATATGCGAGTGCTACAAGAAGAACGATGCTCAGTGTGACCATGTCGACGATGTCTAATTTCTGAATTTGAGTATGCCTTAGGTTAGGTTAGGTGTCCGCCTACCAGGAAAACTGGCAGACATGAATGGCTGCTGAGGAGCTAAAAACAAAAACCCTTACAGAATCCGAATCGTTACTATTTTTAGTAGAAGAACTCTTTTATTTACTCTTAACTTCACTGCCATCCTGAATGTCACTGCCTTGAAGAATCGACGTTACTCTACTTTTTAATACTAATAGACGTAATTGCTGGCGTCGTGGAACGTGAAGATCGAGCTGACCTAGTTAGAGCTTTTTCATCCCTTCCCTAGTAGTCCTAGAAGTTTGTGTAGAAGTACTGTTTCTTTGTGTAGAATGTAGTATTTGTGGTGGAGCACGACCTATTCAATTCTAGAATTAGAAAACAATAAAGACATAATTAGTTCTTGAGGGATGCAATCTCTAGCATAGAAGACGAGATGGATTCAGGAAGGATGAATTAGAGTTAGAAGATTTCAGGGGCCATGGCTCCAGTCAGTCTGGGCGTGGGAGACAGTGCATTCCGCAGGCAACAGACAAAGAGAAAAAAGAGGGAAACCACAGACACGATACTTCTAAGACCCATTGTTTACTATACTGTTCTTGAGGATGAAGCCATAACCAAGATCCATCCCCTTTGATAGGTAATCGCGTCACTTCCATGAAGTGCCTCTTCTTTGGAGTCGGATAATCTCTCAGCAATTCTTGTTAGAAAATTTCTCCCACAGCCACAGCCTCGAAAGAAGAAAATGATTTTCCATTTCGACTCGGCAGACCAAACGAAATCATCTTTCGACCACAACTGGTGCTACAGTGTTTTTATTTCTTGAAATTATGCTAGAAGGGAAGTTGTAGAAGACGTGGACTAACGTCGAGGATCCTATGAGCCTTAATCTTGGTATGGAATCTGATCAAAGTGGACTAACGTCTAGGATCCTATGAGCCTTAATCTTGGTATGGAATCTGATCCCCGCTGAAGGATAATGGCGGAGGTAGAGACAGATATTGACTTGGTGCATTAGATGCGTAGAAAAACAGTCTCTCATCTGATGAAATGTTTAGAGAAGAGAACTTTCAATCTCTCATATGATGGAGGGGCTAGCCTAGCAGGAGAATCTATCATGAGAAGGACAGGATAGTCTATCATGAGAAGGATAATCTATCTGATAAACCTATGATAATCTATCCTGAGAAGGATGATCTATCTGATTTAATAGAGCAATTTATAGGGGTGCCACATCCGGGATGGGATGGATCGGATGGATCGAATGGACTTCCCACCATTTCAAGTAGGATCGGAAGAATCAGGGGGGTCCATCCGATCCTTCCGATCCATCCAAGTCCATCCTACATCCGTTCTATAAACTACTCTATAGACAAACCTAAGTAGATAATCTATCATGAGAAGGATGACTGAGGGATCATAAATTCAAGCGCGTCAGCGATTTTTTGACTATTCACGCTGTGACAGCTGCCGATTTCTGCTTGTTTCTGAAATGTCTCAGCTTTTTGTAGGTACCCCCCAAGCGGAAAGAATTCTTTGAGCAAGCATGAGAGTTCACGTTGTTTTTTCTCCCCTCTTGTTGATGATCTTAATGTTGGAAGCTCTTGTTGAAGAAGAAGCAAATGGAAGCTCTTGTTGACCTTATAATGTTGCGATGGCATGGCATGAGTCTCACATAGTCGTACACAGACTATTTTGGAGACTATACATAGTCCATCTTAATGTTGCGATCATCCTCTACTTACCAGACCAGACCGATCTCTCAAAAATGGGCTGAAAGATGGTCTGAAAGATAACACCATCCATAACAAGGCTGCGTGTCCGTCTTCAGCGTCAGCTCGCTTCATTTTTTTCTCCAAATAATACCCAATCAGCACATTATCATACAGAGGCTTTAATTAAAGCTTGTGATGAGTGACGATCCTCGTCTTTCTAGTAGTAGTAGTTTACCCATTCTGGGGGAAAAGTGAACATCGAGGGGAAAGTTGTTCACAATAGTACTTCTAAACTCGATTGTTCCTATTGTCATTGTGATGAATAATTCACTAGTTGTTTTTTGCTCTTTTTGTAGCCTATTTCGATTATAATAGTATCATTGTCTGTAATGCAGGAAGGTGATACACTTCTTACAGTGTAACTAGGTATCTTCCCACCTGACGAGTACGCAAGTGTATTCATCAACTTAGTAAGTGTATTGTGCTTGGGAAGATGGAGGATACAGATACGAGTAGTACAATTTAATCGAGACTCGTGCTGACTTGGATTACCCTCCTCATTTTTCTCTTTCAAACGAGTAGTACAGAACAAGTGTAATTAGTAAGCACGTGAACACTAAGTGATTAACTGATTCACCACTAGGCTCCGTAATTCAAGTTGGTAGCATCGACGCGAGTAATGGCGATAGGAAGACGCCCTGGCCTGCCCTCCTCCGACACGCTGGCCATCCTCCGCTTCGTAAAGCGGTCCTGCGTCCCATGCTCTGTTTTCTCCGCGTTGCGCGGCATTTTCTTTTTAAAGGAGTTCGCAACAGAAAATGCGTATAAATATATGCACCAGGGAGGGAGCCCCCCCCCTGTGGATGGAGCGGTGGTGGCTGGAACATATAAAGATACGTATACGTATTTTGCTTGGTGGGATAATAAACCTAAGAGTAACTAAACGCAAATCCGTAGTCAAAGTCAATCACGTTGGAATAAACCCTATAGCTAGTGGCGCCGTGCGTGCTGGGAGCGTCACGATTGCAATCATGTAGAAGAATACTTACCAAAGCGAAAACCATCACAATGAAAATGAAAAATCAGAGGCAAGGTAAAAAGAACTCTAAACAAATTGGAAACCTTAAACAACAAGATGAAAGTTTAACCCTAGAGAGATGCCAGCGCGAACCCTTGTTTTAATTAAAGAGTGTAAACACAAGCTCTGTTCTTACTGCACTATTTGGCACTGCTCTTACTCATGAAGTAAGCGGAATATTAAAGGATCAGATTCCTGAACTCGGTGGCCTATCGGTTCTAACATACTCTTTGTCTTTAAAACAAGGGCTAGCAAGGGCATCAAGAGACCTAAATAGTACTGAGCCCTTGTTTTATAGAGTGTCAACAAATAAGACGGAACAATCTCCATTGAGAGGACCCTTCTTGATCCAACTAATTCCATCAGCAGAACCAGCTCATTCGGCTTAACCCTAGACGAGATGGAAGCACTTGTTTTTTTAAGTACACTCTTTAAAGCAAGCGCTAACAATGGTATGATCTCGCGTCTAGGCCTAATAAATGAATGAGAAATAAGTGCTCCAACATGGTAGTCCCTGATAGGTTGATGGGAAAGTTGAACTCGAGGAATAGAACAAGAGACCTCCTGGTGTTAACAATTATGGTACTATCTCTCGTCAGTCTAGGCTCATAACTACCTAAATATTAGACTCATAACTTCAAAAATTTGCTGCCACATGATGTTGAAGAACAGAGTATCTAAACTCCTCCACATAAAATCAAACATATAGCCGAAGTATAAGTACATTAATAACTGAAACACGTAATAATGAGGCATGCCTGGGACTTTTCAAAGTCTAAACTTCTAGAAAGAGTGAAACTGTAAAGAAGGCTAGTGCCAGAGCCAGTGACCTCGTCTCCATAATTTTCATCTCTTCTGCCTTTATTGTGCCGCCACCTCCCAAAGTGTGGAATAGCGAGGACGCCTCCCAGTTCGAGGAAGGCAGTAAATGTCCTTGCCCGACTTTCATCGCTTCCTTTGCTTGCCGATTCCATGCTTCTTTTGCCGTGTAGAAAAAGACATCCCTTCCTCCCAACTTTGTCCGATCTAGATTTCTTAGAAAGTATTCATTTTTGCAAAAGCAGGGTTAACCGCATCTGATGACGTTCTTGAATCTTATAGTATAAGATTATTCTGAATGATCATGTCTACTAAGTTAGTGGGTAGAACTAGAAGTACTAGATGTAGAATGTCTAACAAGATAGACTTAGAATGTTCTAGTAAAGAAGAATCGAAAAGGAAGTTTCCAATAAGTATCTTCTCCTCAAGAACAGGATCTTGTTCATGCTCATCATCATGTCCACATTATTCTACTGATGAACAATGGAAGCTTGCAAATGCAAGAAAAGGCTGTCGTGGAGGTGGAGCCATAATTCTGGTCCAGCGACGACGACTTGGCGTTTCGCCGTGGCCGTCCTCCTTAACTCATTGTGAAGCTCCGGCTTTTTATCGCGTGGTCCCCCCGTCTTGGCATGACTTCCAGTGAGGCCCAAGTTACTAATGGTTTTTTCGTATTATGAAAGGACTCCTAAGTAAAGATAAAATAAGTGCTGGTGCGCGTGCGGCTTTTCCGTATGATTATAAAACTAAAAGAATTCATACCGAAATAAGAGATAGTACTGATCAAGGATTCCTTCTAAGGATAATATTTTCAGTGCTGTAGCTGTCGTAGTTCTCATAGAAGATACCGATCCAGAAGTTAAGGAGTCAAGAAGCTAAGGAATCAATGATCTTCTGTGAAGCACTCGTCACAGATACACCACTCGTCACAGATACACCTCTAATTGTTGAGCCAGCTCCATCCTACTTGAATCCTCTTTCTTCCTTCATTTCTACCTACAAGTACAACGTGCCTTCGAGGGAGTTCATCTAGCTTATCCAATTCTTTCTTGAGGTTGAGGATCATGTGAGTAATAAAATTCGCTAAGCTCTACTTTGTGTTTCGTTTTGAAGAATGTCAATGTGTGAGAGAGTGAGTAAATAATTTTTCTCAAGTGGATATAGAACGAAGGCTAGCTCATGGAAGTAAGCTATATTTTTAGGCTAAATAACACTCACGGCCTCTCTTGCTAATTCAGTCACTAAATCAAAGACGCCATTGACTTTGATTTCTAGAAGTTGGTTTTCAAATAGAAGAAAGCCAGCAGGATGCTGCTGCAGTGTAAGCGTACTACGGAGGTCTGCTGAGAATGAGCATGAGATGATGGCGACTTTGTTCATAGATTAAAGCTCACCCTAAGAATCCATCTTGAAGAACACCTTGATGAAGACAACCTCCGGAGACCATTTTCCCCTTCAGAACCAAAGCGTCTGCAAGTGCTTCCGAAGATGGATCAGGGGAACGAAGTAGCCTTAAATAGAGTTGCGCCAGCATTAGAGCTACCGCGTTGCCTGCTTGCCCCCCCCGAAGTGGGAAATCCTTGGCTTCTTTTTTAAGTCTAAAATATCTTCAACTATAACCGTTGGCCAAGATCTTAATCCTGGAAGTAACACAAAGACCCACCAAGATCCTAAGGATGAAGATCAACGAAATGACCAAGATCGCCAGGCGAACAAGGTACCCACCGGCACCACTCTCAACGCGTTGGCCTTAGTTGGCGCGGGTGTCGGCGGTTTCTCCCTTCTCTCTCTCGTTTGTGGCTCAAGCCTCCCAACACAGTCAAGGACAAAGCACCACCGGAAAGATCTCAAAGGACACCTACAGACCTAAACGCATATGGTTCCAAAATCTATGATCAACAGGCAAAGGACCTGCAACGGATTCAGATAGCAGAAACAACGAACGTCCATAGCTGTAATCAGGTCCATAGCGTCTTGTCAGTTCCGATCAGTTCAAAGCGCGCAAAGAGCTGCCACGTAAGGCGATCGCATGAGATCAATGATGATAGCATAGGCGTTCCCATATGAAGCACAAGAAACCTTCCCCATCATGGTATCCCAATGAAGAAGCTGAGCCCTCTCCCTTGCAACCCCGACGAATATCCACAGGGACCAAACCAGCCAGAGCCCATTTGTCTCAGGCTGTAGCCTCCATTTGCATCAAACTCAAGCGCTTCCCACCGAGAAACTACACGCGACTTAACAGTCTGCGTTCGAATGGTCCAACAATAGCCAATAACTGCAGATGCAGACGTATCAAAAAAGAACCACGAATAATGGCTGAGGTGTACTTCTCCAACATCTCAAGAAACGTACTAGTCGAACTACAAGATGATCATAATTTAAGTACTTATGCAGATTGTGAAATACTCCTCGATTGTCTTTGATATTACAATTCTCAAAGAAGAGCCAAGGAAGCCGAGTGCTCGCTGAGGTGAGCAGGATGCTTCAGGAGCGGTCGCCTTAACGCCAGTTGCAGTCGTACCCGACTGCGGATCAGGTCTTGCAGTCGTACCCGGCTGCGGATTAGGTCCATCCCTTTCCAAATGCAAAGAAAGTGACGAGAGCTGCAGCCTCTCCTGTTTCTTCGGTATCGGTTAGCGTGTGCTAGAATGCATCTCGGTCTCCTCATCTTGGCTCCTAGTCGTTTTGCATTGTATCTATTTCATGAGAATCAACACAAGGGAAACAAAAGGATGCACTAACCCGGTCGTGAGCACTACTGATGTAAGGAGGACCCACAAATGATGTAAGTAGATGTGGGCTCTATTGAGCAAGAATGTTGTTGGTGAACTGCAACGTGCTACATACATACACAAGGGAAACAAAAGGACACCAAGATGCGGAGAAAGATGGACACTAAATGCTGCCCTTAAGTCCCCGCCGTTTTTTTGAGAGCGCCTTTCCCCGGCAGAAGCTGTTGATCATGTCTTAGATTTGTTATCTCAGTGAAAATATTATCATGTATACGCACAACTAGACTACGAAGACACGAGTAACTTTTCTACTTATATACCAGAGCAATTTATAAGGTTTCACAGCTCGCACGGCATGGAGTGCATGGAACACATGGAGTAGCGTGGAGCTAAAGCAAGGGGGAGCTTCTTGCGCCCCTTAAAGCTCTGCGCTCCATGCACTCCATGCGCGCCATAAACTACTCTGATATATTACGCGAGGCCGAACAACGGCCCCCCTCCCCCCCCTTGTGGTCTGGTCTGTGGTGGCGCGCCCGCGCGCTTTTCCGCGCGGATTTTTCGCGGATTTTAGTGCGTGGCGGAAGGCGTCAAAACTTGGCGCGGGCCTCCCCTTGGGCCTCTCAGCGTGTTCCTAAGGGACCGCCTGGCCTCTTCTGACCCTCGCAGGCGGGAGGCCTCCAGGGTAAAAGGCCGCCGGAAGCGGCCACGGTCGCAAGAGCAAGCAAGCCGCTGACCAAGGGCCCCGAGGGTACACGCGGCACGGCTCAGGGGGTCCAGCCCCTCCGCTTGCTTTGCCGTCTTCGGAGGCCTTCCGTTGCCGGTGCACTGCTGCGGCGGCGGAGCCTAACGGACGTGCTGAGGGCTCAGGCAAGCTCCTGGACGGGGGCGCAGGCGGTCCCTTGGGCCCCTTTTGAAGCCTCCCACCACCATACTTACATAGGCCCCTAGGGAACAGCCAGGCAGCTGGAAGGGAGCGGAGGGGGGAGGCTGAAGACCAACCGCGCACTTACACCATCTAACCCCACAAGTCTGAAGGGTACACGCAAACGAGAAGGAGGCACCCCCTTGGTCCCCCCTTGAGGCCTTCCACCTACTTCACAGGCCTCCAGTGAGCACGAAGCTCCTGGAAGGGACCGGGGGTGGCCCCTTGGCCCCCTTTTGAGGCCTTCCTCCCCCGGCAGACGCCTCAAGAAGGGGTCCAGGGCCTAGCGGGGTGGGGCTGTCGCCCCGCGCCCTGGCACATATATAAATATGCTTCAGGGGTGGTGGTGGAGGCCCCCCCTGTGGATAGAGCGGCGGGGGCGTCCGCGCGCCCTTTTTTTCCGCGGTGGTGGCAAAAATTAACGACCTTCGGGGGCCAAGGCCTCAAACGGCAGGGCCAGCCCCTTTGGCCTCCACCAAACCAACGCCCGGGGGGTTGAGGACCAAAGGCGGGGAGGAGTGGGGCCAAGCCTTGCCACCTGCTTCCCCCGGAGGCCTTTCACCTCCCAAGAGACTCCGCCAGCGAGGAACCCGCAGCCTGGAGTTCTGTAGGGTACGTGCAACATGCCGCAACAAGCCAAAGGGGGCCCAGCCTTGCCACCTTTGCCACCTTCAGGTGCCTTGCGCTCTCCCAAGAGGCTCCCCCAGTGAGGCACCCGCACCCCGGAGGCCTGTAGGGCACATGCAACAAGCCGCAACAAGCCAAAGGGAGCCCAGCCTTGCCACTTTTGCCACCTTCGGAAGCCCTGCCTCCTCCCAAGAGGCTCCCCCAGTGAGGCGCCCGCACCCTGGAGGCCTGTAGGGTACAGACAACAAGCCGCAACAAGCCAAAGGGGGCCCAGCCTTGCCACCTTCGCCACCTTCGGAAGCCTTGCCCGCCCGGCCTTCGGTGCTTCAACGGCCACAGGGACGGGGGCTCTGTCGGGTCCAGGCAAGAAGCGGGAAGGGGTCGGGGGTGGGCTTTTGGAGGCCTTCCCGCCCAGCCGTCCCTCAAAAAGGGTCAGGGGCGGGAGGCCCCCCCTCAAAAAGTTAGACCGGGGGCGGCTTGGCCCCTGGCCCCTGGGACATATTTATAAATATATTATAGCAGAGCAATTTCTAAGGTTTCACGGCTCGCATGGCATGGAGTGCATGGATCACATGGAGTAGCATGGAGCTAAAGGGGGAGCTTCTTGCGCCCCTCAAACCTCTGCGCTCCATGCGCTCCATGCTACTCCATGCGCCATGCGTGCTGTAAACTACTCTGATATAGATACCAGAACTCGTGATTGTTACCTACTAGAAGTACTAGGACCCTGTAGACCCTTAACGGTGAGTACCTGTGACTGCGATGTGTACCCTTATCGGATTTCTTCATAGCCACGAGGACACCATTGGATAGGTAATCCAACGCCGTCGGAAAGAACAGCAACGGAGGCGGCCGCTGTTTGGGATTAGAAGAGCTACCATCAAGGAAGTTCTTCTAGAACCCAAGGACCCAAGCAGGTCTGCTAGAAATTATCCGTATCCCTGAGTGAGAGTGACCCCATCTACTTAGTTGTAGAAGTACAGCTTCAACAAGGACAACAAAAGCCGACTAGTCGCATTGAGGGCGTTCTAGAAGAACCTGCTGTACCGCGTCGCATCAGTGAGCCCATCGCTGAGGACCCAAACTTTTGTGAACTTCTTCATCATCCTCGTCTTCTCGCCTTAATTTCTATAGTTGCTGCACGTCCGTTCTCTCCTTGTTCATCTGCCTTTGTACTTACAAGTGACGAGGTAGAAGTGCCGGCTGTGGCACGGGCACCACCATTTGACGCACCAATTTGATTATCACTCGTGGCACTTGTTGCAGGAGTTCTAGCAGTTTTGCCTAAAGACGAAAGATCGTTTACTGATTCTTGAGTACCTTTCGGCGGTGTATTTTCATCCTCTTCATCTGGATATCCCACGTTCACTGGGGTCGAGAGAAAGATAAACGCGACACTTCCACGCAGAGCATCGGATGCCACAGGGTGTTCTTGTCCTTAGTAGAGCTCGAGAAAACACTTGTTTCTGAAATTCCTTCCACGATCTTTCTGTCATTTCCTTTCTTGCCAGCTACGTGTTCATTTATTCATCTCCCAAGCCTATCATCCACAAGAACGAAGCAGAAGGAACAAGTGAGAATGAGAAATGACAGTCAGACAAGCCTAAGAAGGAACTACAAGTGAGAAGTGAAGGTCCTGTAGAAATATTGCGTTGAGCCTTAATGATCTCGTTGCTCGTCTTTAAAAGATTGAGGACCTGCAAGCTCGGAAGCCATCTGTTAGACCTTCCCTTTATTGTTCTCATTTTAAAGTGCACCCACCTTTGACCGTTTTTCCCCTTGAAACTGCGTCAAAGAAAGATGCTTCTGAAGATGAATTCGTGGAACAAGCCTTAAATCTGGTGTAACGCAAATTCGTAGTCTATGCTGGCGAAGGGTCCATGATCCTTCAGGTGCTGCAGTGACTCTATCCCCTGCCCTTGCATAAGAAAATCTACATGGTCACACTGAGCTGCTGCATCGTCTTTTCTCTATGGAAGGATGAAAGTTTTTCCATCTTCTAGCCAGACCATCTTCACGGCTACTTACCCTTTTGTTTCCCTTAAAAACGTATAGCCTTAAGGGGTGGAGCCGCGATGGTCTGAGAGATGCAAAAAACGTCATGATCCATATTTTCATGTTCATCGTGTTAGCTTCTAACGTTTTATCCGCTTCTTTGGCTTTTTTTGATTTACCGCTCCGATTCAGCAGATGTCAGAATTAGAAGTCCTCAATCATTTTCGCTATCGTCCACCTTGGTTCATCATCATCATCATCATCATCACCATTGCGTCTCAAATGACCCTCCGTGAGGATGACGAAATAATGAATGTACTTGTATGAGTAGTTACGTTCTCTAGTACCTTTACTAGAACCTCATTGACTGTCTGACCTCTATGTCTATCAACAACTACCACCACGACCCATACAGAGTCCTCCATAATTGTAGATATTCAGCACTCACCCGAGTCTATGTAAGCAAGCAAGATTGAATCCTAAAGAGTCGACATAGGTTTGACCAGCACGATGAATAGACTACGTCTAATTCAAACAGTACTAGTACTAGAGTTGTCTACTCGTCTTATGCAATATTATAGATATAGTCCACATCTGAGTCTAAGAGTTGTAAGCAGTAGATACTTGATGTTCACAAGATTGACATTGACTTCTAGACTACTACTCCAAAGTCTGTCTATTGTCCACATCTTACTCCTTAGGCTGCACAGTGCAGATTAAGTTGTAGATTGAGTCAGTTGGAGTAACTTGAGATTGACTAGCAAACATGACCATCAAGGGCATTAGATACCATAGGCATAGGCCAGCACATCTGTTAGTAATATAATAATAATTAAGACGAGTAGATGTATAAGTCGTATCAGGACAAATTATCAGGAAGTTGTCACAAGATTGCAGCCATAACCAATAGCATTTGTCTGCGCACAGGCTTCAGTACTCTGATCGCGAAAATCGTTGCCAAAAAAGGTGTAGGCTTGGGAACCCTTCCTCTGACAGAAAGGCGGCACTGTCACCCATCGCACCTCGAATTTTCCACTATTTGATTTCTCGGGTCTTGGTTCGCTTGAGGACGCGGTTGATCCGCTAGAAGAGGAATTAGGAGGAGACGACTGAGACTTATTTTTACAGATTTTTTGTTTTAAGGGATAACCCTAGGGATAGAGGGAAAACTAGCCGGCTGTTTTACATTATTACTAGTGCTTTAAAAAGCGTCACTGGACCTAAGCCCCATCCTACAGATTTGTACAGTTCTAACGACCACGACTTGAATTCGCTGTAGAGGTTTTAGGTTCTGGGTTATCCTGCACATCGAGTTTTTGCAGAATCAGTAAAAGTAAGAATCACCTTATCTATCAGAGTGAGACAAAAGAGGTTATCAGAGATGCAAGACAAGAACCAAGAATAAAAAAGATGGATCCATGATAGATAAATCGCAGTAAAGGACACTGAGCCCTAAGAACTAGAAAAAGATGACTGAAGCAGAAGTGAATGTGAAAATATTTTCAAAAAAAATAGCGTGATAGTCTCTTTCTGCAGAAGCCTTAATAGCCGTGGCACTAGCAGCAGCCCACCATTCAGCAGTACCACCACCATCAGCACCAGCAGCAGCACCACCACCATCAGCAGCAGCAGCAGCAGCACCACCACCTCCTCCGCCTGATGGTGCTTGATCATCTTGAGCCCCACCTCCTTGATCTTGATCCTCACCTCCTTGATCTTGATCCACAATTTCATTGGAGGTTACGGAATTACATTCCTCAGAACATCCCTGACTTATTTCCTACAGGAGTCAGGGATGCTAGTCAAGCAAGGATGTAATGGGGGAACCCTTAACTTCATCATTCTTGCCCCCGACATGTTTATCTTAGACCTTGCAGAAATGCATCCCCGTGAGCATCTTCGTGGTGGCCGTTTTTCCTTCAAAACGAGACAGAAGTGATTGGGAAGATGGATTTCCTCAAGCCTTAATTATTCACCATTCGTCGAAGAGAAGCTGAAAATTTTTCCGCAGACTCGTTGTTCTCGCACAAGCCGAGGAATTTCTGACATTGAGCATCGTCCACGTCTTCGCAAATTAGATGCTCTGTGGTAGCAGGTCGCTAGGGTATAACTGGTAAGCATGATGAATCTACAGTTCTAAGCATGATGAATCTAAGTATTGTATATTGTATCTATAGGGTCATAGGAGGGAATCCTTCACATCGAGTCCACCCAGGACGAAAAAATGACTAGTGTCCAAAACTCCTCCATCTATTATTGGTTCAAGACCAAGCTCAAGAAACAAATGTACTAACTCATTCAGCATCAGCTTCAGCTTATTAAGGAGCATAAAATTCGTTGTGATAACGATAAAGATAAACTTCAACTGTGCGCGGCCTTAATTTCTCCAAAGATAAACGCTTCTTTTGTGAGTCGACGCAAATTTGGGCCGCTTGGTCCTCCTTCAGCACTTCACAACCCCAGCAAAAGGGTCGAAACACTATTGCTTTCTTCTTTTTTTTAGAGAATTCGAAAAAAAGGATAGGCTAGGCTAGGACAAGATAGGATAGGACAAGATAGGATAGGACAAGATAGGCTAGGACAGGATAGGCTAGGATAGGACAGGATAGGCCAGGATAACAAGATAGGATAGGATAGGCTAGGCTAGGACAGGATAGGCTAGGACAGGATGGGATAGGACAAGATAGGATGATAGGATAGGCTAGGACAGAATAGGCTAGGACAGGATAGGCTAGGACAGGATAGTCTAGGACAGGATAGTCTAGGACAAGATAGGATAGTCTAGGACAAGATAGGATAGGATAGGCAGGATAGGATAGGATAGGCTAGGATAGGGTGCCTTTGATTCGCTCTCACGCGAGGGTGGAGGTGAGAGTTGCACCTAAGTATGTTTTTGAAGAATTTGAGCAGAGAGATTTTGAAGTTTTTGAAGTAATCATTACTTCTCTAACTTTACATCTCCTAGCTCATCTACTTGGAAAAAACAGCGAAAGAGACTGCTTAAATGCTTTAGAATTTTCGACGATACGTCGGTTGTAAGTACAAGAACTGTGAGGTTGTAATAAACAGATGGTACTTAAACAACAACAAACGAGTGAGACTCTAGTTGAAGAACTTCATGAAATAGAATTAGAATGTATTGTTCCATCAAAAATGGGGTCTTAATCGGACCAGCAGCAAGGAATTTCGGAATTGCATCGCTCAGAACTTCAGTGAAACCACTTCGCCAAAACAGGGTTACATCTTCGTTCATCTTCTGTGTGCTTGACCTACTTGTTGATGTGCCTCTGCTAGGTGAGGCGGGTGTAGACGGGTCAGGTGGAGATACTAGAGCGAATGAAGATTGACCGGGTGAAGGAGGAGTTGGACTTCTTGAGTCTGTGTTACTTCCGGTTCCGGGAGATGATTCGGATGGAGATGAAGATGAAACTGGTGAAGATGGAACCGGTGAAAGTCTTAACGCTAGTTCTTCACTATGCCTGGTGGATGAGTGACTTCTTGTCCCTTTCCTCAGTATAATGTTCCCCCTGAATAATCAAGGGGCAGCTCACTCAGCATAGGATAGCCCACATTTAGGTTACGTAGCGAACAACTAGCCGTAAAGATGGAGTGGACGAGGGAGATGAAGGAGACAGACGAGGAGACAAAGACGAAGAAAATGACGAAGCGGATGGAGGTCGCTGTCGGTCCAACTTTAGAGGAGGTGGGTGTATCAACAAGGGGAGGCACCCACTTCAGAAGCAGGAACAGCCCATTATTCTACTATAATCTTGCCTCAAGAACTAGAACAGTTGTTTCATCCTTGAAATAGTAGAAACTTGCTTCTACTAACTTGACCCTGACATTTCTATAGTGGCCTTAACATCGTCAGACTATGTTAAGGCAGTGTGTCATCTCGTGAAAATGGAGGAAGGTCACAAATTCAGAGGTACAGGTTGGGTTAGGTGAGGCGTTAGGTTCGGTTGCTGAGGTTACACGTTAGTCTAAAAGCAGGTTCTTCACTAGCAGACATGGTTGAAGGTCACAAGAACATTAGAACAAGCCTTAATGGTTGAAGGTCTTCTCTTGTTTCCACATTATCCGGTGACACAAAAGCCAGCACGCTATAGTCGTAAAGGGAGCGGCCTGTGGATACCTCTAGGATTTCGTTCAGCTCTTCTGCTGTTTTTAGTGCATTTGGTGCTTTTCCAGGAAGCGTCCAGCCAATTTCCCATTAGATAGGTCGTGCCCCTGTGGGTACAGATAGGATAGGATAGGAGTTGGCTCACCTATGAGGGGTGAGCGTTCGAGGCCGTGCGGGTGTCGAGATGTTGACTCTTCTCAGGTGGAGATGATCATGCCGGGTCAATTTATCGGTACAACAGAACATTCTTCAATCATGGGATAAGAGCAACAAGGAGACTGATGTGGTAGCCTAGTAAACTCTTTGGCTAACACATTAATGTTGTTCTTGCTCTTGCTCCAAAGTAGAAAGTCAGAGAGAGACATCACTCAGAGAAGAAGGATAAAATTAAAACCTAAGAACAACGAGAAGGAATACATGGCGTGATAGTAGTACAAGTAGTTCGAATTCCGATATAATTTTCTTTCCTTCTACTGTTACTCATTTTTCTCCCTTATGCTGAAGTAAATTTCCTTCACCTTTTCGTCTGAAATAGATACTTAAACTTATTGGCATTTTTCATTTTCGTATTCATCCTGCCAAGGTGGTGGAGGTTCCACCAATTTTCCTCGGATACAATTTTCTTTCCATAATTCCGATATAGGATCGACTAATTCACCAATTTTCCTCGGATACAATTTTCTTTCCATAATTCCGATATAACTCTTTTCCTTCCCTTTCCTGCCAGGGAAGATTCCACTGATGATACTCTCGAAAGATGCCCCATTCGCCTTTCTTACCAAAACCCGGAAGACCCCCTCCGTCCGTCATCCCACCAGGCCAGCCACCCAAGAATAGACAGTTCTTAATTACTTAGAACAGAAGAAGATGATAGGCCTCCTCCCACCTCAGAATAGACAAGGATCTATGTAGTTCATCCACCTTCCTTCTAATAAAGAGGAACACCTACTTCCTTCTTAGAAAAAGAGGAAGTTAGTAGATGAAGTTCTTGCTACTACTCTGCAAATGATAGTGTTCCCTTGCTTTCTGCCATCTTTGTTCAGTTATACTAGTTAAATACTATTGCGTTAACAAGTCCTTGCTTTGTCAATCTGTCTACCAACATCCTCTTTCGAAGCTGCCTTAAGTTTTCCCATCCTCATCGCGCTTAACCATCCTCCACGTGTCCATAGGTGGTTCTATGCTCTTTTCTTCTCCTCCTCCAAGTGCCAATTTTGGAATTTCCGTCATGAAGGGAAAAAGGTAAAATATTAAGTGAAATACGTACAACTAGTAAAGGTATGCAAAAAGAAATAGAAGGATTTAGATAAACTGAAACTTCTACTAACCCCTATAATCTAACTACAAAATGAAATACTTATATCAAGCACGACTTTAAAAAGTTATGAACATGGTAAAATCGATTGTTCCATAGTCCTCTTTCCACCATCGCTACCAGTAGCAGCAAGCAAGAATTAGAAAGCAGGAAAAGATGATGACGATCAATCATTATCCCTTTGTTCGTAGATAAGAGGTGAAGTTGTCCCGTACTTGTACTCGGACCTGTTGAGGAGTTGAAGCATGATCATCAAGGATGCTATGTATGAGTATAATAAGATCGGTGGAGCACACCTAACTAGAAAGCAAAAAACCAAAAAAAGTCAAGTAATCCAAATATCTAAATAAATCTTAGTGGCCATGTATGAGTAAAATAAGTAGAAATCAGTGTAAAACTATAGAGGTCCTCTGTTAAATACTATAAAACATGTGGTCTCCTCCTCCAACCTGCCATAAGCTCCTTTACTAGTACTTTGCATCATTTTCGTCGCACTAGCTCGTGGAGAAGACACAGATGATGTACGCGCGCTGTTAGGAGCAGTAGTACGCGCGCTGTTAGGAGCAGTAGTACGCGCGCTGTTAGGAGCACCAACTTATGAAAGTACAAATGTGTAGTTTCTCCCAATTGATGATCCATCTAAGCAGCGATGAACCTTAAGAAGTTATTGTATACACTTTCTTTACCAAGGCAGCCTAGTGGCAGAAAAGGGGCGGCCGCAGCATAGATGATACTCATAGATACTACACTTTCAAAACCAAGTTGAACTATAAGGCTACCATTCTAACCAAGGGAGAGTGGATACACTTTCCTCGAGGGAGAAAGGGGCGGCCTAGAACAAGAACCAGCAGATGCTGGTCTGGTTTTTTTAATACTGATCCTGAGCAAGGATGGGCAGTTCCCTAGATGAGCTTCTTCTTCTAGATGGTCTGGCATTAGCAAATGGGAGAAAAAACGACATCCATATGGTGCGCTGCGATCCATCTAGACCAGTTCCGCCACTATCCCCATCCCCTCCTTTTTTAGCAGGTCCTTTATCGTCCTCCTGTGATTTAGAAGATGAGATATTACATCGTCGTTATGGTTATCGTCCTCCTGTGATTTAGAAGAGATATTACAACATGAGATAGAAGTAGGTGTTGAAGTCTACTCTTCGAAAAACTATCGAGTCAAGTACTATCCTCGAATTTACTTGCATATTTTAATATTTCATATGACACTAAAAAAAGTACTAGTCCTAATTATTTGTAAATTACATAAATATCACTTCGATTGACTACGATTTTATGTAGAAGTTGAGAAATTGATTAGAGGGGATCAGTCACGCGGAAGGCTGGAGACGACGACGAAGCAACCACCTGCCAACGCACTTCCACAGCCAGCAACTTGGAGGAGGTCATCTACTAGAATAGCCGGACTGTGCTCAAGACAAGAAGAGGCTGCTCGAGCTGGACCATGATACTTCGAACGAGACTGGCCCCACCTGGTGCCTGGCGTGCATCACTTACTTGTCCCCGAGTTGCTGCCTCGCTTCCGCAAAATTGGCACAGCCATCGATCGCAGTCTCCTCTCCTTTGATCCCGCACTTCGTGGCCTGCCAGCTGCCGCAGACTGATCCCGTAACTAACCGTAACCTCATAACTTGCCATACCTCATAATACTCACCTACTTGTAGCATCTACCAAATTTACAAATTGAAATTTTTAGTACTAGTACTTTTTTTTGTCATATTTCAAATAGTCATGATAGTGGTCTCATTACTTGGCTCATTTCTTTCTTCGTGGTCAAGGTTTTTCACCCATATTGGGTTTGAGGCCACCACGCTCTACTCCCACTCCACCAACGTTGATGTAGATGTAGTAGTTATAGTTTTCTATTTTCTATCATAGACTCTCGCACTTGCCAAGCTTAACTTCATCTTCCTCCTCCGAAGAGGAGCTATCTTCATCGCTGTCTAGGCAGTCGCAGACCTCGCCACAGCAGCCCTCGTCGTCCTCCTCTTCAGTATCCGTTTTATCATCTCTCTTGTTGTCATTTTTTCCGTTCGTCGTCGAAGCACCTGCAGCTCCACTTGTCGAAGCATCTGCTCCACCTGTCGAAGCACCTGCATCAGCATGTTGATTCTCTCTTGAAGACGGAGAGGACGTGGCTGGTGTGGTCGCAGGAGAAGTGGCGACTTTATTAAGATCTGCTCCAAGGTCAACATTTTGATCGCCATTAACGACTGGAGAGGACGTGGCTGCTCCGTCAAAGACTTGAGCCACTTTCGGAGCACTCAATAAAGTTGTTGCACCAGCTTCTTGCTGTTGACCATCTGCAGCAGTGGCTTGACTTCTTTTTGTCGTCCTCCTACCTTGTTTAGAAAAGTCGAGGGCTTGGGTTGTAGAGGGAGCAGCCTGAAGCAAAGTCACAGTGTGAATCGTGAAGAATACTATAAGTAATGAAGTAGGGGTAGACCCAAGTAGACATCCTGAATTTTCTGCGTGTACATACTGAACAAGCTAAGGAGAATTCCAAAACAGAAACGCTTCTCAGCGGACGATATCTTAATGATTTCAAGCGTTTGCTGTTGTTCTATGAACGATGTTGCAGCAGGTTGTTCGTGTTCGCCTGTAAAAGACGTTCCATCTTCCGGTCCTGATATTCTTGATACCCACTCCACCTTGTGACTCACTCCTCCTTCTGATGTTGATGGTATGGTTGTAGAGTTTGTTGTAAAGACCACTTCCCAGGTACGAGATGAATCTTCTCGACGACCTCGTCCCTGCTGCTCTACTTCAGCATGTAGGACTCGTCCCTGCCCTACTTCAGCATGTGGGACAGCCCTCGACACCACACAAACAGGTATACACCACGAAGTGGTCAAAAAGAGTACCTTCGCGAGTACCTCCATGAGCTCATTGGCGACTTACGACCTCCATGAGCAGCTCCACCTCCGCGATAGTGGTAATATTATCTCTTTATGTAGCTTTGCTGATCCTCTGGCAACATTCGCCAGTTGTACCTCCACCAAGAGCTCTTCTGCGACTTTCAAAAGGTGTAGGACGGGGAGCATGATTATAGAGGTGCTCACACCTTTGAAACGAGCATCTGAGAAGTCATTCTCATTTGCTGCATTTCTTGTGAAGGTGCCAGAGATTGACTATACATTGAAAAGACATAGTACTCTTCCTCAGACTAGTTCATTCATACGATGACCAAGACATTGTTACAATACTCGTAGAAGAAGAAAAAACTAAATCACAACATTCATTGCTTGGTGGAAGTAGAACATTCATCATTTTGATTGAAAGAACCATAGATGAAATAGTAATAGATTTAGATAGCGTCGTGGACCGACACGACAGAGGACAACTTCTTGTTCAGAGTCAGAGAATACATTTACATAGGACCGATCAAATGTGAATAGCTTCAAGTTCCTCTTGGCAGCAGTTGCCCTAACTCGTCGAAAATCAAGGCCATGACCAGCTACAGGTACAGATGATCCCATCAGCATCTCCTAGATAAGTACAAGGCTACTTCATCTTCATTGGATTTTGGGTCACAATCGTTGCACCTTTCTCAGCTTCATCAGCGGTCCTGGCCTTGATGTTGCTTTCGGCACGCTCTTTAGCCCTTTTTTTAGTCGCTCTTAATACTTCTCTACTCTCCTGTCGCTCCCGTTCTTCTCTTTCCGTCCTCTCGTCTTCCGCCCTCGTAGGCCACTTGTGGTCACTTGTGGTTTGACAACCAACAGATACAAGCGACCTGAGAGACTAACAGATCAGAAAGAACGTCTCTCTTCTGAGTAAAAATATGAAGCATGCTGTCGTCCTCCGACATATGAATCCAGGAGTCGTGGTGAAGATGTTGTTCCTATCAACCGTAAAAATATTCTCACAACAAGCACAAGTCCCTTCCTGGTATCAACTACGCTTATTTCATCACCTACTACGTCCATCTTTCTCTTTGAGCCTTTTCCCCATAGAAGAAGCGATGGAACGACAGTCTTCGACGAAACGCATGTACTCGTACTTAGGATCTTTCTGGACCATCCATCTTTCTTTCCCGCGTGCGATTTTCATAGCTCGTCTTATCATTCGGTTTTTTCTTCTCTCGGACTGCTGGTTCTGACTCTTTCTAATCTTCTTACATAATTGCCGCTCCTCATCCTCGCCGGCGCTGGGTGCTTCTACTTGAGGACGTTGAAGAAGAAGATGTGAAGAAGTTGTCGGAGGAGGATCATTTTGCGCAGATTCTTGCGCTTCTAGAAATTGCTGGTCCTCCACGTCCATTACGTCCACCCCCGCAGCATCCTTGGCCACGAAATTCTGCTTCATTCGCGCTAACGTCTGTGGCAATTGGACACTTTGATACCATTTTTTCCAGAAGTCATCTGCATAGACGCTACCCGTTTCGTGGTCCAGCAGCTTCTTCTTCCCAGGCGGGTGAAACCATGCATTTAATGCTAAATGCGTGTCGCCTGAATGGACTTCATGAAACCAGGAAGCCGGAAGGTAGAGCAAATCACCAGGATTCAGGTTGGCTTCTAACATGTTGATGGTAACATTTTCATTGGCCTTAGAATTCATACTAATGAAGCTATTCATTTTCTCCTTGTGATGTCGTCCTACCCGTTCTGAAATCTCTGTCGCAGAATACCTTGCAAAGTGATGCGGCGTTTTCTTCTTGTTCAGGTCCTTCACCTTTTTCCTCATCTCCTTCTTTTCTTTATCAGAAGATTTGAATCTGCCACCTCGAGCTGCTTCCAGTTGTGCTTCCAGCATCGCATCGTCCTCGTCTGAAGAGTAATTTCTTGTGACGCATTCTTCATCATCGCCAGGAGAAGCACCGACAGCATAAGGCGCGCCATCAGGTCTAATCCCTTTTTCATAGCAGATCAAACCATTCCAATGTCGCTTTACCACTGTGCCGCGGGTTGGGATTTCAGTGTCTGGCGAAAAGAGAAGAAAACGCTTAACCCCTTGCTGCAGGAAGTAAAAGTTGTCGTGGAAGTCGTGGTGGAGGGGTGTTTGCGTGCGTCCACAGCCATACCACAGGTTGTATTGAAAAGGGATCAGTCGTTTTTTGAGTAGCTTTTCGTAGAAGAGCGACGAACATTCGTGGAATAAAGTCGTTGTGGAACAAGAGGGGGTCGTGTAACAAGAGGAGGTCGTTGAAAAGGAGGAGGTCGTGGAACAAGAGGAGGTCGTTGAAAAGGAGGAGGTCGTTGAACAAAAGGAGGATGAAGAGATCGCAGCTAATGAAGGTTGTTCCGAGCAGGACCCACTAATATACGGATACAGCAAGTGATCACCACACAGCGTCAAGACTCGTCCTTCTGCATCCTCAGGTAAAGGCTGAGTCGTCAAGTAGACTTGATCACGGCTGCTGTCGAACAATGTGGACTCGAAGTCCTGGAAACTACAGGATGCACGTTCTCTAGCTCCCTTGGCTCCGAAATTAGGCTTGCTGCCCTTTTCCGGAGGTACTACTTCTCGTCCTTGTGGTCCACGGTGCTCTCCTGCAAGACCTTCTCCAACTCGTCTACGAGTAGAACTACAAGCCTCTATTTGTTCATCTGCTCCTGCAGCTGCAAATGCAACTCTACTACTAGAAGCTTTTTGTTCATCTGGTCGTGCTTCTCTCTGCTCATAGTGAACTTTTGTCGCTGGGCCACAAAAATTGGAGATCTTCAGCCTTTTATAATCATTTCGTGCAGGAGGAGCTGTTGAGGTTGAAGAGCAAGACCTTGAGGACGATGGTTCTTCAATCTTCTTAGGCACGTTGCGGATGATCACGGGTTTTCGTCCAAGGACATAGGCTTCGAAGAAAGTGTCCGCGTTAAAATCAGCAAAGTCGAGGTGGTCGACTTCCTTGGACGGATTCATCTTCTTGGAAAGTCCTTGTTCAGTGCTCTTCATCATGTTGGTGCTGTCGTGCGTGTGAATGTGCTGTTGCCCGTAGTAAGCTACTTGTTCTTCTTGTACTACGTACTTGGAGAGGATAATAAAGAGATAAATAGTTCTTGTTAGTTCACTATCACTAAGAAGTTCGTAGAAGTTTCGATACCTTTACCCCTGCAACTAACACCAAGCAAGTCGAAATCTTCAGCACACAAAAAATGCATCCGAATGAAACAAGAGGACTCACAACTTCTCTGCAACAGCAAAAAACGAGAATATGCGAGGAAACACAACAGGAATGCGAAATGTAGTTGTACCGGACTTCTCCCCGAAGGAGCTTCTAAAATAATACAAAAAGGAAGTACATCCACATCGAGATCGATCGCAGAGTTACAACTAATCAGGATCATCACATCCAAACATCCAAGCTTCCATTCTCAGGATCGCCTGAAGGCCAAGGGATCCACTTCCACTACCGAAGCGAATGATCTGAATTTATTGCGCATGATCCATCATGTGTTGAACAAAGTAGCGATCGCATCTCCAAAGAGCAGATCAGGAGGAGAGTAAAGTAGATGATCATGATCTAATAAGTAAATGGCGGGCCTCGCAGGAGTCGACCTTGGCATTAGATCTTCGACTTGTTCGTTCTTGATCGAGAAGATCTTCCAGCGACCTCGTTTGTGTCGAACACACGACCCGGTCCAAGCATGTTTTGGATAAGGATAGCAGCAGCAGTACTAGCTAGTGTAGTTTCATAGGACGGAATAGTAGTAGGCAGCTAGCCTAGTTGTACAGGACAGGAAATAGAAGATAATGATCAGAGCTAGTGTTGGCGTGTAGTCGACGTGTTTCAGTCACAAAAAAGGCCTATTTCACCGCGCAGAAGTACTTTGGGAGGTCGTTTGACAGCTAACCCTTCATGCCAGGCCTTATGGGGAAAGAGCAAGAGACGGCCTGAAAGTGGGAGCACATCGACCGAGTTTCTCGTTTGGGAACTAGAATCGGCGTGTTGCTGGTGCTGGTGTCGTGTCGTCGTGCTCGTGGTAGGGTCACTTAAAAATATTGATGTTTCTCCACCCACACTTCGATCTTCTCCAGCATCCTCAACCTCATACGCACTAGAAGGATCTCGATCTCCTTCCTCCAAATCAAAGTACAAGATAAACGTATGCGTACTCCGCCTGCCACTTTTCGCATCTGCCCGACAAAGATCTTGATGTGTACCTACTGCGCCTCCTTTTTTTGGGTAGTGAAGAAACCGCATCTGGCCAAATGTTAAAACAGAAGTGCTGTTTGAACTTGGAGTAGCCCCTAGCGAGGATCTCCTCACAGCTGCTTCCAGGTGACTCTGCACGTATCCATCCACATCCCAGAAGTATCGCCGTTCTGCGCACAGTTCTTTAGCGCCCGTATGCGCGATTTGCTGGTTGAACACGTGGCGGAGGTAGTCTAGGAACGAGGATGATGTGGCCGCAGGCGTTCTTGTCGCGGCTACTAGAGGACTCCATGCTCCATCAATGATAAACGCTGTGGAACTGAGGAGATTGTTCCTTCTAGCTAGAAGCGAACTTGGGTCGTCTTCGAGGAGATAAGGGATGACGAAAGACTCCATCTTTGGCGTAGAGGAAAATGTGGTGGGAAGGTCTCTTAGTCCTAGAGCGCATGAAGCTGTTTCGAGGTTGTGCTTAGTCACATTCGCTTTCGCCCCTTCCTCATCTAAGCTCTTCAGGTAGGAAGAAATGATCTGCTTCTCGTTCATCTCCTCGGACTTCTTCTCGTCAGATGCATCGTCATGATCAAGAAAATCAAAGTCATCTTCTTTGACTATTCTCACGCCCCCACCTTCTCGCTTGTCCAGAACTATAAACCTCCTCAAAGCGCTATACCCATCAAGGAGTCCGTTATTTGCAGTATGCTTCGTCGCGCCGAACTCTTCCACCAATGCCTGCACACCGCGACTCCACCTTAAGCTGCACGCTTGCATCAAGGCTGTGGCGCCATACTCGAAACAACCGGCATCCACGTCTACAGCTAATGTAAACAAGGCTCGCATTCGCAACAAATCTCTGTTTTTCACAGCCTCTAGCCATGCCACAGTGCGGTCAGCTTGGACGCAGCCCACATTGAGGAATTTTGTCTCGTACAGCGACAAGCTGCGACAACTGGTGTAATTGTTGGACATCGCCTTCAGCTTGGCATAGTCGGGATGCTTTTTGAAGTCACCAAGGATTTCGCGAGGTAGGGAGCAGACAAAACGGGTGAGTGAAGAAGCAGCTGCATGACTGGCGGTGGTGCAGGTGGAAGAGGAAGGTCGTGGACTCAATGATGTAGAGGAAGAGGAAGATGTTTGTTCAGCTGGAGATCGGTCTTTGTCGGATTTTGCACGAGAACCAGAACTAGGATCATCTGCGGATGCGTCGCTATCACTCGAAGGAGATGACGACTGGTCTGCTGGGCTCGCACTAGTAGAACCAGAAGCAGTCGTGCTATAATTACTTCTTGGAGAGATCGGCGTGTCCTCTTGTTCCTTCCTCTCCTCCTTGTCCTTGCGCAATCCATATCCACAACAAGGACAGGCTATGAAATCCTGATACTTCTTCTCCTTTCGTGCAGCTTCTCTTGTTTCTCCAGGAGTACTCGACGAGAATGATGATAAGGACGATTTTTCCACAACAATGTTGTGAATGTCCCCTCTTAGTAGCGGCTCTCTCTCATCAAACGTCGTGACAAAATCCGTCCAGAAGCATGCCTCACAGAAGAAACAAGGATCTTCTTCAGGTGTCCTACTACTGCATCGAAAGAGAAAAGGCAGAGAACCAAGGCCACATACTCCACAGCTCTTGCTGGATGGCGCTGTCTTCCCGCATGATGATGATGGTGATGATGGTGGTGATGATGATGATGATGGGACCATGTTCCTAGCCAGACTTTCCACGACGTACACAGCGAAACAGTCATGCAACCGTTTGCGAAGAATTTGGTTTGCTTCAATTAGAACTAAGGGAAATCCATCTTCAGCAGCATCCTGGGCCCCGTTTCCCCTCTAAAAACGGGACCAAGATGCCTGTGAAGATGGAATTCTTGTAGCCTTAATTCAAAGCCAATGTTCTTCTTGTTCATCTCGGGAGTCCTTCTTGATGTCCGCGCCGTCTCCAGCTCCTCCAAACGTCGTCTAGTCGACTCTCCTAGCAGAAACGGCGTCGCTCCTGCATGCAGCAAGCTGTTGACAATCGGCGCGCTACCGGATAAAGCCGCATAGGCCAGAACAGAAGTAACCTCACCAGCGGCAAGAATTGCTTGTCGGTGGACGTCGCTCCACTTACGGTTTCGGCGTAATTGCCTTAAGCGTTTCGCGCTCTTCGCTGGGCATGGTAGAGAATGCTTTATTTTTTCGTTCTTGGGTGATACGTCTTCTTCCTTCAAGACATGTCCTCTCACATCAAGCCAACCATTGACGTCTAAACCAGCTAGCCGTTTCAGGCCAAAAAGATTGATATGGTTCTCGTCGACGTAGGTGAGGAGACGCTGCAAGTGATTGCACTGGTCCTCGCCTTGTAGTTTCTGCTCACTAGTGGAAATGGGATGGTCCTTTGCAAACCGTAATTTCTCACGCTCCCCACGCCTCCTGTTCCACGTCTGCGTTACGTTATGAGGCGCTACTGGCGCGGCACCAGAAGCTGGTGTACCAGAAGCTGGTGTACCAGCAGAAGCTGGCGTCGTTGCCGGGGAGATGGATGAACTCATTGTGGCTTTGGCTAACTACAAAGACTACTGCAGCGAGTACTCACTTCTACAACCCAAGACCAGCACTGCCACCAAAAATTACCTTTCATGGGCAGTGCTACGATCACATCGTTTCGATTCGCTTTGTTTGGCAGCTCTATTCTGACTACGAATCATGTTGCCTGTTGTAGATGTATTGTCTGTTAAGATGTGTGTGTTATTTCAAAAATAATCCAAAACTTGCTATTCGTATTCCTTTTCTCTTAAGAATTAGATCGTGGTGGCGGCGCTTGGACACTGTTGGTGTTTGGTGATCTTCTATTACTTTCTTGCTTAGATCCTGAGGAGCTTTTCCGCGCACGTTCTTGGAATTACCCGACCAAAAGGCCGTCAAGCCATGAGGCTTCTAAGTAGACGTAAACAATCACGAAACTACGGAAAGAGCCTGACACCTTACCAGAATAATTGCTTAGCCCTCCGCTGCAGGTCACAGACGCAGATCCGGGGGAGAGTGGCTTCTTCTTCCTCTCCAAATTTCTTCATCATCCTTCCATCGTCCACTTCTGTTTCGCAGTCTCAGCACATTGCTCCATGATTTTTACAAATGATCCGTTACAAATGAACTCTCAGCGGTTTTTGCAAGAAGTGCTCCCACATATATTTATAAGTGGTTTCTTAAGGAGCGTCAACTTGTATGCAATTTTTTTTGATGACGGTCACTCTGACCGCTTTTTTGACGGTTAATTTCAGGGCTTTGACGCTATTCTTTTTTGTGCTTTCTTGACTCATCTCAATATTAATTAAGTGCTGACAAGAACAACATTTACTAATATTTATTATTAGTAAATATCATTATAATCTTCTATCTCATTGTTCCTTCTCCTACTCCTCCTCCAAACGACCAAGAAATAGTGCCAGCACGCAGACCAGGTGGTCCTCAGCCTTTACAGTGAAACGATGCAGGATTTGCAATCGCGCCTCTTGGCCTGCTGCTCATACGAGGAATCGTCGCACAGCATCATTGCAGGCTGCTGATTGCATCGCTGGCTTTCAAGGGAGCCCGACGCGGATGCGGAGTTCATCTCAGTCACAGCTTGCGGCCGCAAGTGCTGAATGTCAGACCCCGATGCAGTCGACGCATCACGGTGTCGCAAAAACGAATCGAAAGAATCCGATGCAGCCGACGCATGACGGTGTCGCAAAAACGAATCGAAAGAATCGCGCACAACGTCGAGAGGCCCTCCGGGAAGAATTCCCTTCACCTTCAGGTTCCGAGCGGGACGATCTACTTCGAGCAGGAGATCCTCGACTGCCGGACTACTTCGTGAGCTTTGCGAAAGCGAGGCATTGAGACGACGGCGCGTGTTCAGATGCAAGAAAAACAGCGCCTCACTCGAATCTCTAGCCGGTTCCTGAAGAGCCCCTGGATTTTGCATCACCTGCGAATTTTGCAGCCTGCGTGCGATGTTGTCGGAGACTGACTGCCTTCTACTGGTCTTTCGTACGAGTTTCCTGTTCCTCAGGGTCTCTACTCGTATCTCTTTCTCTTTTCGCAGAAGATTTCGCCTGTCGACGTCCTCACCAATTTCTGCCGAAGACGACCTGCCTTCCGAGGAGTAGCCACATGCGTGCATAATCTCAACGGTGGCGGAGTCATCATTGGCTCTTCGACTTCTTTCTCTGAGGACAGACGAAATATTACTCTTGTTGTTCAGAAGAATAACCGCATCGCGCTCCATGTCCTCCTGAGACGACGAGCGACCTCTAGCGCTCGCTTCTTCGGAACTTTGCTTGGAGAGAAGATTCGCGATCTTTGCATAGAAGTCCACATTTTTAACGGCGGAACGCGCGAACGCCAATTCCCCTCCACGTATATGGAGAACGGACTCCCCCTGCATTGCTCCTCGCCTCCTTGCGCGCTTCTTGCCTCGCAAAATCTTGGTCTCACCTTTTTTGTGTGGTTCGCGTAGAATCAAATTTCTCACACGACGCGACAGGAGAGATGTTGAGTCTTGGATGTCTCTCGCCGGCGTTTGCTCGTCGTCACCACTGCAGCTATCCCCCGACAATGTTGACGATGAGTTGCCGCTGCCACTCTCGAGACCTGCAAATTGAAATAGCTCGGAGAGTTCAGACGAAAAGCCAGATGAATACACTAAGCTATCTTCTGACTGATCCTGTCCAGGCAGCTCATCACTAGGCGGAGTGACAGCTAGCGAGAGCATCTCGGAGTGCGCGTTTGTAAGGAGACGAGAATGAAAAACGATTGGCTCCGTCTGCACACCCACATTTTCCTGCTTGCCAAAATCTGACTCGTAGGGCTCCGTCTGCACCGCAATTTCTCGCACGCATGGAGGAGGGGCTGGCCTCTTACACATCGAAAGCAAACCGGAAACGCACCCGCATGTGTAAGTGTAGGTGTAGGCTCGTGGAGCTGCACAGAGGACTTGCGTGCCGCTCGTGGCAAAGCAGGATGGAAGAAATGCGAAGACCACCGTAATATACACCAGAGCAGATCCAATGAACGGGACCATCTTGTTGTTAAACGAGTAGGATTGTTAAACCCCTAGACTTTGGATTTTCTGATGAGGAACAAGAGGCTGGCCTCTTACAAATCGATACCTCCTTTATAGTCTAGTCTATGATCTATAGAGTGCTTTGACTGCGCGGTGGGTAACGTCAGTTCTCAAGTAGCTCTCTGGGGATAGTGAAAGAACCAGACCATGCCGGTGTCCTTGGTCGTGACTGTGGTAATTTTCATTTTCAACATGGAGAAAAGCGGCTTTGGAGATAACTTCATTTCAATTCATCTTGGAAAGTTCATAATCGCAAAGAAAGTTCAAATTTAAATAAATCAGGAACTCAGTACATTTTGTTCTAGGAAATGGAAATTATGATTCTCTTATAATTTTGATGCTGACGACGCAGTGATGGAAGCCATTTTGGTAATGTTACTCTTGGAATTTTCTCAGACGAGCGCTAGTTCTACCTCTGAACAAAATAAGGAGGTATCAGTATGTTAGTCCTAGTACAACGTATGAAGCTAGTTCCTGTTCCACTTTCACTTGGTAATATTATGGGTGGAGCCAAACTAACTAGGAAAAGAAAAAAGGAAGGAATGTAGGTAAAGGATAGAGTAGCGTAGATATTACTGTAATGGCCATGCTAAGTAGGATCCATCTATTCTAGGCGCCGCGTGTCGTCCAACAGCCCTGGAGGTCTTCTCATCGGAGGCGGCCGAGGTAATATTATTAGTTGGCTACATTTACATACAAATCCATGTTGTTTATAGCTCCAGTACCACTACCAGTTTCAGAGATATCTGATTGCAACTACGACCAATGCGTTTCTCCCCTAAATTTCAATTCACATTCTCTCTCTTCTCTTCTCATCTTCTTGGACGAAAATATTACTCGTGCAGCTTTTATTGACTTTCGCTGATGACGAGGATCATAAATATAGACCGCGATCTCCTAGTCTCTCCCGTTTGAACAGGATCGATAGGTCGTGCTATGTTTTTGTATGACAGCATGTTTATGTGAGTCAAGATTCGGAATCGTCAGGCATGATCAAGCTCCACCAAAAACAAGCAGATTCGCTTTCCACCCATCACTTGTTTGCACGGTTGATGTTTACAGAATTTGTTCTCTTTTCTTGCTTATCTTAACATGCGTGCGTGTCCTACATGAAAGCTGTTGACAAATGAGAATGAGGCTCAAGCATTTGAGCAATAGATCGGAATGAGGCCCAAGTAGAAGTGTATGAGCGAACGCGAGAATCGGGTAGGAGAAGAATGAGGCCCAAAACTTTGAGCAAGGATCGACTCGTCGTCATAAAATGAGCTCGAAAAGTTGATGTGGAAACAAGTATGTCTAATAAATATGACTACGTAGTAATTCCATCGTGAGAGAAGTCATCAATTTTACATGTGCCACCAGGTCCTGGATAACATCGATCAGAAGAATGAGGCACTGTGGCAATGTGGCAAGACTCTTCAGTTCTTTTCATTTTTCGTAAAGCAGAAGCATATTGCTCTCGCGGCTGTTTGTTTATTTGCTGCATATTTTTATATCAAAGTAAAGCACTTGCTGAAAGTCGTGAAGCGCGTTTTTGTATTATGGGAATAGACAAGGACCATCAACACAAGATCATCATCATGTTTGATACAACAATGGAAACAAAGTAAGACCCTGGATAGCAATTTATAAGCTGAATTCTTTTTGTCATCTTTCTTAATCGTGGCGAAGGTGACGCAGTGAGATGGACATGGTCATGGTCATGGAGGTCGTTATATATAAGACAATAACATCAAATTTGCTTTTCAATTTCTTGCAAGCACGTATGTTGAGCATAACTACCACTAGATAGCCTTTCACTTCTTTCTTCAGAGTGGTCTATTAACCTCCTCCATTTCTTCTGCAAGGCGGAGCATATCCTGTACTTTCGTGTCCTCTCCCTGCGCAATCTCGTCCGCCATTTTTAGATCGGAGACGGCCTCTTTCATTCCGAGTGTCGCCTGCCCTCTGCGGAACAATGCTTTCATCTTGAGGGTTTCAAGTCGGGAAATGTCGCTTTCTGTCGGGACAGAAATGTTCTCCTTGTCCTTAGTGGAAGTCTCTCTTGCCCAGAGATTCAAGTACTTGTCGGCCGTGTCAATTGCAGTGGTCGCGGCTTCATGGGCCTTCATGTCAAACATCGTTATATTCATCTTCGGCTGCTTATTTTGCCATGTTCTTGTAGTGTTGTAGCAGTTCGGCTTCACTTCATTTTTCCCGATGTAAGCGTTGCCGTGTAAGTATGCGTTGGCAGCGTTTGCGGAGCAGGCAACTCCATCAAAAACCTCCGCGAAGGTGGGATTAGTAATTTTTGAGAAACACTGCTGTCCTAGATGAAACTGGTCTGCTGCATCGGTGAAGTGCCGCTTTTGGAACAACTGGTTACCTTTGGCTTTGAAATCGGCAAACGATGAGACGCTTTTTCGATCTTGTTTGGCTCCTGTCTTCTCAAGGACTGGTGTCTGTTTGCAGCTCGTCCCGCTTCCGCTGTGCGTGGATTTTTTGTAGGTATATTTACCCATCATCATGTTCTTCTTATTTACTAACGCGGCCCCTATTTTGCGTGCTTTGTCGCGAAAATCATCGATGTTGAGGTGTTCAGGCGAGTCGATTGAGTTCATGGAGGGGAAAAGTGGGCCGAGAAGAACGCGCACGCACCGGTGACGGACCCAAGCAGCTTTTTTTCCCATGCTGACGAGGTTGCGTAATTCGGGATGCTCTGCCGCCATTGAAGCGGTGCAAGACGCAATCGAATAACGACACCAGTTACAAAAGAAGGCGTACTCCTCTTCGGACAGAGTGTGCTGCGATGAGTTCTTTGGAGCGATCAGCTCCGGTCGGACAGCGGACGCCGCCACGGTGGCCCAAGATTGGCGCAGCATGCAGACAGAAATGTCGATAAAGGGCAGTCCCGACTGCCGATTCATTACAAAACCGTGGTGAAAGACGATGCAAACGCAACCCGCGTGGGGAAGGACTAGATGATGTACTTTCTTGCTCGAGAGCAGCAGCATCGAGAGGAAAACGTCTTTCATACGCATGAGGACCGGTTTCTTCCCAAGCGAACGCATCATCGTTCTTGCATCTCCGCGCTGCGCAGCCAAATCTTGTTGCTCGTATTCCCTTCGCTGTGCCAGTTCTGTCGATGAAAACTGCATACCACTCACGGCCCGTAACAGAGGCTCGCCAAAAATTGTACCGGCTACGCCCTCAGACACGAACATGTTGGCCGTGAAAATCCGCCGAGCGGACGAAAAAAACGAATGCGGCAGCTTTTTAACGAAAAGCGTGCCATGCTTAGCCGACCACGACCAGCCACGTGCAGAGACGGGACAGGCAAACTGGAGATCGTGATTGATGTCGACGGCTTCACAAACTCCGACTGCATGCTGGGGACGGATGCGCGCCGTCACCCGAAGTCGATTACAACTGAGACACGATACACTTACAACGGCATCAAGTCGAAAGGAATGCGATTGCGAAGGCTGTGCATGATAACGCAACTTCAGGCTGTTCGTAGTTTCTTCTACGATGGTGAATGTGAAGATCATACTGGGAAAAGCTGCACCTCCAGCACGGCAGTTGTCCTGTGATGAAGCGAAGGACTTGGACTTGCACTTCTTCATTGTGCTCGTCAAGCACGATAGCGCGTCGTCTAGGTTGTAGTGTCTGCGAAGGGCAGCTACATCGGACTCTGAGGGCACTCCGAGTACTTCGACGGTTCGGCGGATAGAGGCATGCTCGGCGAAAGCACTCGACAGACGAGGGCTTCCAATTTGACCAAAGAGCAACTCCGCAAACGGATTCATGGCCGAGTTGGGTTGTGCTTCCACTACCGAAAACAGCTTACACTTTCCTTCAGCCTGTTTGATGTCACACCTGCGTGCGAAAAAGAAAATGTTTGAGAGTGGCACTTCCGGGTCGTCCACGTCTACCCAAGTTCCGAAAATTTTTGAAGTCCCAACTTGTACGGCAAAAGTTGGAGTGATATCGTTTATTTCTCCTGTGAAGTGCTGCTTCATTTCCGTCGTACTCAATGCAACCTTGCACAGAGCCACGCCTTCGTCATTCTCTTCATTTTTTTCGTCGTCTTCTTTGCTCGACGGGTTGGAGACGGACGGACCCGACAAAAGAGCCAGTAGAGTTTTGACTTCTGTTTCATGCGGGTTTCTCCGGAGAAGCGCTCCCAGTGACGTTTCATCTAGTGCAAAGCGGCCGGATAGCAACACCGTAACAGATGCTCGCGCCGGGTGTAGTAAGGTGTCGGTTTCACAACGAAAAACCTGTTCCGTCAGCGCAGTGGTTCCTTCCCCTGCGCGTCCTGCGGCCAGTGCGTATCGGACGTTGGCTCGAGGGCATGCTATCCATGTAACATGTACATCCCGTCTGCCACTCTGCTCTTCTCCTGGCGCAAAAAGTGCCAAAATTGAGCATAGATCTACCTCAGGATTTGTTTTGTCCAAGGGCGGCACTAGCGCATCGGACTCGAAACCAATCGCTCGAAACCCAAAAATGCCTTCCCAGTGGCACGGATCGATCTTCAGCAACATGTTCTCGAAGAACTCTCGGTAGGTTCCTGATCCAGCAACTGGACCAGCCATGTTCGGGTTCCGGTGGAGAAAGGTGCTAGTGAGCAGCGTTCCATAATCGCGAAGCAGCGGCCGCGTCATCAGCACAACCGTGAGCAATGCCATGTGGTCAGCAAGATTAGAACTCGTAATCACGTCGAACAAGCGAGCACGACCAGCAGTACTGTCGATCTGCTTGTTGCTACGTAGTTGTTCGTCATCGTCAGCTTGTTCTTGTGTGGAGGAAGTTACAAAGTGTGCAAGATTGACAGGACGAAGCAACAGCCCGATGGTCCTCGTGTGCCTGGTGGACTCGTCTTCAGCTGCTACCACATCATGGCTTCCGTCAGCCTTGACGAGAATACGCACTCCGATGCGACCCCGCTCTGCACTATATTCCGTGGTTACCACCCCAATAGAGCCGTTGTGTTGAGACTGAGATACCAACCCAGAAATTTGCACAAGAGATCCCCGCTTTATCGATTGTACTTTGCGAAAATGAGTTTCTTCATCGTCTGCGAGTAGTTCTACGCCACCTGCTGTTGGGGATTTCATATTGGGGGACTCTCGAACACTACTTGTACTAGGCGGAAGACGAGTCTGACTCAAGCTGGTGCAGAAATTCATCGCATTCTGGCAGTCGAAGGTCCATTCGACGTTCGATCGATGGGCTCGGGCAGCCGTCACCCAGGTCTGAAACTCCTTGAAACATTGTGAGAGCTGGCTTTGCCCGTCAGGCTTGACCAGTGGAAACGCGTCCATCGCATTGGTTCCATAATGCAAATCAAACGCCGTCTCCCGCCAAAACAGTGTTGGGTTCACGTGCCAGCATGTAGAAGAAGTACAGTGGTCAGCATCGTCTTGAGAAACAAGAAGCGATCTCGGGTTAAAGACGCCGGTGATATTATATGCGTTGTGCTCATCGAGGAGAGAGTCGCTAACTTTTTTCAGTCCCGGAGTGGAGCTGAAACCTAACGTGGCGCTCTGCATCCCACCAGTGCACATTCCATTGAAGAATGACTTCAGTGACTTTGGCGGTGAATTTCCGACGCCGAAAGTGGGGATGACGCTCACACCTTTCAGCACAGCAGATTCACGCATTTGCTGCATTTTCGTCCATATGCAGTGCGCACTCTCTTTGTTCGAGGTTGACTCGACGTTGAAGAACCCTAACCATTTTTTCCAAATTTCGACAATTCGTAGCCCCTCAACGACTCCACCTCTGAAGTCTTTCTTCCATACAAATTTTCCATCATCTACACAGGTAGCTTCGACGTCGACCTTTATTTTCTGCTCTGACCTACTGCTTGTCTCGTTCGACGAAGCCTGCTCCTGCTCGCCGCACGCCGCTTGTGCCCCCGAAGAACTTTCGTTGATGAGGTGCCTCAATTTGCTGTTCAATGCGCTCCGTTGGGTCGCGGTAAGCCCGAGTGAGAACCATATTGCAAATATCGCGCGAACGTCCTCGATTGACAAATCAGCGACGTTCTGCTTTGTGCTTGTTCCGTTGCCCCCTCTTTTTATGTTCTTTTCTGTTAACTCCACCTCTTCCTCTTGCTTTGCACCTTCAACTTGAACTTCATCATGCTCATGCGTGGTGAATCCGTTGTAGATACAATCGAGGATGAGGATGTTTCGCGCCAGCACGTGCGGGTCATAGTCGTTGATGGTCAGACGCAGTTTAGTGGTCTCGGGATCTGCGTCAACGAGCGAGAAGAGAACATTCCGAAGATCGCCACAGCCGAGGCATAGAACGTTCAGGTCGAGGCGGGCGCTTACGCCCATCGCTGCAATTTCAGACTCCCTTGTGACATCGTTTCCAGTTTGCCAAGAACCCGTTTCGAAAATGGGGCAACTCTGCAGATTCCTATGGCGTATGAAAATGTTGGTCGCGCGCGTATTGCCGATCGCGTAAAAGAATTTGCGGCGCTTGAGCAGAGTAGTCTTCGTCAACGGGAAATGCAGTGTAGGCATCGCACCATCAGGCTTCGATGTCACACTTCTGTGGGCATCTACCGACGCCGAAGACAGTACGACCATGATTGAATGATCCAATGAAACAATGTCCAGAACTTCAGTGATGTCCTTGATGCAATAACAATGATCTCGTTCTCTTTTGCCAGGTAGGGCGAACTCGAGCATAAGTATACATAGAAGAACTAGTTCTTGATCTGGTTCATTCTCCTGGTGGGACGAGTGCCGAATAGTGGACGTAGGAATCGAATGGAACTTATCATGAAAAAGTTCAGAAGTGCTCAACCTTACTCATTCATCTCCTGACCGACTCGGCCTTACCTTCCATCTGACCCAATCGAGTATCTTAGGTGATGCTAGATTCTGCAGCGCAGACGCAGAGTCTTTTCCAATGAGGTGAGTCCTGGCGGCTTCAGTAGAAGAATGTCGGAGCGTGAGCTAGACGAACGCATGTACATAGCTGCAGTTAGCGTTAGCGTTAGGAATGTTGATCATATTGTCTTTTCATCCGGATCCGCAATGTTTGTTTCTAATTACTTAGAGCAACGTCGCAGCGCACGCTGGTTCCTGTGCCACTGAACATAGTTCGCCAAGCGAAACCACGACCTTAAACAGTCCGACAGGTCGTCCAGGGTTTGTTGATTTCAATATCTCCACAAGGACAAAAGCATGATGAGAAGTTCAACATTTCTATTCTTGGAATACACCATTGGTCGCAAAGATGAAAGTTCAAACTCAAAATCAAGAACTCTTCATTACATCTATTTCTAGGACGAAATCGTCCTCGCGATCATTAGGTCGATGCGATAGAACTCTTATTCATCTGCACACTGAAGAAAAAGATGGGCATCAATTTTCCAGTCGAGAGTGCCACTAACTTATGAGAAGGACCACGCAAACTGTATATTAGAGAGTGTGTAAGTAAGGTGTCGTCCGTGTTGATCGCATTTTCCAGCTGTCATGCTGTTGCTTGCTCCTCGTAGTCATAATCGTCGGTGGTTAATTATTGTCATGTAATGGACGGAGCCACCAGAAAAATTTTGAATGAAATCCTTAATTAAGTCGTGCGTCGTCATCATCTTTGATATCAAGGAAAGGAATAGTTCTGCAGAATAATTCTGTATCGATCTAGTGATCTACATTTCTGCCCTAAAATGCCCACTCGAGCAATTCATCAAGTAGGGCACTGTCAAAAGGCAAGAACAATTTCAATGAAGAATTCAAGAACTGATAATTAACGAAAATTTGTTTCTCAAAACAAGGTGGTCATGTGAGGCTAGCTACGACTAGGGCTTCACAAAGTTGGAAATAGAGATCAATCATACATGATTCACTGGGACTTCTGGTTATCAACTTCTAGAGTAGACACCTCTGCAGAAAAAAGACTGTTGGGGTTGGCAGAGAGTCACCATCAAGATTGAGAAATCGGCTTTGCTTCATCAAATCAAAATCTGTTAGGGTAGCACAAGTCGTGCGCGAGGACGAGGGCGAGAAATAAGGCTCAGTGAGTCACTGGGTGAAACCACAATATTCGTGATCGTCAGACGTGGGGTCTACCGCGCACTCCATATCGACGGGCATCCTCGTCTTTGATCATTAAGTACAGAAAGTTTCAATTCTTGAAGCAGGTACTGCTACCAACATCACTAGCGTGGTACAAACTGCCGCTGCTGCTTCTAGTTCATCTGGTTACGGCTTTAGTCACTCATCAATTATATCAGGATGCTCTACTTGAGGTAACGATATAGTATCTCTACTAACACCTTAACCTCCTAAATAATCATCTCTAAATATGTATCATCAATTATTTTTGTAGTCTAGATCTAGTATCGTTCACGTTCCGATTTTGTAGTGGTCGGTGAGTAGTCTAGATCCAGTATCGTTCACGGTCTTTGTACTGGTTCTTGATCAGTTGTTCAACATCAAAGAAAGTTCAAAAATTCGAAGGATTCAAAAACAAGAAGTTCATCAAGTTCAAAAAGTACAAGAAGTACAAGTAGTTCAGGGTAAAAATATTGTTCGTTGGAGGTCGTTCAATCTTCACAATGAAAGATGGAAGGGTAAGTAGCATGAAGACTACAGAGTTGTCTTAGATGATGGCTTAAACGTTCAGCACGGCTTAAACGTTCAGCACGGCTTAAACATTCAGGACTGCGCCGGTATTCTGTCGAGATGCGGACCGGGAAGCGGGAACGAGATATGAAAGTTCATCGGGGAGGGGAAGATAGGGAGAACGGCCCTCTTGAAGAACAAGGAGATGATCAGAGTTCTTCTACCTAGTTCTTGTAGATGAAGATGTAGTGGTAGTCTACTTTTGATGAGGAGAAACCGGGGAACTCGTACAGTTCAAACAAGAGATAGTGATCGAAACCAAGCAATAGGTGGTGGATGGTTTTTCAGGGCAGATTGTCAAGAAACAAAAAAACCGATTCATAAAAATTCTCTCGTCTCTCGTTTTTTTGTTCTGTAGAAGAAGTTAATGTTGTAGTTTTCGTACGGCTGTGGTCTCCGATCGGAACATATCCAGCATGCGTGCCGTCACCGCAAATCCACCCACGATGTTTACGGAACTAAAGAAGATCGCTAACATCGCACAGGCCACCTTGGCGCTCAGCATCGGTCCTCCCAATTGTAGCATGCCTCCGATCACGATGATACCGGAAATCGCATTGGTCACGGAGATCAGCGGTGTGTGCAGTGCTGGGGTGACGCTAGCAACCGTGAAATTCCCGATCATGAGGGAGAGAACGAAGTAGCCGAGGTGCGTGATTTCCTCTGGAGGAATGCTGGTGCCGAGACCGAGAGCAAGCAGAACGCCAGTGCCCAGAAACATGGCGAGTTCTTCGCTGTGCTGGGACATCCAATCGAGAACTGTGACTAGAAGCCCTGGTGCAACTGCTGCGGAACCGGAACCACTAGATGCTGTCGAAAGGTTCAAAGCCGGATTGGAACCTGGAGTCGGAGACGCTCCGCCCATCTGACTCTCGTTCAAAGATGATCCTCCTACTGTGGTCGAACCAGCACTACCTCCTTTTGTGCCAAGAAGAGTTGCGGAAGCCGCACCAACTCCAGCCACTGGAGCAGGCGTATGTTGAACTGGCTGCTCCCGTGCTGGCGGTGGGTACATCAATTCGTTCTCGTGCACAATCATGGAGTCACGCACAATCTGATCGTCCAGGTTCAGTCTGGAGAGAACATTGCTTGCATCGCCTTGGCAGAGGACGTCCAAGAACGCCAAGAAGTTCCTAGCCAAGAAGTCGCTGGCTTGCGGCGCCATCTCGCTAGGATAGTTCGTTTTTCCGATAACCGTCACTGCGTTTGACGGCGTCACTACCACCTCATCCTTGCGCGTTATCTCACAGTTTCCACCGTTCAGTGCTGCTAGATCGACCACTACACTTCCGCGCTTCATCGATTGCACCATTTCCTTGGTGATCACGATTGGCGCACTACGTCCAGGAATCAGCGCTGTGGTGATCACGATATCGCACTCCTTGCAGTACTTCGCGTACATCTGCTTTTGTCGGATTTTGAACTCCTCTCCCATATCCCTGGCGTATCCGCCCGCGCCTTCGCCTTGGATCATCCCCTGCACTTCGACAAACTCCGCGCCCATAGACTCGACCTGCTCTTTGGCAGCAGACCTCACGTCCGAAGCGTACACCTTAGCGCCTAGAGCATGGGCAGTGGCGATAGCGGACAAACCGGCGACGCCGGCACCGATGATAAACACTTTGGCAGGTGGAGTGTTGCCGCTGGCAGTGGTAGAGGGCTTGGCGAACCGGGGATAGCGTTGGAAGGCGTCGAGGACCGCACGATAACCAGCAATATTCGCCATGGACGAAAGAACGTCGAGAGCCTGGTAGGATTTCCCGGATGATGAACAAACTCAAGGTGTTGTTTCTTGTAAAAAATGTAAGTCGACGTTGAGGACGATTGGGATTGCAATTGCATTTTCTTCAACATTGGATGAATGAATTGAAATATACCTGTGCCCTGCTTATTCTCGGAATCAGTGCCATGTTGAACACAATTGAAATATACCTGTGCCCTGCTTATTCTCGGAATCAGTGCCATGTTGAACACCACAGGACCGTTAGTATTCGCTTTTGCTTGCTCGATGATGCTCTCCTTGCCGTACATTCCCCAGATACCAGCCATGATCTGGCCTCTGCTGAGCACAGAGAGTTCCTCCGGCAATGGCTCCGAAACTTTCACAATCACGCTTGCCTGACTCAAAACCTCCTGTTTCGTGGCCACAATTTCGACACCTCCCTTTTCCGCATACGCGCTATCTGGGTAGTTTGCTTCATCTCCCGAACCTGCTTCCATGACAAGTCTAAACCCCAACTTTCTCAACTTGGGCACAACAGCTGGCGTAATTGCAACCCGCTTCTCCATAGCTGTGCTCACACTCGCTCCTGAATCAACTCCCACAATCTGGACTTCTCTGACAAAGCCTAAAACCTTGTTGGCTACTGGGAAATCGGTTTCGTGGTTCGGGTTCACGAACTCGCTCACCTCCTCCTCCGACTCTGGCTCACCATTGACGAGGGAAGTATCGACGCCGCGTTGCTCCTTCTTCTCGTTCACTTGGGTCACAAGAGCTTCTGTGCTCGCACGGGCATCGCCGAAGAGCATCTGGACGTTGTCGAGGTAGAACAAGGGATTGTCGACTCCGGAGTAGCCGGTTGCCATGGAACGCTTCAGCACAACGCACTGCTTCACCTTCCAAATCTCGATGGCTGGCATGCCGTAGATAGGTGAGGTAACATCAGACTGCGTGGCGGGGTTCACCTGGAGTGAAGATTTTTGATCAGAGTAGGTGTAGTAGGACGAGGAGGACTCGAGGAGTAGGACAAGAAGATCTGAGAGTTTTTTTGCACGACAGAAGCAATTTGAATTTGATGCGGTTGTACCAGCAATTCGAAGTATGTCTGTCGATCAAGAACATCAATCTGTTCATCTTGGTCTAAGAAGTCAACTTCAACATTCATTGTACATAGTAGCCAATTCATTGTACATAGTAGCCACTACATGGTCAAAAAAAGCGAAGAACAGGTACGATCATATCATTCGCTCCAATCACAATCGCTAAGAAATCAACTTCAAGAACATTCATTGTACATAGTAGCCAATAAACGAAAAACAGGTACGATATCATTCGCTCCAATCACAATCGCTACGTCGTAGGTCGTGATGACATCATTGATCTCGTCCATTTCCCGCACAATCTCATATGGCACGTTAGCTTCCGCTAACAAGACGTTCATATGACCTGGCAATCGTCCTGCCACTGGATGAATCGCAAAATGAACTGTTTTACGCATACCCCTCAAAATCTCAACCAACTCTTGCAGTTTCTGCTGAGCGCGGGCGACCGCGAGACCGTAGCCAGGCACAATGACGATCTTCTTGGCGTCAAGTAAAGCGTGAGCACAAGACTCGTAGGACAGCTCTCTGTGGGTGCCGCCAGCTGTTGCTGCGCCAGCACCTCCTCCAGCGGCAGCTGCACCAGCGGCTGAACTATCCACACCAAATCCGCCAATTAAGACGTTGGTCAAACTGCGATTGATACCCTTGCACATGATGTCGCTCAACAATGCGCCGGAAGAGGCCACCAAGGCTCCCGTAATCGTTAGTAGGTCATTGCGCAGCATGAAGCCGCTAGCCGCCGTCGCGACACCGGAAAAGGAGTTCAAAAGGGAAACCACCACAGGCATGTCAGCGCCACCAACGGGCAGGACCAGATTGACGCCCAAACCGGCCCAAGCGATGGCGTTAAGGAGTAGGTAGAGCGAGTGGAGACTTCCAGCACCGCCTTGGACGTAGAGGAGGCCCATTAACGCTGAAGAACCGAGAGCAAGGCCGTTGAGAGCCCACCGGTTCTCGAGGATGAGAGGGGCACCAGGGATAACGCCATGAAGTTTGCCGGCTGCGACGACGGAACCTAATTATTTTCTGTGCAAATAAAAACTAGATGATACTGGATCTGGAATAGGAAAACCTGATAAAGATGAACATGATCTCCTAAGTAGATATTGATATAATATCAGGAATACACAAACAAAGAACTAGGTACAATAGAAGTACCAGTAAACGTCAACGCGCCAATTCCTACACCAAAATATTCCTCGAACAATTGCAGTCCGCTTCCAATGGCCGCTCCGTCAAAGTGGTTTGCAAATCCAACTAAAACAGCAGCCAGACCGACAAAAGAGTGAAATCCCGCGACGAGTTGCGGCATATCCTCCATTGCTACGCTTTCTGCGATTGTATAGCCTACACCACCAGCGGCGAGGAAGCAAGATGCAGATTAGAGACAGACCTTGGAAAAGACCTAAGGTATAAATATAATTGACATCACTGAAAAAATACATCAAAAGACCAAATTGGAAAAGAATTTTGAAGGTATAATTGACATCACTGAAAAATAACATCAAAAGACCAAAAAATTGGAAAAGAATTTTGAAGGTATAATTGACATCACTGAAAAATAACAGCAAATATCATAAAAAAATCTCAAGTGGTTTGGTCCAAACCCTGGACTCGCTAACACGGACAGCAGTCCCATCGCCGTCGCCGCCATGCCCATCACGTTTCCCTGCTTCGCTGTCTTCATGCTGTTCAAGCCTCTAATCGACCCAATAAACCCAACTGACGAAGCCAAGGACAGCAGGCCAACATGCGTGGTCAATTCGCCTTCGACTGCCCCAGCAAAATCGGTTGGACCAAAGCCTGAGACTTTCAACGGAAAAGCCCCTCCACCAGCTAAGCCGAGTTGTTGAGCAGAATTTGCGATAGAGCCGGAAGTTGTTGATAAGTTGCTAACCAATGACTTCACCGCTGTCCCAAGATAGGCCGCCAGCACTGGGACAAGTCCAGGCGAAAGCTGCACATTGTCGAACCTAAGGTTCACGGCTTCGACATTTGTGTTCTCTTGAATCGAGAGTTCTCGAGGTATTTGCTGGGACAGGGATTCGATTTCTTCTTTGGAATAACGTCGCGAAGATGATGAGGTAGAAGCGCTAGAAGACGGTGTAGATCCTTCTTCATCTAGATCTAATCCGCCTGTTGTAGTGCTATGTCTCCGACTGCTGGAAGAGGAAGAACCCGAGGATACGGCACCTCCACCACCTGCCTGATTAGCAGCTAAAAAAAGCAAAGGAACTGCTGCACTGACGTCTTCATCTTCGCTTTCGTAATCCGAGTCACCCTTAACTTGTTGGTAATTTGTTCCATTAAGCTTAGCGCTTGAGTACCCAACATCCAAGTCCTTGGTCACGGTTGTGCTCCTCTCGGGTCCGTCGTCGTTGGAAGTGCGTCGGACTGATGTAGGGGGATGAATTGGGCGAAGATGATTGGTGGATAAAGTCAAAAGATGATTAGTGGACAAAGTCACATGATCGATCTAGTACAAGTCCCTTTTCATCTTCTTCGTCGAAGGAATAACCTAGAAAAAAAACACCTACAACAAGTACAAGCAAATGGCAACAAGCAGAAATAACAGAATCCCTATTTATTATTACGTGAAATCTGTATCTTCCCCGATGACGAAGTCCAGTTTCGAGATGTCGCTGTAACTGCTCTTTGCCTGGAGACTGAGATCTCCAGGTTCCCCCTTTCGGTTGGAGACAACAGCTGACCACATTTGCTCGTTCCGAGGAACTCCCCGTAATCGAACGAGGAGGATGACTCGGCCATCTTTTTGCTAGTTGTTCTTCTATTAAATATTAAATAATTGCTTTATTCTTGTACTTCCTTGGTGAAAGATAGATATCTTGTGTGTCGTTCTTCACTCTCAACGAGAGTGATGTTTTATTAACAAAATTTTAGTATTCTTCTAAAAAACCGCTTATAGCTTACTTACTTGTTAAGTACATCCCTTGTTTCGAGAGCGTTTCTATAATTCAACAATTGGTGAGCAGAGCAGAGGCTGGAGTTGGGATAGAAAAACGACACGGCCTGACAAAGATAATCCTGGGCATCAGTAAATAGGACTCACAAACTCCATCATGAACAACATAGTCGACACCCGCCACAGTAAACTCAGCTCTAAATTATCAACGAGGACCAGATACCTCCAATAAACAACCGAAAACTTAGGAAAAAAGAACGAGACGAGTCTTATATTCCAAAAGACACCGAGATTACGATGAACGATGAAGATCTATCACGACAGAGTCAGAGACAAGCCACGAAAAAAAGATTTGGTTTCACTCTCTCATGTTTGTAGGTTCTTGTCTCACTTTGTTCAAAGATTCGAATTCGAAAAAACTGAAGAAGAAACGAGCAAAAGGATTATGACAAAGATTATTACTCATAAAGACGTTTTCTCATGAAGACGTTTTTGATCCGATTTGCGAAGTACAAGTCAAAAAACGACAGAGTCGTGTCGAGCTGGAATGTCTCATCCATGATGAACACTGCTTCATGAGGAGAATATCACGTGCGATTCTTTTCCCTCATCATTCCTCCATGACGATGCTATTCGAGAACGAGATGGAGAATATCACGAGAAGGCAGATGCCTTTGAGTGTACGTTCGTGGAACAAGATCTGCGGTACTATGTGAATCATGTCTGTAAAAAGCCCATAGTGACTGCGATTAGTGTAAAAAGGACCGAGGACTAGTAGTCAGCGGCAACATCAAAACATCAACGAAATCAACATGCATTACTATTATAGCACGTCGTGGAGATATTGACCAACCCTACAACTGGACGTCGACGTCATTCGTACTGTCAATCTGCCTTTTTCCTAACGAAGTTTTTCCCTTTTCCTTCTCTACTCCTCGATGATGAACGGTTAGAGGTAGTGCTACTTTTCCTTCTTCTGCTAGTACCTATATCCGTCTCGCTAGCGGTAGCCGTTGTCGTCTCCCACCTACTTCTTGACGGAGATGCTAGCCTACTGCTTTTAATTTTCCCACCAAGCACCTTTGTTGGCAGCAAAAAAGTCCTTATTCCGTTTTCACAGCAGCACCGCCAATCCGCATATAGATAAACGCTCAAGCTGTAAATTCCTAGTGCGGCTATGAATTGAATCCCAATTTCTGATCCTAGCAATAGCCAGGAGAAAAAGGTCGTCAGAAACAAAATCATCGGTCCGCCAAAGGACTTGGTCACATTGTCGAAATACCTGAAAAGCAACGATATCGACACCCCAAGAGCTGCATTCACAGCGACTAGGAACCACACCATTGGGGTGAAGCCGGTGAAGAGGGAAGTGAAAAAGTCTGATGAAGATGTTGGGCCACCACGACCTTCTAATGTACTAGCTGGTCGTCCCGCATCGCCATGATAATTGTTCATTTTCCACACCAAGGGCACTAAGTTAAACACCACACCCCATTGATATGTGAACCGGTTCTTCTGCCAGAAGCCATGCTCTGTGCTACCACCGATTTTGAGTACGTACTCGTTTACAACGCCAGCAACGCCTGAGGTTGCTACTGAGGCTAAGGCCAGCGTCAATCCGAGAAGAAACACACGGTCTTTTTCGTCGTCGACTGGTATGAAGGAGGAAGGAGTTTTTGAGTCAAAATCAGGGTACCGAAAAATACCAGAACAATACATGCAAACGACAGGACTTCTCAAGCAAGTATTCTTTTGCATAACAAGTCTACTTGGTTGAGATGTAAATGTATCTACAATGCAATACAGTCCAATTAATCTCGCACACATTTTTTTTTTTTGTAGTGCGAGCGAGTTCCGATAAGTCAAAACCTACCTGCGTATTTTCCGCGTGGATACCGGCATAGGGGGGAGTTCTTAATCTCCTTAACAACTACGCAGTGCAGACTGCCTTGAGGGCGTCATAGCTAGGCTCAAGAAATTCTCCACCATAATGATGCCAACTTCCGCACCGCCTTGAGAAGCTTGTCTCGTCACTTGTTTCCAGGCACTGACACAGACGTCCAACCTACTCACGCAACATGCCACGACTAGAGTGAGCATGCCTAACCACTGTCGTGTTCCGTACCGCTTTCCTAGCAGCAGTGCCGTAAAAATCGCGGCCGAAACAATTTTCAGATTGTTGAACAACTGGAAGATGTGCGGATGCAACATGGGGATGGCCAAGATGTTCATGTTATTCTGGACAGCGTAGAAAAACGCTGGCGCAGCGTACCGCGGTCCACCAGAGTGTACGAAGGAGAGGCATGTAGCGATCGTGGAGGATATGAAGGTGAGACGAGGTTTTATTTAGTCTCGTCCGTGAGGGCACTAGAACAAGATCAAGAGTTGGAGTTCAACTTATAAACTTAAGGTATTGATGCTGTTGAGTGGGGATGAGCAGTATTGAATACTTATCAACCTTGTCGTGTTTGTTGCCTTGGACGAGGGAAAATGAATATCTAGTCATGCATGAACAAGGAGCCGCCCCTAGAAGTATTCGATAAACTGAAATAAGCGAGTAACTACTTAATATAGAGGCGAGATACTGATGAGAAGGAAGAGCACCCACTTGGCGTTAAGCTACCTCCCTTATTTCACTCAGTAACTCGGTTATTTTGAGTTTTCGATTACGCAAAAAAGATCTCCTTGCCATAATCTTTCTCGACGCAAACATGCCCTTTCTTTCCGAGAAGCATGATAGCCCAAATGCTGCCAGGACTTTTGCGAGTTCGATGAGCAGAACGACGAAGGAGGTGTTGTACTGCAACCGGCCATTTCGTTCGGAGGCTTTGGTGGCCAAAAGTTGTACCGTTCCGATCGAGACATAGTAGCCGAAAAGCAGTGATGTGATTCGGAACGAAGGAGGTGCAGGCGTGGTGGTGGACGACGGCGACGAGGTGAAGAGAGCACTTGCTGCATTCTTGGAGGCCTTCATGATTTTGATGTCAACAACTGGAATCCTTGGTGTTGTAGATCATTCGTTGATAGAAGTAAACTTACACTTACTTGTTTCTTTGTAGCATGCCAGTCATTACTTTTCGTTAGTGGTGGTCGTGGTGGTGCGACGTAATTCTAAAAACTCTAAGCAAACACATATTATACTCCCTCGTCCCTTAATTCCTGAAATTCAATAGTCCCGCGTCCCTTGATTCCTGAAGAGGGAATTGTGTTCCAACTTCTGTTCAATTACTGAGATATAATGCTTGATATTCACCACTTCGCGCTCTCGGCAGCTCATTCCCATATACTCACTTCTCAATATTCTCACCTCACCAGTATCCACCTCTCAGTCACCGACGACATCTGCTCTCATGTAGTGCCTGCAGGGTTCCTTAAAAATATGCGCTCGTTTATACACAGGAGGGGCTTGCGAGAACAACATGAACCTTACTCTTGCCACGAAGCTCGGGAAATGCACAGGAGGAAGCTGCTATGCAAGAAAGTGCGGTGGGGCAAGACAGACGTTGTAGGTACAGGAGGAAGCTGCTATGCAAGAAAGTGCTCTGGGCGTGGGGCAAGGCCAGCTATAATTATACTTCATGAGCATACTATTAAAGCCGAAAGAAACAACATTTGCGAAGATTTGAAGCATACGATAGCGAAAATGACTGTGCAAGTAGTAACTCTAACTGGATCTAGAAAATATAGACATAGTGTTCGCATATATGATCGAACGAAAAGATGACCTAGACAATTTTTGAATATGCAGTGCATGCTATCATTAAACAGGAGATAAGAAAGAGAATGAGAAATTACCGAAATCCCTGATCAGATTCTGCACTACACTACGTCACGAACCATGATAAAACCGATAAGCTAAAACTGAAACTAGATCATATTCTAACTCCTGCATGACAAAATACATAGCGGTGGGCTGCTTATATGATCTTGCACCTGTACTCGTATTGCTTTCGCATTGAAATACTCTGACTTTCCTCACAACTGTAACGAGACCCGCTCGTCATATTCCGCCCCGAATCAAGGCTTGTTCGTTTTTGCCCTTTCAAGGCGAGGTCTGTGCACGATCATTGTACAAGCAATACTATCTTTTTATCCTACTCTTGTTGTTCATACTATGCATTCGTGTTAGACTGTGTCCATGATTCGCATAATGTACTGGAAGGTCAGCATAAATATTGATGCATTTTTGGGTAACCAACGGCTGTATCTTGAACTAAGTAATGTCAAATCAAAAATGATAGACTTTGAATGTTACCGCTAATATGAAAATCTTCAGAGAGTTGTACTACAACCAGCACACTAAAACGTCAAAAATTAAAGTAGTTGCACTTGCATCACCATTACGATTACCTATTTTCATCATTTATCATATCGTTGCATTCATAGATTTCTCCATCGATGCGCTCATTGTCGACTTCTCCTGCGATGCATTCATCGACTTCTCCACTGATCCCTCAGTGGTTGTTGGCTTCTGCAAGCGACCTGAGTGTAAACGGATAGACGAGAGAGAAGATATCGAGAACAATAGCGAGTATGCTGATGTTGTACTACCTGCATCATCTTTTTCTTTCAAGAACACCATCAACATCTAGTAAAGTAAAGTAGAGTAAAAACTACCACAGCTAACAACAACATCAGTACCACAACTAACAACAACATCTGCACCAAGAGAACTAGTACCATAAGAGCTCCACGGTCGCATATTTGGCGAAATAAACCTGCCAGTTGGTGGATCAAACGCAGATGGCAATTTGTATTCGCCGGGTCCAGGCATGTTCCTGTTCTTTTGTCCTCTCCCACTCGCAGGCGCACTCTGATTAGCAAGATTTCGTCTCTTTCCTACATTTTTTCTTTTCATCTCCCTAAGATGAAAGGACCACTAGGCAGAATAAACAAATGACGTGATGTACTAGAAATGAATTGTAAACTGAACCATAATCTGAGGCCGTTTTCCGAAACTAGTGGTTCTCGCGTCATGTCCCAACGGAACGCGGACGTCGTAGAAGGGGGGATCAACTCCGCCGGACCTTAACTTGGCCAGCCTGTCACCAATACCAAAGGAAGGCGTCCCACGCATCAAATTTTTGAAGTCCGGACCACTTGCTCGACGCTCACAGAGTGCGGCGCTGTACCTTGATGTTGGGAAAGTGGAAGAGGGACACTAGGTCATAGGTGAACAGCACCATCAAGAGTAGTAGTCCGCATACACTTTTCTTTCAAAGCACTTCACATGGTTATTTGGTTCCCCCTCTACGAGTTAGTAGAGTCAAGTGTCGCATCCAATAAGAATCAGATGAAGTACTTGTAATATTCGATGCCTCCCGGTGTCGACGTCGGAATCCGTGCTTTGAAGCGGTTTGCGATACCCCAACTCTTCTGTCCCTCCGGTCCTCTTTGATGAGGTGGCTTCAAAAATCGAGACTGTTGCTCCTGTGGGAGGTACCCGTCCCGGGTTCATGTGAGGCAAAAAAAATATTCTTCAAATAACTCGTACCTTCTTGTGCTACTTGTTTTCTAACTTAAATACAGTAAGTAAAAATTTAAGTACAAGTACCTCATTCTGTCTTTTCGGCGGTCCTCCCTTTGGTTTCGATACGGTTCTCATATTCGACTCCTCGAAGTCGGTCTGTTGTATCATCTTCTTGACTTCCGCCAAACCCTCTTCAGCTTGTTTTGCGGAAGAAGGAGTCGTCCTTGATGAAGCTGTCCCACCTGTGCTGCCTGCTCCTCGTTTAGTACGTTGGAGAAGTGTCGAGTTCGAAGTAGAAGACGCTGGACCACCTGGACCTCCTCCAAGTGAGGACTTTGTTTTCGAGCTTGATGATTGTCTTGCTGAAGATGATTGTTTCTTCTGCGTTTGCTCCTCTTGTCCAGGTCCATTTTTCTGGGGAGATGGCTCCAGTAATGTGTGCATCCGCCCTGAGGAGCGGTCCGTCTCCAGCTGGCGGGATATTAGAAATGTTTCTTATTTTATATATATAAGGTCTTGTTCTCGTTCACTTCTAGTTCTACTCCTACCTCAAGGTGGCTTACTAGTTCTGAACTTCAATTCTTCTACTCCTACGTCTCCAACAAGAAAAAATGGAATCCCAAGTAGTACCTGCAAAGGAGGTTGACGTACCGTGCGATTGTCCGGCCTCTGCCTCATGGTAGGATGTGCGGAGCTAGGTCGGGCAGTCGCAGCCGCAGGAGGTCGGCCGTTGTTCGTTATTCTCCCCGCACTTGTATTCCTCCCGCCCTTGTTAGCCATAGCCACCGCCGGACCATTTCTCCCGAGATAGGTCGTGCGCATATCATACCTAGTAGTCTTGTTCCCATCTTGCTTGAATGTTGTTGTACCGTCAGCTCTTTTTTGCAATCCGATCCCTACTACTCCCTCAGCAGCACCAAGTTCCCCTAGAAGACTATGTCTATCTTCGCAAGCCAGAAACCGTTCAGCCCTCAGCAAAATATCCCGCAGTCGCCTCCGTCGTGCGTCCAGTTGCTGTTGACCCCGTTCGTCTAGTGATGCCCACTCTTTTTCATCATGGTAAACCAGGTAATCGCTATTCGGAAAAATAACGTCATCATCGGTCTTGTCCAAGATATTGAGATCGTTTTCTTCCACAGGATTTGCTGCGCCTTCTTTTGTGAGCGCCAGGTTGACGCAAGATTGAGAGAGAGAGTCGTGTTGATTTCCTGGTCCTCCTGACGTGGATACTCGTCTAGAATCAACTAGTTGACGTTGGTAGTGGTCTCGACGAGGATGGGTAGCCGTAGCGGGTCTCGAATTCGCTACACGCTGATGCATCGAAGGTCCACCTCTGCGAGGCGGACTCGCACTACTTCTACTAGGCGCAATACCACCACCTTCTGGCCGTATCATCGTGTTAGAGGAACAAAGATGACTACACTTTCGGCTATGCTTATGCCGCGGAGGCACCAGTCAGAGCGCTCAGAATAAAATGCTTAGACTGTTGCTAACAGGAGAGGGACAAGAACGCCAACGCACCACGTCTTCTGAGGGGAAGATAAAGATCAAAATCAAGCATAATGTTCACCCTTCCTCCACCATGCACTCCTTGCCCTCCGCTGTTTAAATGCTCCGTCAGCATCATGAGATCCACACGTCCGATCGGACGTTGGCCCGGTACGCGAGTATTATTGGAGACGTAAAGCTGAATTCCACCTCCTCGAGATGAAGATCGTCCTCCACCTCGACCATGCTCTAGACTACTAGTAGATACGGATTTATTCACACCTTTTTTATCATTGTTTGCTGGTCCTCTAGAAGATGATTCGGAGAGAGATGAGCCACGTCTTGCATGTCCACCCTCATTCGCATTGGGAAAGAATCTATCTTGATCAGCGGGTCGGAGAGCGCGGACGCCGTCCTTCGTCAGCAGGTTTTCACGAAAGGGAGCCATCACCCGCTGCCGCAATTCCGTGGACGCAGCGGCTTGAGAGGATTTTTTCATCTTTCTTTAGCTTAGAAGTAGTTGCTATGCGAAAATGATCCGTAAATAAGCAGGTAAGTTCTCGGGTAACGAGGACATCCTTTTTCAACTGCTTTAATAACAACTTTCAACAACGATTCAGTTATAATCAGACGAGGGATTATTCATCATCATGTGCTTATATCTTTTAAGTCACCGCTGTCGGCGTAATTGCTTCTTGTCCAGTTTATTCCTGTCACCGATCATTTTATGGCCCAATCACTCAGGGACTTTTCTGTACTCCTCAAACTCGCTCCGTCTCTAAGTTCTCTAAGTGGTTGTGCAGGACAGTCTCTCGTCAGGAGAAGGGTCGGAAGACATTCATTCATTCAGTTACGGTACGCCCCCTCCTCCTGTTCACTTTCGGGACGGCAAATCGATTTCCATCAAGTGGATGCGTTTTTTTTGAAAAATTTTGCCAACGAAGAGCGTTCGAGGGAAGACATCCCATACACACACACAATGCCTTGTTGCTTCTTCCAGCACGTTGGTTTGGCAGTACTAGAAGACACTTGGAACTCGAACTGGAGTATGGAATCATAGGAGTTCGCTATGACATCGTGTTCATGCTCTTCATGTAGTTCTAGTTTTTGAAGGAGGTAATAATATGAGTTGTATGTTGTAATTTATTTTCATCACGCAACAAAAGAGAGTGTTACACTTGAAGTGGAGGCTCGTGTAGAAGTGAATCACTGATCGCATTCTAATGTATGCAGTTATTCAAAGAATTTCCTTACCAGCGGGCGCGGCTGACGTACTAGTTATACTATCCACTAGATGATCTCTAGATTATCAACTTACTATAACCGGCGTCTCCCACTGTTCTCATCGACTGACTAGTTCAGCACGATGGATGGCGACTCACGACGCTGCTGCTCTTCTATCTGATGTCCGAGGCTGTGCCGCTATCCTCCGAGCGGCTGTGATATTAGGGCTTTCTTCAAAACGACCTTAACCAGCTTTCTTCTTCCTTGAGGACCCTAAAATCAAAAATAAAAGGTAAAATAAAACGTTGCTTTAATCGACACTTCTATGAACAGCACTATCAGCGTGAATGAAAATGTTGGCGCAGATCTAAATCATTCACATTCTATATCTATTCGCTGTTCTACCATAAAATTCTATATCTATCCGAAGCGGAGTTGTCACTCTCATGCTCAAACTCTTCGCCGTCGTGCGAAGGATTCAATTCCGCCCTTCTCCTTGATGAGAAGCTGAGGAGGAACTATTTCTAGCAATAAAACAAACCTCCTACTTTGATCAACACTGTCATAAAACTCATGTTCCGAAGCGGAGTTGTCACTCTCATGCTCAAACTCTTCGCCGTCGTGCGAAGGATTCAACTCCGCTGACAATCGCTCTTCCTCTAATGGCGTCAGGTTCTTCCTGTACCTCTTTCGCTTATTAGAAGAAGAAGGGTAAAGCTAGTCACGAACTTGCTGTAGTACTGGTAGCACTAGCAGGATACAACACAATACAACACAATTATACAATACAATGCAATACAATACAATGCAATACAACGCAATGCAATACAATACAAAATTTTTGAGAAACGTAGTGGTCTATTCCGGAGGCACAGCAGGATCAGGAAAAGAAGGACAACAATACAATACAATGCAATTAATCTCGCACAGTTTTCAGTGCAGACTGCCGCGCGGTAGTTTTGTCTCCACCGAGCTATGTCATTCTCATCTACAAGTAGTTATTTGTTGTGGCGTCGAAAAAGTTTCATCCATAATCCATGCAAGAGATTTAGGCTTTGCCTTTCCGTCTTTTTTGGTAGACTTCACATTATGGTGACCCCCACGCATCTGGTGCTTTTCCACCTTGTGGTGCTGGTCCTGTTTGTCATCCTGACTTCTACCGGACGAATGCTTAGAAAGTCAAGAAGGAGGAGGATGAATACTTCGTCATCATGAAAATCATGTTCTATAGAACGATGTCTCCTATAATATAATACGAGGTCCTGAAAATCATATTCTGTCGAACGAGATCTCCAATAATACGAGGTCCTGAAAATCATGTTCTGCTGCTTCCGAAGGACAGACAACCAAAAGCTATTGATCAAACACAACTAAAATGTATTCTATAGAGCGCAAAATTTGTAAGATCATATGATAGACAGCCTTTAGTGCCGAGGTCACAAATGCGATATAAACAAGCGAATGAACGGAACGAGTTGCGCTTGCGCAGTCGACTGGTCAAAGAACTAACTACTACACGAGGGGTTTACAAGTCTCTTGACCACGACCGAACCACTTATGAAGTGAAAATCATAATCGAACGAGCAGACCGTCATATAGGCGATCTCGTTCATCATGAAAGAACTTGCATCCTCGAACGAGACCGCCTATAAGGCGTATCCACCGAATATAAGTAAACAGCAAAGCAAGCGAGTGCTCAAAGCAAAAAATGCTGAAAGTTTCAGCGGAAGTACTTATATATAATAAATATCATGTTTTCATAAGAACAAGAGGACCATGATGCAGCCACAAAAACCACAACCCAGCAATAATCGCTCCAAGCACACAGATGATCTTGAATTTCGTCCGAAGCCGACTACTGGAGAATTTATTCTGCAGTACATGTGCGAGGACGCGCTGCGAAAAAACGGTAGATTGTTGTGGCGCTTTGGTAGTTAGAGGCAGAAGTTGGTCTGGTATTCCTATTCGTATTAGGTTCTTGAGGTAATTTATTATTCGCATTTCATAAATAAAACTTCTAGGTGCTGGTGGTGGTGGAATTTGAACTTCTAGGTGGGTTCATCTGCTGACACTGACACGACCCTCGTCTCACTGAGGATGATTGAATCATTCCCAAGAGCAGACCTACGACAAGCAATCACAGGGAAAGCCATAACTTTCCTTGAAAAGAAGATAAGGGATTCTTGCTACTCTTCCATGGATCCAAGCCGTCCTCGTCTTCGTCCTCGTCTTCGCTAGATGCTTTTGATGAGTCTCCAGGCGAGCCTTTGTGTAGTCCTCCCGTAACGAAGAGTTAAAGAAGTAGATTATTTACGTATATAAGTAGGGTTAGGGAGAAAGACATCAACGCAGGAGGGAGGAAGACAAATAGCAGCAAGTAGTACAATGAAGAACGTCGGCCATCATGTCCTGAAATAAATGTAGTAAATCTTCATGGGACGATAACGATAGTGCCTCTATCTTCCTGTCCTCTGATCTTTCTTGTGAGAAAGATCATCTCATCTATTTCATAATCGAACAGTTCTTTCGTCGGATTCCGCGCCCGTGGACCTCCTCCACCACCACTGAGAATTCCGTAGCTCGCCAGCGTCCCATCCCTCTTGGGAGAGAAGACTTTACTTGTATCATTTTTGGAGGACATGTTTCTTGTGGTTCGTTGTGTCAGTCTAGTTTACAATCATGTAGTTTCTAGTGTACAATCATGTAGTTTCTACTTGTGTCAGTCTCTTCGTACTTGGTACACACGCACACTGCTCCTCGTCCTCCTGAAGCAATCACAAGTGCAGCGACCACATACAGATACACTTAGAACTAGATGAACTAGTAATCTTCACGACAATGCAATCACAATATCTTTGTATTTTGTAACTACTGACCAATGGGACATTCAACGAATAAGTAAATACATGTGGGAGAGGCTGAACAAAAGTACCGTCGCATGCTGAACAGACTAGAACGAGAAGAAGAGGAGAGGACCACTAGATCAACATTTTTGTGATGCGTCGTGCAGTAGACTAACTTCCGCTTGCACTAAAGCTTTTCATTAGAAACGAAGAGGAGTTTGTAGGTTAGTGGGAGGGGACTGGCTGGAGGACCTGCAATGTATTAGTTGTTGACCGATGAACGAGCTACATAATACAATACAATACAATTTATCTCGCTTTTTTTTTTGTAGTGCGAGCGAGTTCCGATAAGTCAAAACCTACCTGCGTATTTTGCAAGCGAGTTCCGATAAGTCAAAACCTTCAGTGCAGACGGCCACAAGGGAAAATAACCGATGTCTTGAATCTTCATCTCGCCACGTGCATTCAGAGACTAAAAACCGACGTTGTTTCTCCATGTCCACTAGAACTACAACATGAGTAGAACAGACCCATCGAGAGGTCTTCATCCTCAAATAAACCATGTTTATGCTTATCTTGAATACTTCTCACAGAATAAGCAGAACGCGGCGCTGATCTTTGGCGCCACTCATGAGGAGGTGAAGAAACGTTCTTGGTCGTGGAGACGCATCTTGTGGCTCAAGAAATGCAACCTAGGTAGTGTACAAGTTTTGAGGATGTTCTTCATACTTGTGGTCTTTTATGCATGCCCTGGCGCAAAAAGAGAGGCCCATGACTTTTTCAGGAGGTGGTGTAGTTCTTTTTCAAACCTCTAGGTTTGAAGATGTTCTTGAGGCATGAAGATCTGATCAACACGTAGAGTTGTACTAATGCTCGTCTAGAGTTGTACTAATGTTCGTCAGTGTTTCTTGTAGGTTGAAGATATAGTTCGTTGATTGCGTGGAGAAAGAAGGTGAAGCGGCCAACAAAAGAAGATGCAAATAAGAACCTCAAGCCAAAATATCTCCAGCAAATAAAGGCCAATGCCTATATTAATTACATCAAGTAGCAGAACTGGTAGAAGAAGTACATGTACTATCTGAAGATAGTACATTGTGAAGTACTTCTACTAGAAGTTGTATGCCATTGCTTTATTTTGTAGCGCAAGCGAGTTCCGTGAAGATGAACCTACCTGCATAAGTACTTTCCGCGCAGATACCGGCATAAGGGGGAGCTTCTAATCTCGTTAACGCACTACGCTAAGCCACTACGATCTTCTCTATTTTTGTAGCAGGAGCTACCTCCGTGAAGAGCCTGCCTGCATATTTTCCGCGTACATACCGGCTTAGGGGGAAGCTCAATATCAGATATTCAATAAACTAGAGGATAATAAAGATACAGCACGATATCAGAATTATCAGCGTCTTCAGCACGACCAACGTGATAGATCATTACTGAGAACATGAGGAAGATATAAAAATGACACAGATAGCACACGCACTTCTTCCAGAGTGTAGCCAGTCAATCTGAATGGTGAACGTGAATCACAATCAAAGGCATAAATATATGTGGAGTGGTCGGGGCTGTTGTGGAGCGTAGTGCCCCACTCACAACGATAAGAAACCAAGGCAGGACGTACCCCTCGCTTATGCTGAAGAGTCAGCTACTCACCCCTCAGTGGCTCTAACCACTCAGAAAGACGGGCACTGGAAACGGTTTTCCCTAAAATAAAGTCCTAATGTTTATAATTAAGGGGCTTCTCTGATTTTATACCCCACGAATGGGCACGCTACTACTGCTATTGCTACTACTACCACTACTACTACTACTAAAATCCTAATCCACGATCATGATTTGAAAAAGAAAGAGTTTGCTTGTATCTTAATCATTTTTCTTGACCAAGTAGTACGAAGATTTTCCAAGAGGAATATCGACGCGGTGTAGTTGATCGCTCTTGTGCATTTGCCGCTGACAGTAAGAATAAGATCTATGACATAGACGATGGGATCATGTGATCACAATTGGGCGCTGAAGAACAAGAACAACCAAGCGAACAAACTTCTTGAGCTACAATCAGAAGAGAGCAACTACTCCTACAATCAGAAGAGAGCAGCAACTTCTGCACAATTTGCTGTCCTCCTTGTTCTACAATCAGAAGAGAGCAGAGGTCTACTGCTCTCGGATTCTTTTTGTTCTTGTTCTCCGATCAGAAGAGAGCGACTCATTCCTAGGTTATAGCATCAACTCCGCCAGCCCCAGCAGGGATAGCGATTCGAGCCGCACTTCGAGCCCCTATTTATTTTCTGTATGATTCAGGGCCGGGCGCCCTGTGGTCTGGTCTGTGGCGGCGCGCGCGCGCTTTTCCGCGCGGATTTTTCGCGGATTCTAGTGGTGGAAGGCGTCAAAACTTGGCGCGGGCCTCCCCTTGGGCCTCTAGTATCTTCTTTTTCCAGGCTCTGTTTCTACCACTGGCCGCCCAAGGCTACCAGCGAGACAGATAATACACTCCAAGCCCATCAATGTGTACCGGCAAGCTCTGGCTTGGTATCGTTTTCACGGCCTGCCTCTCAGCGTATTCCTGAGGGACCTCCTGGCCGCTGCTGACCCTCGCAGGCGGGAGGTCTCCGGGGTAAAAGGTCGCAAGAGCAAGCAAGCCGATGATCGAGGGCCCGGAGGGCACAGGCGGCACGGCTGCGGCGGCGAAGCCTAACGGATGCACTTAGGGCACAAGCAGGCACCTGGACAGGGGCGCAGGCGGTCCCCTGGGCCCCTTTTGAAGCCTCCCACCACCATCGGAGGCCCCTAGGGGGCAGCCAGGCAGCTGGAAGGGAGCGGAGGGGGGAGGCTACTGGGCCCCCTTTTGAGGCCTTCCCCCCGGCAGAAGCCTTAAAAAGGGGTCCAGGGCGCCCGCCCCCCCCCGCTAGGGGGGGCCGTCGCCCCGCGCCCTGGAACATATGTGCACTCCTCCTTGTTCCATATTCCCATTCTTCTTGGAGTTGTCCTTCTCCATGTCGTCAGCACATGATTCATGATGTGTGTTTGCGCTATAAATCAAATTCTTTTTTTATCCTACGGCAAAGCGAGAAGACTGAAATAAAAAAGAAGCAGGTTGTTGTTTTTGAACGTGAAATTGATGGACTTGATGTAGAAGTTTTGGTTCATAAGTTACAACTACAAGTAGAGAGCCTTTATATACTTAATTCTTTTTACAACGTCGCTCCTGCGGATCCTCAGTATTTACAACGTCGCTCCTGTGGATCCTCAGTATCGCACGTCTTTGGTGCTGAGGCAATCGTCTTTGGTGCTGAGGCAATCGCGGAAAGCCTCCTACCTCTCCTCCCCACCCTCCTCCAGGTGTGCTCTACAAGATGAAAGGTGTGAAGGAGATGAAGTCTTAGACGGTTTCCACCGAGGATCTACACCAAGTCCTAATAGGGGTCGTGAGTGCAATGCAATACAATACAACTTATCTCGCACAAAGTTCAGTGCAGACTGCCACAAGGGCGCCATAGATGATACACACGATGGATCTCACGCAAAGACTGGAGTGGAGAAGCGGCGCGGTTACGTCTGTTGTGAAAAGTTACAACTTAACACGAACTAGCCCTAAGCGAGAGACTTAGACAACGGACCCCAACTATCACCGTTCAAACAGCTAAGACTTTAGTAAGCAGTGTACTTAGGTGAGACGGGACAGACTTTTACTTTATTTACGCAAGCGGAACAACTTAACTACACTACCACGCGCTTCACAACGCAAGACTTAAGCTCAACGAACTTACCGTAGTAGACTTTTTTTATTGACATAACCGAGAAAGCAACCACTGAAGACGACACTTTCTTCCTTTCATAGCTTAGCCTGCTTATGTTAGTGACTCTATAAACTGCCCCGCTTCTGCTTTTACTACACGAGAGCAAGAGTATTGATAGAAAGAGCACTTTTAGCGTTTCTGTAGAAGAGCCACTTACTTACTTTCACTTAGGACAACCTGACAGCTTACTTGGCTGCCAGCACCTACCTGACCCTACCCAAAACCAGACCCCCACCACCCTGTTTGTATGACTTGATTAAGCAGAGCCCCCACACTCGACCGCGGCGCCTCTGAACTCCGCAGCCTTTTCGTCCCTCGCCTTCTTTGCCCTCTCCTTTGTCTCACGCTGTGCTTGCTCTAGCAGTTCCGTAGAGGAGTTCGATTCCTGTTCCCCGTCTGTTGTAAAGGTCTTTTCAACGATGTGACATTTTTCAGTTTTGGATTTGGATTTGGAGACTTCAGGAAAAGTTTTCTTTTTTTTGTATCCTGGGGCTACTGAAAGAGCGGCCTCAGCTTTATCCAGTTCGCAAACCGGCGGCAGGCGGAACCTAGTTTTCTGGCCACCAAAAGGGGCACAGTTACGATGGATCATGTCGTGGATCAATCTCAAGTTGTAAAAAAAATCTATAACAAGTAAGGCGAAAAATAGATGATCATCATGCTTGTGAACGGTTCTTCCATCTACTGTAAAGTGAACACTCAGCAAAGACAACCGCAGCACTTGTTTTTGAAGCTCACGATGTTACCACGAACTCCACGTCACTACTTTTTTCATAATGTGCAACAGGGTAAGCACGACCGTATAAGTACTTAGTTTAATAGATGAAGTTTCTGTTGGTGTTCTTCAACGAAAGGGGACCCTCCATTGAGAAATATTACAAGACAAGGAAAGGGTGCAGCTGTGTGTAAAAGTTTTCAGCGTGAGCAGGGGACCGGGACAACCAAAAGAGGGTGATGACGCGGTCGCGAATATATGTCGCTTTTTTCTGCTCAGAGCAGGAGGGGGAGCGGAGAAGGAAAATATTTTTACGAAGGCTGATTATGTAGCAGTAGCTCCACCTAAACGTTCTCGAAGCAAATGATTATGTTTACCAATGATGATTTTTATGTAGCTCCACAGCAAATTTTTACATCTCGAAGACCACGATATTAACCGTCATCGTTCTGTTCTTGCTCATGAAGAGGTAGATAAATTGCAGCGTCCGTGGGGGCGGGAAAATAAGTAAAAGTCTATTGTAGATAACTACTACTACATTGTGAGAATGCTCTTGTTTTTGTAGATGCACGAACGTTTCTAAGTGATTAGAATACCTTCGAAGCGTCAGCTCGAACGAAGAATAGTCTGTTAGGCGACCTCCAAGGTGTAATCGTAGTTCTTCTGTTCCACCTGATGATCCTCTTACTTCTTGTAGTCGCGGATCTTCTATATTTGCATTACATCGCGGTCAATTTTTGATGTTGTGCCTCTATTCTTGAGTATATATTACCTCAAGCTGCTTGATCATGGTGGTAATGAATAAATGTTGTAGTACTCGCAGCTGTATATTTTCGTTGCTTCGTCCACGAGGCATGATGGTGATGCGTCTATTGATGCGTCCATGAGGCTGCCTTCTTGATTGCGTTGCGCACGTCGGTAAGCAAGAAAGATGTTTTTTCTAGGTGCTGAAAGACATTGGCGTGAGAGTTCTGTGCAGCCATCGACTTTTCCAGGTCCAGTTTGGTTGCTATATTACTGCAATATTTTTCGAGGTCGGTGAGGAAAGCCGACTGAAGATAATCTCCTGCTGCCTGCTTGTCCAAAAATCCGACTGCCGTGACAGCTCTACGTGAGCAGAGAAGGCGAGCTAGGTTCAACGCGTAACCAAGCAACTCGTGGGCATCCTGAACAGTGAGAGACACAGCGATCTCGTCGAAAACCTTTTTCATCGCTTTTTCTGTTAGCTTTCTCACTCTCCGCTTGGCCGCTTCGAGTGACTGTTTCCATTCATGCAGATGTCGGCCGCCACGATCATTTTCTTGTTGTTGAGAATTACTATTATTTGCGTTTGCTTCCTCTTCTGCAATCTGGTCCACGTATTGCTTCTCTTTCTCCAGAGCTAAAACACTATTCCAAACATCGCTTTTCACAGAAGCCATTAGTGGAAGAAGAACCACGAGGGGAACTCCCCCGGGGTATAGGGAAGATGATTGTTGCCGTTGTTCTGGGGATACTCCATCTGCAGCAGTACTCGCGGCCATGTGTGCTCGAATCACGTGATCATAGTACTTATCGAACCTCAACGTCTCAGCAACGCCTATGGTAGCGATTCTACGAGCCCGGGTAGCTTTTTTGTCTTCCTTCATGATCACTCCAGATTTGTTGTGTGCCGGCGAAGTAGAACCAGGACTCGCTCCACCAACTGCGCCAGGACTTGTATGTGCCGGCGAAGCAGAACCAGGACTCGCTCCACCAACTGCGCTTGTAGGGCAGCTACCACGAGGACCACCTTCTCCCTTATTCACGACATCAAAACTACCTGTGCAACTACTCCTACGGTTAGGTGGTAAAGTGAAGAGAGCGAGCATTTCCTCCATCCTTCGATAAAGTGCTGTTCGGCTAGTTGAGTCTAGGATTTGAGCATGGTGGACACCGACATGACGCAGCAAGGTATCCCGAATGGACGACGCAGCTGCTGGGGGTGCTCCTTGGAGAGAAGGTTCATTTTTCTGATTCTGGTTCTGAACTACAGCACGACCTTGGTTGTTTGTATCTTGACCTTGAGTTTTTTTTTTACCACGACGTGCTGCTAGTGCATCCTGCAGTTTTCGTCTAGAAACACTCTCGTCTTCGGCCTGATGGGCGCTGGACAGAGCGGTTAGAAGTTCCAGATATAGTCTGGGAGGTAAGAGTAGCTCCGCTAACTTCTCTTGCTTCTTCATCATTCTATGGACACAACTGTTGTAGTGTGCAGCAACATTAACATTAGCAGCCGCGTCTAAAGAAAGTGCAAGTGGCTGCTTGTTCGCAACTAGTAGTACATCGCTGGAAGTTGTCGTGGAAGTTGTACTCCTGCTAATGTTAGAGGTAGGCTTTTGGTGCTTGCTTACCCCGCTTTTTATGGCTTTCTCCCTTAGGAGAGGCATAAAAAGCGGTAAGAAAAGCACCTTTAACCTACCCTTAATAATGCTACCACCACCAGCACCACAACTCATCTGTTTCGCCTCCTCGGTCAAGACGATCTGTTCAGTTTCCTTCCGCCAGAGTTCATATGCAGCAGGGACCAGCACCGAATCAAAAAGATGGAAAGCACAAGCATACTTTTGGTTCACCAAGAGTGTATCCAAGGTGTCCTGTAGTAGATTCAGTCGCACGCGTAAAGAGAATACTCGGGGAAGATAGTGGGAATACGAAAAATTCTTGGTGTTTCTTGATGTTGAGGGACGTAGTACGACGGATTTTTGGGATGATAACAGATTACAACTTTGGCGATGTCGTGTACTACTAGTGCTTGCTGTCGTTGTAGCTCTCATCGTGCTTTCGCTCGTTATATGCGTGTAGTTCTTCGCGTTCACGTCCTGATTCTTGTTATTATCATTGACACGCATGACATGATCCACTTCTATTGTTTGGTCCTTGAGAAGTGCAACTCCTCCATTTCTGTTGGTTGAAACGTGAAACTTAACTTCTGGCACTAAGAACGTATTCAAGTCAGCAACTGCATGACGATCTGTGTCGCTTATTTTACTATTGGTTGTTGTACTACTAGTACGACTACGAGTTGTACGATGTTCATGCTGTTGAAGATGCAGTTCTTGTTCTTCTTGTTGACCATCTAGTATTATATCTTGATCTTCATCAGCTGCACATGAATCTGACGAGTCAGCATCTTCCCAAAAGAAATAGGGACGATTGCCTACTTCCTCGTCTTCTCGAGCTTGTTCTAGTGGATCTCGTTTCCCTTGCGAAGTGCCAACGTAGAGGTTGTTGTTCTGCTGCATCAACATAGCACTTTGCTGAGGAGCAGTACTGTTGGGATGGTAGAGCAAGGTCGCGGAGTGACACTCTGCGAGGTAGACGAAGCTTGCAAGCCCCAGGGGAGAAGCTTCTAGCTCTGATCCAGCTTGAGTTGTGCGTCGACTGGCGATAGTAGGCGAATTGGCGAAGGGCAGCATGGCAGCTGCACGACAAATTTGGTCCAGACACCTTCGCAGAAAGTCTACCCATCTAACACTACTATTAAAGCTCAGCACTCAATGGCGACGGTCGTCACGACTCTGAACGGAAGAGACCCCCCTTCAAAGCTCTCCCCACCTTCCCCTTCGTTTATTTCCCCTGTTGGTTCTCTCAAGAAGGGGCCGCCTCTTCGATCTCAGTGACTCCAACCTAAATTATAATGGTGACCATTGAAACAAGTTGAGGAGCCTTAATAATAGCATGCGAAGCGCGCTTAAGTTGCTTGTAATTTCGAAGCAGGAGAAGTAACTCTGGTTGGGGTGTTGCTGTTGTAGATTGACACCCAGTTGGCAACCCTAGAGATGTAACTCTGGTTGGTAGATTGACACTCTCCAATTGTAGTTCCTTCGCAAACGGAGTGACCACATTGTCTGCGGCAATGACACGTTCTAGCAAGCCAAAGACAAACGTATTCACCGCATCTAGTAGGAGCGAAGCTGGCAACAAGTCTTCGTTTTGTTCTTCATGATCTTCCCGCTGCTCTAGCAGATCTTGTTCCTGAAGCATGAATTTCGCCAGTAGAAACGCAGGTTTCGAGAGGTATTGAAGTTGGAACTCAATCGGAGCGTCCGCGAACAACCTTGATATGTGCGGCAAGCTGTTGCAAACTATGCGGGCGCGCATCCGATTCGGTGCTAGGACTCTAATCTCGCGAACTAGAGCTTCTGCGATCAACCCCCTCGTTTCCCAGGTCTCATATCGGATTCGAACGAGCCGTTTACAAACATCGCGCTCGTTCTGTTTGTGTTTCTTTCGCTCGTCCTCCGTGAAGATGCCTTTGTTCTTGTTATTGATGTCCGTGGCTGCATCTAAGCGTGCAAGTGCATCAGCAGTCAAGCCACCATGAGTGCCGGGTCCTCTCCGAGGATGCTCATTCTTGATGTTCTTCTTCATTCTGGATCCTGTAGTCTTGCTCACGTCAAGCTCAAGATTCGGATCGTTTGAAAGCCAAACTCTGTTTGAAAGTACATCTTCTTGTTGTGTGATGTTGTCTCCACCGGCAAGGGAGTCTTTGCTGCCATCAAAGTCGTCTTGTTCCGCATGCCTTGAAGAGGAAAAGATATCAGTCGTCGAGGAAAATCCGCCGGCTTCATTCATGATGTTTTGATGCTTCAGTCGTGCTTCTTCTTGTCGTTCCACAAGGGTGTTGTTCTTCCCCTTCCTTCCACTCTTCTGTGGTGGTCCACTCTGCTCCAAAATCTCGGTCTCGAGCTGTCGGATGACATCCTTAGCACGCGGCTGTTTGGGCAGCAAGCGTTGAAGAATGACTGAACGCAACAACAAGCGCAGCTGCAACATCGCTATCTTGTGGTCGCTATCCGCAGCATGGTGCGTCAATATCGCTGTAACGTCATATAAGCGGAGAAGACTGGGAAGAAGACGACTCAGAATTACGTTGCAGCCTTTTTTCGACGCCTTCTTGTTTTCTTGGGCATGTTGATTGGAAGTAGACCCCTTTGCCGCGTTTGCCTTGCTAACAGGTGTTTGAAGAGTTTTGTTTTTGCTCTCCGCAACCGGCATCTTCATCTGTTCCTTCTGCTGCTCTCGTGCAGCTTCCTCCTTGTCGCGGAGACGCCTCTGTCGTAAGAGCTCGCGCATTACTTCACCCAACAGATTCGCCTCCAGGTCGTTATTCTGCTGCTCCACGATTAGAGCTGTGGTCCGTGATTCATCTTTCAAGTGCATCCTCGAAGAGTCTACTTCTGGGGAAGTACCTACGGGCCCCTTAGGATCTTAGATACTCCTCGTCCATACAGCCCCTACTTAGGATAAGTAGATACTCCTGCTCGTCCATTATACATGATTTCATCACGGATCGATCATGCGTCCACTCTACTTTATGTCACAACTGTCAGCTGTTCGTTGTATCATCTACTATGAACATAATGATTGTCAATCTGTTGTATAATTTTTAGGTACAGCCTTAACACAAATTCTTCCGTCAGCATGTCCACGTCCGCCAGATCAGTAGAGGGTCCATCCTCCACAAAATGTTCTTGTTGACCACCATAATCTTCTACTTCGTAGGAAACGTATCGGCACAACAATTTCTCCATACTGGAGACATCTGGGACACCTTCACGTATTTCCAAACGCTGTGTCTCATACTCTAGGAGTCGCAATACGCGGTCCATCGGCAAACTGACGTTCCGGCTCATCTCTGCTCTGCGTTCTTGTTGCTCGAAGAAGCCTGTACTATCCGAGTCTTCTGGAAGTTGTTCACCTCCCCAATGCACACGAGGACCGTGCTGCTGGACTTGAACTGGAAGAACTCGTCCACCTCCGCAAGATAAAGATTCTGCACCAGGATCCTCTTCGGCTCCTGCCGTAGTAGAAAGCTCTTGTTCTGACCATTCGTTTGCGCCTCCACAAGAACTGGTGGAGGCAGTCAAACGGAGGACCGAGGGGTGACGAGGAGGACCCTTGGCTTCGCTATTGCTTCATTTTTTAGAGTCGTGATTTGTGATTTCCCTTCTTGTTTCTCCCTTTGTGTCTTTCCCCTTTGACGGTGAGGACATTACTTCTCAGGAGCTGGAGCTGCACACATAGATAGTATACTAGTTGTTCACAAGGGACCGGGATGATAGTGATAGAGGAGCCGTAACTTTCTGATGTAGTGCGCCACCCCGAGTCTTGAGGTTCAGCGTTTCGATGCGTGAAGTCGGCATCTCTGAATCTGGAACAGCAGCGATAACGCGGCAGTTTTTCGGTGTTGTAGGCATGATCTATTTCATCAAAGCTGAAGACCTATATACTAGCGACAAGAATAGATGATCAAGATGATTTGAAGATGTAGGTTAGGTTAGGTGTCCTCCCACTAGGAAGATCATTTGAAGATGTTTATACTAAAATATTAAGTAAAAATTTTGCGCAGAAGTAGATAACATGTGTGAAGGGACTTCTGAAGATTTAGGGTAACATGATTATGATAGCCAAGACCTCCAGACTTAAACTAGCTAAGGGGATAGCAGTTGTTGTATGCGTTTGCTCCAGCGAAAGTGTGAAAATGACTCCAGTCCAAACAGGGGATATCAAAGGCTATCACGCGAGGACCATCAATGTATGTATGTAGATTTCAGAGGATTTCAGATTTCATTACTACAACTAGTATATATAATGAGTCGTTTCAAGAATCTTCTCACAACACAGATTTTAGTCCTGTCAAACATACGAATCGAGGATCAATATATCACGCTAAACTAACACCCTACTTCAAGTATTCTACATCAGTTTCTGCAATAGAGACAAAAAGTGATTACTTAGTTGAAAAGAGCTTTTTTCGTTCATACCAGGAAAACATGTGCGATTGCGTGAGGATGAAATCTTAGAATATGATAACGCCTTGTCTTTTTATTATCATCTGAAAAACTGATGAAAGCTTGAACTACAGGCTAAAAAATCGTCGTGTCTGTGGTCCTCTTACAACTGATGTGGTGAAGCAGACGCAGAGCTCGAGTGTTATTGTATCAAGTATGGGTAGTAACGAATACGAAACAGCAGTGGCAGAACGCATAAGAACAAGAAAATTTCACTCGTAATTTTTGTTCGATACAATTACTCCACTGCTATTTTTTCGACAGAGGACAAATTTAGATGATTTTTTTGCTTCTAGTACACAAGACAAAATTACTTACATAACGAAGAGTTGTACTAGTTTTTCGCTTTCGTTATCTCCTGTCACCAGTCTTATCATCTTTTCATGTGAATGTGTGTTCTTCCGTTTTTCCTTTTTTAGATTTGCAACTTCTTGTTCTTGGGCGAATTCATGGGAATTCTTCAATTACCCTCAAGATACTTTCAACAATGATCACAGAAGTTCCTTGCAGATTTGGTGCGTACTCGTCTTCACAGATTTTGCTTTCTTTGATAGATTTACTTAGCTTGATGTTTCTTGATGATGTAATTCTACTCGGCAATCTGCCTAAGATTTCCCTGTCCCTGAGATTGAAGATGCTTATTTAATATTAAAGTAAAAAATACAACCAGCTGCCTGCAAATGTGTCTTAAATAATTCTTCATATACATAGACTCTTCGAGTTTTATAGAAAAAGACGGCGACGAGGGCGACGACGAGAGCTCCAAAAAATAGTAGAAGGAGTTCGACGTAGCTGCTTCCTCACAAAATCACACACCCTGCGAAAGTTTAGATGGCTATAATAATGGGTCAAGAAAGATAATTCGTCAGGTGGACATCAGGTTGAAAATGTGGAGCAACTGACATTGATTGCTGGTCTTTTGGTTGTTCTTGCGGAGGTTGTGCTGTGCATGTTCTTCTTGTTGTAGGTCGTACTCATATTTCTCATTCTAATCGGATTTCACTCCTTTGTTCAGGGTCGTTTAGGGTTCGTGCTTTCTCATTTTGTATACCATTTTTGACCTTTTTTGACGTCGTTCTTTTGCTCTCTACTTCATTCTAATTCGTATTCGCTGAAGTTGTGACGTTGTACTCAGATGATGTTGTATGTACTAGATCGTTTCGTGTCGTGTCGTGAAACTGAAGATTAGAAAGCGTTTTTGGGAACAAGAAATTGATTTTGATTTTCTTGGTACTAACACCAGAACTTTGTTGACTTCATTGAAGATTCCCATGATCAACATCTTGCTGTATAATCGAACTCAGTCGTGGAGCAGGAAGCAACCACGACAACTACATGCAAGATTTCAAGAACAGACTCCCACCAGCATACTCAGCGAGCACTGTTGAGTGATAACATGCCATCAGGAACAAGATGTTCCGACAGTAGTACTAGAGGTGAAGAAAGGTTTGTATGGTAAAAACTGTTGTCGTGGGATGTACATTCATTGTGGACGACATTAAGACTCGTGCTGTCACGAGTCAACAACGATCAGGGAGGTGGAATTCAGATGAAAGAGAAACTAAGATTCGTGAAAAGTAAACTACATGGGAAAGTGGATAGACATGTCACGACAAGGTTTCTGAGGGACGAGGACACTTCCTTCATCAACTTGTCATCTGCTCAACTATGATCTCAGAAGAGATTGATCTTGCCTCAGATCATGCATCTTCCCCTGGCGACGGCGCACCACTCGAACCTCCTCCAGGCACGACAAGTTTCCTCTTTTTCCTCCTGCCGCCTGCTGGTGCGCGACGTGCTTCACTCGAAAAAACATCGCCTTCATCCATCTTCGCCATGCGCTGAGCTGTTTTGACACTAGCCGCTGATTTCAAGTTCAAACCAGCTTTCAGTTTCAAGGCACCCTCTCCTTCGTCTAAGCCTGCTACACCAGAAGTAAGGTTAGAAGTGAGGTTAGAAGTTGTTGGTGTTGTGGTCTCAAGTGTCCTCGTGTTGTCTAGTATCATGTCTTTCTTGTCGTGGTTGCTATTACCTCCAATCGGAGTCCCACTTGGGGTAGTCAAAGTCCCAACAGCACCAGCTAGCAGTCCAGCTTGTTGCTGTGCCGCCAATTGCGCAGCTCCCAACCTATTCCTCCCACCCACGGACGCAAATGCTTGGCGTTTGGAACTCGTTACTGCATGATGACGCTCGTTCTCCAGTCGTTCGGCAGCCAGGCGATCTTCGTGTAGTTTTGCCTCGTAGTTCATTTTTCTCTGGTTCTCTTGATCCTGCCTACGCATAGCGTTCACGTCAGAACCCGTTTCACGCACCGAAAAAAACATAGGACCCATCTCTGCTAGCCAAGAAGGCTCCACCGCAGAAACGTAGTTCATGTACTCCTTCGTTGTCAAAACGACTTCGTGGTAGACGACGTAGTCCGGGGTGTAGCCCATACCGTAGAGAGCGGAAGTCGGATGCAAATGACAGGGAACCGAAGTTCTGAGATTCACGTACTCGCCGATTCCTCGCATCTTGGCTGCGTTGTGGAAGTAACCACTCGTAATGGCTTTCCTCACCACGTCCCAGTTGCCGGCACAACTCGTGTTCAGTAACTTTTGTTGGTTCACCAAGTCTTCTAACTGTCCGAAAGTTTCTCGCACCTTCTTCATGCACTTGGCCTGCACAAAGTGGGAATTGCACCAAGCCGCGCTGTAGCCGTGCTTTTTCCACTGCTGGTACACGTTCAGCAACGTCAAATGGTCGGACTCGGGTACGGAGAACTTCTCGCGCTGGTTATCGGACTCCTCAGCCCGCTCTTTTGGTCGATAGAAGATATTCGGAGTCTGCAACATGGAAATCACCACCATCATTTCCTGCACACAACCGTAGTCAGCTGCAGAGAGAAGCATCTTAGCCAAAGGAGGATCGACCGGGAATTCGGACATCTTGCGACCAGTGTCGGTCAGATACCTGGTGGTCGTGATGGATAGAAACATTCAAGAATGTTGTTGAGATCTTAAGTTTAAGTAGTAAGCACAAGTAGAAGTTGTAGAAGTTCTTGTTGAACTACTCAAGGTTTATTTATTAAATTTAGTGGAACAGAGTTAGAAGTTGTTTGGTATTAGTTTTGCTTTTGTGGGCCTAGACGGAGCATCTGAAAATGTAGTACCCAAAGTTATCTTCCAGCGGTCCCAGGAGCATCAAATTGGGATATTGAGAAAAGTTTATCTTTATAATAACAAGCTCTTGTTCTTGAAGACGTCGTAGAGTTAATAGAGTTAGACCAATGATTGGATACTTCATCTGCATGTTTGTCGTACTACGAAATGAGAAGTCACTTGCTCCACTCAACTGTACCTAAAGTCTAAAACTTGAGCGCCGTGTGCTACTAAACTAGGCAACATGTAAAAAGGTAGTACCCCAAGTTATCCAGCGCTCCCAGCATCCACAATTGATACATCGAGCTCAAAATCGTGTCTTGTGGAGGCGGATCCAAGAAGTCGAAATCCAGTAAATTGTCAACACCAAGCGACTTCAGCAACAAAACCACTTGAGACAGGTTTGTTCTCTGAATTTCCGGAATCGACATTTCGTACATTTCTGCGATAAAAGCCCGCTCCGTGTACAGTCTCCAGCAACTTCCGGCTTCGGTTCGCCCAGCACGACCTCTGCGTTGATTCGCGTTGGCTTGGGAGACTGGGGTGATCTGCAGGGAGTCCATACCGATTTTGGGGTCGTAGCACTTGACCTTGCAGAAACCCGAATCGACCACGAATTTGACTCCATCCACCGTAAGACTGGTTTCCGCGATGTTGGTGGCGACAATGACTTTGCGAAAGGGACTAGGCTGAAAGATCCTAGCCTGCAAGTCACTGGGCATGGTGGAGTAAACTGGCAAGATGTTGAGAGGAGGGATGTTTTCCAGACCCGCTTCCTGCAAACGATCCGCCAATAAGACGCAAGTGGCATCGATGTCCTCTTGACCAGTCATGAAGATCAAGATGTCTCCTCGCTCTTCCTGCACGTGAATCTGAATGCTCTGATGGACTGCAGCTTCAACATAGTCTTGAGGCGCCGACTTAGCAAAGAAAGTGTCGACCGGGAACGTACGTCCCGGAATCTCGAACACCGGCACACCACCGAAAAAGCGCGAAAATCGTTCACTATCCATGGTCGCAGACGTCACAACCATGCGGAAATCCCGTCTTCGAGTCGTGATACTTTTCAGAATGCCGAACAACACGTCGGTGTTTAGACTACGTTCGTGCGCCTCGTCCATGATGACGGCTGCATACTTCTCCAAATCGGAATCGTTCAACGTCTCTCGCAGCAAGACACCATCCGTCATGTACTTGATCCTAGTTTCTGGAGACGTGCAGTCCTCAAATCGAATCGAGTAGCCCACTAAACCGCCTAATTCCTCGTATTTTTCATCGGACACACGTTTCGCCACACTCATCGCAGCCATACGACGCGGCTGCGTACAACCTATCAATAGGCCGTCGGAACAGTAACCCGCTTCGAGCAGGTACTGGGTCAGCTGGGTCGTCTTACCTGAGCCTGTTTCTCCTACTGCTACTACAATCTGATGCTCGCGGAGAAGGTCTAAGAAATCTTGTCTCACGCCGTAGACTGGCAAAGCTTTCCGGACCTCGTCGATCGTGCGGCTCTTTCCGAATTCAGTCTGAGCTTCCTGTTTGATGCTCTTCATGGCGTCAGCAAATTTGTTCTCAGCACGATAATCGTAGTGCTCATCGTCGACCGCTTTCTCCTCCTCGCCAGTGTTCATACCACTACGAGCCTGCATGATAGCGGTGTAAGCTGCGTTGGCTTGAGCAGCGGCTTCTTTCTCGGCAGATTTTTTGGCGATATCACTCTCCTTTTTAGCAGCTTCTCCTTCCTCTTGTGCCTGCTCATTTTCAGAAGTGGCTTCCGCACCTCTCTTACTACCATCTTGAGGCAGCTCTGCCTCAGGCATGGGTCCCACATTTTCATCGGAATCAGAGTCCTCACCATTAATAGCGTCGTTCTTATCGTTGTCGTCCCCACCGCCTTGCTCTGGCATAGGACCTACATTGTCATCCGAACTAGAGTCCTCGTCTTCTTCGTCTCCCTCTGGAATAGGTGGTAGGCCAGAGGGCGGCAGCTGTTGTTGACGAGATGGCGGTAGAAGACTAGGATTTTCTTCTACCTGTGAAGTAGAAGTAGATGATGGAGCATTTTCTTCCTCGTGATGTTCCTCCTGTTGTTGCGCCGCTCCTGCTTGATCAGAGGGATCATTCTGGGCCTCCCCTTGTTCGACAGCGGCCGGCTCTTGATGTTCTTGCTCTTCCATTTCCATCGCATTTGGGTCCTTCTTCGCAGTTCCACCGCCAGTAACAGCAGCAGCCAAGCCCGTCTGTCCCTTGTTTGCCTCCCAAAACCTATCCCGCATCTTGTTCTTCCCCTCTTCTTCGCGTAACTTCTTGATACTGGCACAGCCTTTCTTCGCCAACACAGCCATGTCAGACGTGGGATCTTTCACGATGGAAACCATCTCCGCTTGTGTGGTGTACTGAATACGGCCATCCAAGAATGGTGGAACTGTTTCTTTCACTAAAACGTGCTGCCGGCTTCCCTGCATGTAGTTGTCAGCGTGAAATGCGTCCAAATCGATGAATCTTTTCTCCCCTACTCCAGCTTGCCTCAGCAAGCTCTGCTCCCACGCCTCCACGTCCTTGTTCTTCTCCTGCTGAGCTAGAGTGACTTTCCTCTCTCGTTGTCGCTCAGCCTCTTTCCTTCTGGCTTCTTCCTTCTCAAACAATTCATCCGCACTCATCGCATGGCCAAACGTGCTCTGCGTACCTTGGTTTCCGCCCTCCTCTTGGTCGTACCAATCGCGATCTAGAGCGACTTCCTCCCACTCGTCCAACTCGATTTCGTGGGCCATGCGGTCCTTGTATTTTTCCTCGTCATCACCGCCACCTAGCACGTCTTCCTGCAAATTCCCCATAGTGCTTCGATCCACAGTCACACCCTTGTTCCAGTCGTTGATGCCCATCATGCCACTGGTCGCTTTCCCAGTGTACCAAGTGCTCTCTTGCTCCTTGTCATCCTCTCTCTCCTCTTCGTCACTGTCGTAGTCGAAGGGACCGTGTCGTTCTTCTTTGGCGTTTCTTCTAGAACGGTCGCGAGAAGAAGCACGCCTACTGCGGTCACGGGAGTCAGAACGTCTTCTCCTCTCTCTTTCTCGATCGCTATGTTGACCACGAGGACCACGCCGGTTCGTTCCTCCATTCATCCGGTCTTCATCGTTCCGACCGCCACCACCACGACGATCGTTTTTCTGCTCTTCTCCTCGCATGGCTCGACCTCTGTAGTCTGCTTTTACTTCTGGCTCTTTCTCCTCCTCGTCACTGTCACCGGCCATAATGACGGTTTTAGTGCCACGAAAAGCGCGGATACCACCACCAACTTGCCGCTCACCTGGGTCGCGTAACGAACCAGCGAGAGTGTTTTCGTTGTCATCGTCATTACCCGTTGTGGCCATCAAAGCGAGTTTGGCGTCAACTTGAGCACCGACTTCCAATGCAGCTAAGGTCTTGGTGTCGTTCTGTGTTGGGGAGCGCCCTGCACCTGCAGCGCCTTTTTTACCACCAGCACCGACAACAAAAGCTCCTGCTTTCTTGCCCTTTCCGCCAGCTCCGCTTCTGTTACTGGAATTGAACAACGCTTCTCTGCTGGCGCCCTTGGGCTTACCTCCTCCGTTTTTCGCTGATAACGTGTTCATCGGGTCAGACATCATAGATGGACCAGAGTCGGGACTAGAAGTTTTCGTCTGCTGAATCGCTGAGGCTAAGCCAGTGACTGCGCCAGGTTCAGCAGCTGCTACCCCTTCAGCGTCAGCCTGCACAGCGTGGACCAGGAATCTGTCGATATCACGTGTGGAAGCAGAGGAAGTCTTAGACTTCTCAGCCTTGTTGTGGTCCCCTTTGTTGTCTTTCTCCTTCTGGTCGCCTCCAGGATGACCAGCATCTCCATGTTGGGGTTGGCCATGATCTTCGCCCATTTCAACGCCTTCTCCACTGCTATGACTTCCGCCAACCGTTAAAGTCCCGCCACCCAGACTTGCTGCTGCACGCTGGTGCCCATTCCACCCACCAAACAGGTCTGCTGCGCGGTTCTGTTTCGGAGGCAAGGCTAATTTCAGTGTCGGGCCTTCTTCCTCCTCGTCCTCGTCGTCCATCCTGAAGACGGGTGACTGTTCCTCTCGACCGCGCTTTTGTCTCGCTAACTGATCTAAACCAAGCGTCGAGCCTTTGCGCACGTAGAGGTGGCCTGTATCATCCGACGAAGGTTGTGCGCCTAAGAGTCCAAGATGGAGCTCTCCCAAGCCAGAAGTTGATTGAAGATCTGGCAACAAAGAAGTTGAAGTCTCTACTTGCTCACGAGGACCATCAGCGTTTTTATTTGCCTGTAAGAACTTTCGACTGAGTCCACCACCAGAGGCAGGTTGCAATCCACCCTTATTGCGTATTTGCAGACCACCAGGTGCGCCACTTCCGCTACCAGACAAGACATCTGTCCTAGAGGCTGGATCATTTGACTGCGCCGCTTCAATAGCCCGCACTCTGCTTTCGATCGACGCAAACAGAGCCAATGCCGTATAGTCAGCACCTTGGCAGTAGTCAGAGATTTTCTTCTGAAAGTCCTTGACTGTTTTGGACGCACAAAAACGGGAGATGATCTTTCTCGCTAGAGCTGGAGTACTGGGTAAGCCATAGGCTTTAGAAACCTCAGCGCCGACGAATGTGACAAGCTCAGCGTAACCAGTAAGACGAGTCTCCTTTTGCAACGCGGTCTCGGGTTTTTTCGCCTTCGCATCCTGAGCCTTGGTCGTGGCTGCAGGAGCAGCAGCTGCTCCTTCCTCGCCTTGGGAAGTCATCTTGATTATAAGGTAAAAACTTGACTGTAAGCACGAATTTCGTTAAAAAAAAATTCGGAAAAGCTATGTGAAACTAAGATGAAGATCTCAGTATCTACAACATGCTCTGACTCATCACATACGTATACGAGGACATATTTTGACGGGGCTACTTGTACTCATACTGTTGTTGTTGTAGTGTCACTTAAAGCATGGGAAAAGATCTAGATCATGGGAAGAAAAATGGAAAGAGAGAAGCCTGTCACAATGATGAATTTGAAGAATGCATGAGGGACTTATATATAATCTTGCGACTTCCTCCACCATAGACATGAAGATGAAGGACGACTCGGAATTGCAATTGTTCGTAACGGTTGCGGTACATATTAGTCGAAAAAGAGGTGGTCTAAGTCCACATAATTAGTCTAATATTATTAGAGGTGGTAGATCTAGAAGTTTCGGATGCAGCCAGAATGAGCTCGTCTATTTGAATACATGTTTGTCGATTCCAACTCGTTGAAGAGAAACAGCACAACAAGAACTACAGTTCTTCGTCACATATCATTTGCTTCCACATCTTCAAGACTCGCCATTGGATTTTGATTCTTCATGTGCCGTTGTTCGGGTATTCAAATTCGAATTCAGGAGAAGAACAGGAAAGCGACAAGAGAACGAGCAGAGCCTTTAGTAGTAGAGGCAGAGCCTCTTTGAGCTTGGAGGAGCACCTCCCGCGTGTACGCGCATTTAAACATCAATGTTATATTTGGATTTGCGTAGCATCTTGATGTGATTTGCATTCTCGTTTTGGGAAAGCACGGTCATTGAAATGGAGCGAACAGCACTTTTGTGTCTTCCCTGATACGGACCAACGACACTGGTCGTTGTGGTTTCAAAAATCCAAAAGAAGATGAAGATGATGAGATTTAATTATAAAGAGAGCCAAAATAGGGGAAAAACAATGGGTAGCTGCTGCGTACATAGAAGTTTCTTACCAGGGCCGGGAATGGGTACTTACAACTATTCAGAAGTGCGGATATACAGTGCGTTCAATCTACTTCATGTGGCGAAAGGAGCGGGCTAAACCCTGTGTCCTAGAAGCTCCACCCACCCTCAACTCGCTCCAAGCGGTCTCCCACTATTAGGTGCCAAACCGAAGATGCTGGGTTTAGTGACCTTCTTATCCCTTATCGGACTGCGACTATCACTGGAGCTAGAGGAATCTGAGTTGTCGTCACCGCTGTCTGAGCTAGAGGAAGAAGCGTCACTCCGCTTTTGCTGCTCGGTTCTCATCTTCTCCTTGAGGTCTAGTCGGTCTTCTTCATCGAGGAAGGAATTTAGCCGGTCTCTGGATCGGTCGGATAAACGCTCGTAGGGAGGGAGTTGCTGTTGTAAATGTAGGGATGGGATGTTGAATCGAGAATAAGTTCTTGATACAACTAGCCGCATCGATAGTACGTGCATAAGCTGTTGTATCGTCCACCAAAAACGAAAAAAGAAATCAAGTTAATAGACTAGAAGGTACCTGTGGCGTAAGCGTCGCATCCAACGGTTTATACGGATAAAAAGCCGTTTGCCATGATCGATTTCTCTGACTCACTGTCTTCAGCATTGTTGCGAGTAAACCCACAGGTATAGATTCGGGGGTCCTCCTCTGCATCTGCATTGGAGGTGCCGGGACTTGTTGTGGCGGAACTGCTCCTGGCGGTAGTTGATGACCCAATGGCGGAACTGCTCCTGGGACTCCTGGTGGCGGTGTAGTTCCTGGAGGTGCACCAAAGGCTCCTCCAGGCTGGTGCATATTACCTGGCACTCCCACGATTATACCTGGTTGTATCTGTCCGGCAGGTGGAAATTGGCCCCCTTGCGCCGCTCCTCCTCCTGGTCCGGGTGGAAAGTTACTGTTGTTGAATTGTTGTGCTTGCATTGCTGCGACATTTCCTTGTATGATCCCGCCAGGACTCTGGAGCATGGTGTTGGCCATTACATTCTGCTGCATCTGCCACATAGCATTCCAGTTACCACCAGCTTGTTGTTGCTGTTGTTGATGACCTGGTTGTACTAGGCCTGCTTGTTGATGATGTCCACCCTGCTGCTGTGCTGCTAGAAATGATCCACCACCACCTCCTGTCGCGAAGAACTCACTTGTTCCATTGACGGAAATCATATTCTCAGGCAATTGCTCGTCCGTCGAAACTAGCGTCTTGATCTCCTCTTTTTCTGTATCAGTGAGACACTTTCGTTCAACCCAGAGGTTCAGCAAGTTCAGGACTTTATTCCTATCGACCTCCGTGTCTGCGGTTTTGTGCACACAGCGCAGCATCCAAGGTAAGTAAGGTTTGATTGCCTGTGTCAAATCCGTTCAGATTGAAGAAGCAAGTTGGAACTAGTTGTAGAGAAAATTCGGAATTTTCGGGTGGTCAAGAGCTGCTGCATCTTGCGTTTCTACTTTCATCATTCCAAATCCAATTGTAATCGGACTATACATAGCCTAGTACTAGTAAAGTATCGACTGACAAGAATGACATTGACAAGAACTAGTAAGTTGCTTCATATCGTTATAGGACCGGTAAGAAATTCTTACCGGTATATATCTCCAATGCCGACTATTCGGCTTCTGGACTGCTTCACACTGCAGGACGTCATGCACCACGTACAACAAGTGCAATTGCGTCTGAAATTTCGTCTCTTTTTTCAGTACCCCGTAAAGGAAGCCTGGCACTTGCTGAACACCTAGATTGATGTTCTTTTCGACCCACATTCGGCACTCCTTGATCTTATCGGCGCCAGCCATCTTCTCGAGGTGCTGTTTCACGTTATTAAACTGCTGTCGCATAGCAGGTGGAACTTCTGCTGTGCCGGGATCGGCCCGAACCTTAGAGGTGGGGGAAGATGAAAAAGAATGCCGATGGATTGGAGAAGGAATAAATCATACACACGAAAGACCATATACCCTTGTCTTTATCATTTGCTAGATGAAGATAAAGAATGGGGATTATAAAGAATGGGGATTGGAGAAGGAAAAGAAGTTCTAGTCATTGCGTTTTACTTAGTTTGCTAGATGAACATACATCAGATCAACATCTAGTTCTAGTTGTCACTTCGATACTAGATACTAGTCACGAGGACTTCTACACATCATGATTCATCTGTCTTTTCATCCATAAATTTCATCGCCAGCTTCCCAACTGCTGACTGCACACCTCCCGCTGCTGATTGCACACCTCCATCAGAGGAACTTGAAGAGCCCAACTGCATGTCAAGCCCGGCGATGTCTCCAAGCGCCTGACTGACTAAATCGTCAACAGATTGAGCCATTTTGATGGTAAGTGTTTTATTTAGGTGGTCGTAAGTGTAGTTTTTAGGAAGGAGAAGGAGTAAGGGAAAATAAAGCTGCGTACTAATGTTTTATTTAGGAAGGAGAAGGAGTAGGGGAAATATTAAATATAGCGTAGTACTAAGAGTTTATTGAGTACTTATCTACGCTCATGCTGCGCTGTGCGTATTCTTGATAGTGTAGTCGTGTCCTGTGGTCTGACTAACTTAAGTGTTGATTCTTGTGACGGATCCAAAATTGAAGAACTCAATTAGCACGAGCGAAAACTGACTTTATGGCGTAGCACCAAACTCGTTCATTTTATCTTCGGCTACTGATAATGTACGATCTACTATCATGTTTTTTCAGGGAAGCCGCGTCGGGTCGGGGAGGTCGTCACTGTCACTTAGTAGATTGAAGAAATAGGATCATGGGCTAGGTGCTGCATCTTCCCTTGATATGATCGTTAAGTTTCTCTATCTCATTCCATTTGAAGACGTTGATTTCCAAAAACCTAAATCCAACTCGTTCAACTCGCACGGACCTGGGTGCCTCTACTCAACAGTTCGGCATGATGCGTTGTTAAACAAATTAGTACTTATCGTAATTGAAACTCCTGGCAGCTGCAAAGACTTTGTTTTGGTTTTCTACTTGAGCAGGAGGTGGATCAAATTATATCTGATGCTGGACCACATCAATATAGATTGGATAGAACGTCAACCACGTCTGGCTATGGGGCATTCTGAGATTCAGTTTAATGAGGTCCGAAATTCAAGGGTCGACAGAATTCTTCTGATGCTGTGAGTACACTTGAGAACGCCAAACACAACTCTGAATCCAATAACCAAGAGTCAGAATAGGTCAGATGATCTTCTTTACCTCTGGAAATGGAATTTCTTCAAAACAACTACAATTCCCGAAGTAGATGTGATACTTTTACAACATGTCAGTCTCCATCCTCAATGTGCTTAATATCATTTTACAAGGTCATCTTTTTCTTTGTACAAATGAGGACGAGCAATCTTGGAGGATGACTGGGGCTTTCATCATGACTCGCACGACCGCTGTACAGCATTTCCGCTGTTGCTATTTTTAAGTCCTGCTCACCGTACCCCTAAATGATGCCCCTCGACGACCCTTCAACATGACATACTCAACAAGTATGATTAGCATCACCACTCTCCTCGTCGTCCTCGTCCCCTCATGATCATGTTGGCCCAGTACCAGTAGCTGTATGCATCTTCATCTACAAAGTATTCCTCGCTTCCGGATACCCAGTTGTATCATACGACCTCGGCAGACCGTCTAAGGTCGTAGAATTATTCCGATTGTCGTAGAAGTCGGGTCTGCTGGATCCAGGAGCTCCGACGCTTGATGACTGAGTAGAAGTTGACGAAGCAGAATCTTTGAAATTTTTGTTGTACCACTTGCCGAAGGCACTGGCGCCAGCGACCGCCTGCTTGCCCACAGCTTTCCCTGTGTCGCTTTCAGCGGCCTGCTTACCTAATCGCATGGCTTCTTGCGCGGTTTTTTGGGGAATGAAGGTGGGTCGAAAATAATGGATGGGAGCCCTATCAAAGTTGGTGGAAGAAGTAACAGGTTTGGTCTGATGAGAGACATCAAAACCTCTACTCAGTGTCGTCTTAGATCAAAACCTCTCAACATTGTCAGCGTTTTAGTGCTGATCTCATAATGCTAACATCCGCCACCTTCGAGCTTATCTGATGTTCATGTTTCTGATCGATGATCTCATAATGCTAACATCCGCCACCTTCGAGCTTATCTGATGTTTCTGATCGATCGCAGCTGCCTTGTTCACCGTGGTTGCCGTCGCCTTCCCGACAGCTTTCGCTGCTTCACCAACTGTGTCTTTGCGAGTACAGGCATACACGGCTGCGCCTCCAAGCGCCACTGCGGATAGTGGTCCCATGAGGACTAACCCTGCTGTTGCTCCGACTAAAGCTGCGCCAGCTTTGGTGCCGATTAACTGAAGATGTGACTTAGAAGTGGTTTGCCGATTATAACTGTAGTAGTTGGGAAAAATTAACTGAAGATGTGATTTAGTGGTTTCCCTATTATAACTCCAAGGAGGGATATTCATCATGATCATGAAGCTTTTAAATGAATCGACATAATTTACGAGCAGGAATGATAGACAGTTCTTGCTAACAGTGGTTGTAGATGGACTAAAAGTACCTTCTTATCCGCCTGCGCACTACCTCCCGGCGCCGACCCTTCTTGAGACAGGTCTACACAGCTCAATCTTAGACCCCCAACCATATCCTTGACTGGCACTGGTGGCACGTTTGGAGGCAGGCTGTTCAAATGGTCAATCCTCGACCTCACTTCTCGCATGTGCACGCGCAGGCTGTCAACCTCAGCAGGTGAGACCAGAGGCGCTGTGGCGCCTCCACCACCAGACGCGCTGCTCACAGCAGTGGCTTCTGCAAGAGATAAATGCTGGAGGCTGAGATCCCAGTGGTGGACTGCTCGACTATAGTCGCCACGCTCATCGTATTGGATTGCAACACGCTCAGCCTCTACGGCTGCATTGGCATGTCGAGCCAGCTCAGATTCCATCTTTTGCTCTTTTAGTAGATAGGAGTGAGGGCGTGTAAAGAATGCTGAGAAAATCCAAAACACGACGAGCACGAACAAGATGAAGGGATCTTGTAAGAACTTCCAAAACTCCAAAGGCGGTTCTTGTGTCAAGAATAGACTCAAGAAGAGAGTTAGAGGATCGATCTTTATCAACACGGCGACAAGTTGAAGATACAATAGGACAAAAAGCGCTTGATAGAAATTTTGGAAAAAGGAAAAGCTGTCCGTTTTGGTTGAAGACCACTTTGTTTTGCATCTCTCGTACTCGTTCTTGACATCTTCGTCTCGTCTTCAACCACCTCAAGTAGAAAACAATAGATACCGGTACAGATCAGTAATTTTTGTGTGGTGACTGCAACGGTTGGACTCGCTCAGCCGTGATCAATACTGCGAACACAGGAAGATACTTGCATTCTTCTTGTAGCTAGTTTCCGCACTGCCAGTCGTGCTTAAAAAAGAAAATTTTTGGACGTGCTGGACGTCGTTTTCAAGAAAATAGAACTTGGGATTGGTGTTGATTCAACTCGTTCTCGTTCTTGGCTCAGGAGGAGTCACGATTTTCGTCCAAGAATTTTGGCTGCCGGCTGCTCGTCCTTCCTCACTTCTTCTCCCCACCAGTTGCAGCACCAAAAGACGCCACATTCTTGGCCATTAATTCCGGATTACTGCCCATCAGTGGGATCATGGCTTCGCGGCAAAGCATCTGCGTCTGGCAGTCGAACTTTTCCCAAATGGAGGCTAGGAGAATGAAAAATGTGAGGGAAAGAGGGAATGGAGGCTAGGAACGTGAGATGGCAACTTTGAGATTGAGTACTTAGTACATCAGAGATGAATGTGAATCGTGGAACCATCCACAAGTCCATGAAGAATTACCTTATTTTGCGTGTGTGCTACAGCCTAGAAACTTATTTCATCGTAAAGCTCAGATTGGTGTATCGTTCAATCGCTGCTGGCTTGCTTGGCTTCGCGCCCTTTGCTTTTGCGAAAGCCTTGAGCCATCGTGCCGCGTTCGGAGAACCAGCGACCATCTTATCTCAGTGATGAAGCGGATTTAGATTCTACTACCTACCTTATTTCAGTCAGTAACTCGGTTGTTTGAGTTTTCGATTACTTACCTCAAGCTCTAGTCTAGAATAAAAAAAAGCATGTTGAGTGTCAATATCCAGGATCTGAATAACATGGAATAAGTTGCCTTCTGCCTTCGGCCCTCTGCTCCTTGTTCTACAGTGATGAAGCGGATTTAGATCCTACTACCTCAAGCTCTAGTCTACTTCTCCTGTGAAAGAAATTGTAAAAAATCCTATGTTGCTGCTATCGATGCGTCTTGTTCCAATTCACCCATTCTTCGCAACATTTCGTGTCTGCTCTCAGTACCACTCAACCCGTTGTACATGTCTCTATGTCGTGTTCGTCTTGTCGCAATTCTCTCATCGAGCACACAGGGCAACATGCTCATGAGGAAACTCATACCTCCAGGCTCAGCTGCTGACTGTGAACACTCTGCTTCTTCATGCCTTTTTACTTGATGAACTACTGTAAGCTGAGGACAGCTGCAACGGCTTTTAGTACAGGCTCCTGTAGTTGGATTCGAATACTAGGATATGTTCCTCATAGAAGTCAACTTTTACACGACAAGCAGACAAATGCAAATCTCAATATGATTTTTTTACACATACAATCGCAACAACAACAATATGCGACTGGTGAAGAGTGACATTACTAATATTACTGGAAAAAATGTCACTTGAGCTTTCTCCTGTCATCACTAGCACAGCAAGAAAGATGGATGCATACATGTTGTCAGAAGACGAGATGTAAATAAAGGTAGACGCGGCCGAGACTGTACGACTAGTTGTATCTAAGTAGATGAAAAACGAGAATAATCGCGTACTACACGGCTAGCAAGCTGCACAGCCCAGCAAAGATGGTGCTACCTAAGTAGGGCCGCAAGAACAAACATGTGACGTCGAGGTCAACACGAGGACGGATTAGGTATCCTCGGTGTAAAAGAAAAAAGTATTCATTTTATCAAAACCAAAACTAATGTACTTAACTCTCTTTGTGCGTAGTTATCGTTATTATATTGTTGATGCATGATTTTGATTGAAGCACTAGTATAGTTTACAAAACGTGGTAGTACTGATACTGTTACTGTTCATTGATATTTCTGTTCATACTTCAATTCATTAGTCGATAGGATCAACATCTTCTATGCAATAAAAATATGCTGTACGAGGACATCATAAAATACAATGCGAAACAGGGGAAAAATCGTTCAACTCAAGCGCAACAAACGCGAATCGAACTAACTCAGAGCAAGCTAGCAGCTCCAAACGTCTCCACCACACACGCAATCGGCAAACGGCAAACCGGACAAAACGGCGCGTCACTATCGAATAACCGGTTCGCGCACGACAAGCAGCAGACATTATGTCCAGTGGGTGGGTGCACGAAGGTCGCACTAACACGATTCGTCATGCAGATGACGCAGACGTTTTTGTTCATATCAACGTTTGGCGGTCGCGAGCGTGGTTGATCTACAGGAATACAACACATCCTGCTAGAAGAGGAATTCGAAGTTGGCTCATCCGCACTACTGCCCGAAAGGTTCGGCACTACTTGTGACGACGTTGCCAACATTGATTGCTGTTGGTCCTCCATCATTTGCTCTCTGTGCAGCCTCTGCATGATGTAATCGTCTTGACGCAACAGCTCTCCCCAAGCAATCCTACTCGGATCCTCCTCTAAAAACCGCTTGAGAGGCAGTACCGGTGCTACACGCAGTGGGCCATTCACAAGCGACCCTTCGAACTTCAAGAAGCAGCAGTCAAACAAAAAACTCGCAATCGAAGTGGTCATGGTCAAATTGTTGTGGTTGATATTGAAGGGGTTCATAGATGAAGAAGCACTGTAGTTGTCCTGCGCAGCCGTGTTGAAAGTGCCAGTAGCAGTACTACTTGCAGCAGCGTTGTTTATCTTGTTCTCCATCATGTAGAACGTCTTCCTCCGTATCGTTTCCACATCTGATCTAGACAAGTCGAACTGCATTTGGTGCAAAAAGGTCCTCGTTGGAATGGTTTTGTTGAAGACATCTTCTAGCTCTAAAGCGTGAGTGCGTACTTCAGTGGCGTCGAGTGAAAGGAGAGGTAAGGCGTCTTGTTTGATGTCCGATGAAGTGGAGTGCTCTGACGAGGATTTACCAACAGCTCCAGAGCTGTTGTAGTTAGGAAGTTCTTGTTGCAAAATGAGCAATCTGCACCCCTTCAATAACAACTCTCGGTGCAAATCGATTTTTTCATCCAAGAACTCCTGTTCTCTTCTGCGAGCCACGTTGGCTTTTTGTAGGTGTTCGTCTTGTTTGATCATAGTGCAGCAGGTTATTCGTAGCTCCATTAGCTGCTCATTATAACCTCCACTCATTGAAGCGGCCGTTACCCAGTGTGCATCGATAACACGGAATCTTACAGTATCGTCCATCAGTTGCAAAGTGGTGATGTGTTGTTGCTGTGGTGGTGCGTGAAGCGTAGATGAACAATGCGGGTCAGTGTTGATAAGCCTAGTGCCAGTTCCCGACATAGCTGATGCCCTTGACGATGACAACGAGGTGTTTCTGAAGATAGCAGGCAGCGCTTGCGACGGAGTGGATGTTTTGCTCCTGCTCTCTTTGCTGCTACTTCTTCGCGAGCGGCCGAGTTGCAAATACGAATCCAGCGGCAGAAGTGTCCACCCCGGAGCGAATTCGAAGAGAAAAAGCTCCTGGCCGCGTGATGCTCTTCCTTCTTCATGCACCTGCGACTCTGAAAGAGCGAAACGCAGTGTGCCCTCAATCACTTCGCGTCGACGTACCACGTGAAGATTAATATGATATTGAGGAGAAGTGGAAGATGATCTACTTGTTGAAGAGGGTGCTGCTGTTGAAGCGGTTGATGTTCTTCTCGTCGTGGTATTTGCATTAGACGCTGCGAGTGGTGTGCCTGGTGGCAGAACACGAATCGGGGTTGTTCTTGTACCTGCTGGACTCGTAGATGATGAGCGCTCCTTGCCTTCGTCACAGGGTGGCGATGCCGCTGCATCAGCGACGCTCCCACCTCCACTTCGAGCTTGTTCGCTCGGAGGTGGCGGATGATGTTCTTCACCTTCATTTGAGCGTGGTCGTGGTGAGACATCTTCAAAGAAACTGCTGCTCACGCCCTCGCTCATATCATCGCCATCTTTGGAGTCCTGCTGTCGAATCTCACATTTCCGATAGCTATGCTGCAAGAACGAGATCGGACGCAATTCGGCAAAGGGCGTAATTACGCGAGCAGCCTTCATAGGTTTCCCTAACTGGACGTCAACAACATCAGCACCAAGATCGGCGCTCGCTTCACCAACTGCGCTGAACTCAATTTGCAATTGCCCCTCAGTGCGGTGCCATGTCACCGACACAATGTCACAGTGAAAATCCACGATTTGTTCCTCTACTAGGTGTTCATGTTCTTGATGTTCTCCTAGTACCTGCTCTTGAATCTTCGGAAGTAGATCGACATCGTGACTTTGATGCTCTTCCAGGTCAAGATACACTCTTGGATGCCTGCACGTCGCCGGCGGAAGAGCAGCCTTCCATTTCAATATGCGACGAGGCGGACAAGGTGTAGACCCTTCCCTAAAATTTTGCTCCTGAAGCTGCGTGCTGGTTGCGCGTGCAAGACGCGTGGAGGGTGCCCTGCAACTGGCGCAGTCCGAGCCCTGCTCAGTGCTCAGTAGCGTATTTGTAGTTGATAGATCTTCTTGTGAAACAAGCAATACACCGCCTCCGTCATAGTCTTCATCCGCAGCACCGTCGTACTCTGTAACAGGATCCTCAAAGAGCTGTTCTGGATTGTCTATGTCCCCTCCCAGGGCTCCACCTACGGGTTTTCCAGACAGCCTACTAGAAGCTGCGACACCACCCGTGGAAGTGGATTTACTAGTCCTCGTAGTTGTTGTGGTTCTTCCATCACTACCCACAATGGCCTTTTCCCTTGTACTTGGAGCTCGTACTATCGAAGAACCTCCCTTGCCTATATCGTTGTCGCGGCCACAGACAGCACTTTTCTTGGACTTGGAGGTGGGTCTCTTCCATGCTATTTTTCCTGTTGGGTCACCCCAACTGCTCGGTGGAATCGACCACGATATTGAAGACATTAATTTCTTCATCTTGTGAAGATACAAGTCAAATCATTGTTCCAAAACAAAAACAAAATCTGTACTGTATCGATTCTTGCGTTAACAGAGTGGATACTTTCTAAAGCACGAGTCGGTGAAGAAGATGCCTACGTCGAGCGAAATGACAACACAGATCGATGAAGTCTGGCGAACGAGCACGACAACAACTACCCTCGCGATAACTCTCGCGTCCTCGAGATCGATGTATGATTCATGCTCATGGGTAGGAATCTTTGTCGAAACAAATAATTGCGCAGTGGTGTCAAAACTAGCCGTCGCGACGGCGACCACGTTGATCAACATAACTTTTAACTTCGTGATCTTAAAAAAGTGAAAACAAGAATCTGCTGCATCTGTTGATAGTCAACGTCAAGCTGAAAAATAATTTTCAAAAAATCAATGGCGAAATAGTCGGCTTCGTAAATCCGTATTGATTAGCCAAACGTTTGACAGCAACGCCCATTACACACAGGACGACCGCAAAATACGCTAGCGTCAAGTAGAGACGTCTGTAGAAACTGGAACGACCAGTCTGGTCAGTTGTGCCATCACCTAGAAGCGCGTCGCGTCTCGTTTTTCGAAGATGCTCTAGACCCTTGTGGGAAGTTGAAGTTCCCGATGCTCGTCTCCTGGTGACGTTGTTCGAGGTGTCGTCCATGTTTGTTGAAGAATGAAAGAAGATGCTAGTAGTAAAAAGAATCAAAATAATGACAAAACGACAAATTTCATCTGGTGGTAATATACGTATATGTAGTCTAAAATAAAGTAGACCAAGAAGTACAGAAACAATGAAAGACGAAGAAGATACTAGATGAACTAGTAAATAGGATGCGGGTCGTACGGGGAAAGGCTTGTACGTAGATGGCTCTGAAGGTGAAGAGAAAATGCTATCTTCGTACGGTGGGACCTGCTGTGGGTACGTAGATGGCGTTGAAGAGAAAACGATTGAAACTGCTTGACAGATTGAGTATCTCGAGCTCTCGGAAGGTAAAGATGAAAACTCGGCTCGGAGGTTGAGGTTCTCTCTTGCAATAAGAATAAGGAAAGAGTTCTCGAATCAATAAACAAGCCTGTTCTCCCGAGGTGGAACACGAGCCCTGCTCTCTCATTTTACGTTTTGACTGCAAACCGATGGACCAAGGAGAAACATCATGCAGCATACAACTTCTTGAGTCAGTACTTCTTTTGACGAAGCTGCAGCTCTCGTGCAATAGCTTTTGACGAACACAGCAACTACAAATCACGACTCTATTGAATGCGACCTTGACAATTCCTTGGGGACGAACTGTTCGGAGGAGGTGAACATCATTGATGCTGGGGAAAAGGAGGTTTTCTGAAAATTAAGATAACTATGATAGGGCTAGGAGTTGATCATGCTGGTGTTTGGTGCATCGCACGCGCGTTTGGAGGTGCTTCCCATGTTGTTGATTGTTGAATAGTTTGTGGTATTAAAGGTAATCCCATCAAGATAATTAAGTTCGAAAGTAACTGTGCATCAGTACGTTTTCCGGAAAACATGTGAACTTACGGGGCAGTATGCTTCAAATGCTGATCTCAAGTAGTGTGGTCAATTATGACTTTAGTTTGGCAGACATTACATCATGATCTCCAAAACTGAATAGAAGACGCGTTCTACGTGGACTGCTACAACATGCTCGCGCCCAGAGGCAACAGGGGAGTTGTCATGCTTGTTCATAGTCATCAACACCACTGCAATAGAGCTTTATAAAAGAGCCTTTATGCGCAGCGTACACCTTGATGAAGGCGGATAGAAATCGTTCACGATAAAATGTGAGGATGAAGCACGACAACACTGTCACGTCTGTGCAAAGTGACAATGGCAAATCCTAAAACGATTGTTCAGTCCTATCTGGTAGTTTCTTGATGTTTTGCGTTTACTCTACTACTGAGGGATTACAACTATTTGGGTACTTACACAGACACGAGAAAGGGTAAAAGTCTTTTGGTCGTAAAAAGCCTGGTAAGTGGTTTTTCGGGGCGTTGAAGTGTAGGCTGGTGGGTTATTGTCTTTCCATTGAAATTGATTTATTTTTGCATTACCTCCATGTTCATCAAGTTCAAGTAGTTGTAGAAGTCCAGGATCATTAGCATATGATAATTAGCACATTCGAACAAATCTACAAGCAATACAATCTAAAAAATGCTGGTCTCACTTCCACCTCTAAAGGCGTTTGCCCTATGTTTTCGCCATCTACATTCACTAATCTATTCTGTTCCGCAGATTCGAACCTCAATTTCGTCCATGTTCTAGCCTGCACTGCCTTGTCCAGGATGTGTTTTCCTCCATCCTTTAGTTTCCGAAAGAGAGCTAGGAAATGCCATTTGGACAACTTTTTATCCGTCCACACGATATCGAGCAAGCCGTCATTTGTCTTGGCTGCAGGCGCCAAGTCCAGACTAGTGCCACCATGACGATTGTTCTGGACGAAAATGATTCCAGCACCATGCTCGAAAGAATAGGAACTGATCTCTTGTTTACTATTTTCCTGCCCTTGCGTGGTCCTTCTCTTCACGACATCTTTATCTTTTCTGTCTCTTGGTCTCGGCTTCCACAACGTCAGTCTTTGATGAGGTCCTTTGTTACGCCGTGTTTTGCAAACTTCGATCAACCCCGCAACGTCATAGCGTCTTCGGCCACAACATCGCCATCGTTCGGCTCTAACGTTTGCATCAGCGCCCATGCCTAACCCAACAAGATTATGAAAAATGCACTGGTCTTCATATCCCTGGAAAGCTTTTGCTTTTCGAGTTGTCGCGTTACTAGCACTAGAGCTAGAAGAAGTAGTTCCTTTCGCGCCAGCAGCCGCTAACTCCTCAGCCGTGACTCCAGCTCTTTCAAGCGAAGTATAGTGCGCGACGCCAACGTCGTAGTCACAAGTCTTTCCGTCAGCGAGGGCCTGGCAGGCAGTATCAAAATCCAATAGGCCGGCTGAAAGAGCAGCTGAGTTGCCGGTTCCTCCTGGGAGAATAGCGATCGCTACAGGTGGTAACAGATCTCTTGTATTTTCGTCTCCTCGACGTGGCTTTTCTCCAAATATCTGCATCTGGTCCTGTTCATCGATGGGCACCATCCCACTCGACAAAACGCTGTTGCCGCCACCCCGCCTCCTTTGGCCCTCCATATCCGTGTAGATCAAAGACATAGAAGTCGTATCAGGCGTCGTATCAGGAGGAGACGAGCAGGAAGAGCCTAGAGCAGTCGTTCCGGAAGTAGATCTGCCGGCTCCTAGGGAACTACAGGCACCGCTAGAGTTCGGGGAACAAGCAGACTGACTCTTGTTGTTGTTGGATATAGAATTGGTTCCGAATGACGGGACCTGGAGATAATCTTGTTCGACGTCTTGTAGGCCTCTCGGTCGTGGAGCAGTTCTTCCTGGAGCTGCTTGACGACCACGTCCTGTTGTAGTAGTAGTCGCAGCAGGACGAGCAGCTGCTCCTGTTCTTGAGTTAAGCGCCGTTGTGAAGGCAATAGAATCATCAACAGGTCCTCCAGAGGGGAAAAGATGTGTTCGCGGAGGGGGTAAAAGATCTTCGTCTGTCACAACTACTCCCCCAGCTGCCCCATCGACATCGGCTTCAGCACCCTCAAGTCGCTGAACTAACTGCGCATGAAGAGGTCTCCTCGTGACCTGTAACGTCTTCACTTCTGACAATCTTTCCAGACTGAGTCGCTTCTTCTCTCTCTGTGCCAAACCGTTTAAGCTTTCGTGGATCGTGCCATCGCCGCCAAGAATTGCTAGAGCGCCATCTTTGAAGGATGGAATCTCCGCAGCGCACAAATCCAGTGCATGCCCAGGCTTTTTCGTCGCATAGGACACCGCTAGAATGCCTCTCTGGTGCAAGTAGGCGACTAGTTGGCGATGTCTTCGCTTGCCTAGGCCACCCCCGCTGAATGGGTTGTAGATGATAGTGACGAAGGTGGGAGGCGCTATTGAACTTGCAGAAGAAGAAGATGTTCCTCCTTGTTCAGATGTAGTTGACGTAGTCGGAGATCTTGACTTCGACCGCGCTCTATTTTTGCTAGCACCAGGAGAAAGCGCCCCAGCTGATTCCTTCCTACCCCTGCAGCTCCTGTTCGTGGAAGGGTTGGACAAAACCCTGGATAAGTGGTCTTGATGTTGTTGAAGTTTCGATGTATTGATCGCTGTCACACGGGATGAAGAACCAGTCGACGATGTTCTTGCTGCTTGCTCGTCAGAACTCGTATGATGCTTAGCAGGTCTAGGAGGTCTACTATCTTCAGAAAACGTCTTGTTTTTAATGTCCTGCTGTATTGATGATGACAAATAAGTAGAGGATCTCTTATTTTTATGCTCCCCCCGTAGTGATTGTGATGCCTGCTGGTGCTGGTGGTGCTTCTTTTTTTTCGTCTGCAAATATCTCATTTTTGCCCCAATCGCTTCGCTATAGGTCGACGTCGAAGTAGAGGGTCTGAAGGAGTCGATCATCGAGTTGTTATCGTCTGGTGATACTGATAGTTGTCTTGTTAACAACACATCTCCATCGTCATTACGATCTGCTAGTGCGTCACCATCATCTTCATTTTCCACAAAGTTAATCCTCTGCTCCTCTGCTCGTTGTGGGAGATCCGCAGTTTCTGATGTACTCAGTAATGGCACAGTGCCTTCATCGTCAGATAGATCTGGAATCACAGCGCGTGCTGCGCTGGAACTATCTTCTAGTAAACTGGTGGTGGTCATTTTTTTTATTGTAGTTGACTTACTTACGCTAATGTTGAATTCATTGGATTTAGAAAATGAAAATTATGGTAAAAATTATGGAGAGGAAATACGAGTGGGTTTCCAGGAGGGTTTGCGTGTCAGTCTAACAATATTATGAGTCACAAGCGCATAAGCATAGTTATACGTAATTCAGCAGACGTAAACGTATTAAGTATATCACTTTCCAAATAAACTATACAAGAACGCTAAACACGAAACGAAGACAAGGTCGAAAAAAGCCACCCAATTTTGGTTACGTCTCTCCGCTCCTGCAACTTTTTCTAAAATTTTGGTGTAAGATTTAAGCAACATTTAGGTTTAGCTGTGTTTGCAAACAAGCCACACTTTTGTGTTCTTGGATGCCTTTCGTGATTGAAAGCTTCTACTTGCGTGGCTACCTGCGTAAAGATCAACAGAGCACTGCTGGAGGTACGATCTTGATCTTGTTTTAAGGTGATCTTGTTCCAAATCTTGATCGTGGCGTCTTCAACCTAAGGACTCTGGATCTTCTATCACGTCTGAAAGCAATGAAGTTGAATTCTCTCATATTTAGGGATCTTGTTGTCTGCTACTGTGAGTAGAAGAGTTCATGTAGTCGTGTACTGGTGGTCTAGTAGAGGGAACAGTGCCAGTCGAAGTTTCGTCTGGTGATACTACTACAACCTCCCCTTGTAGTTGTTCTGGTATCATAAGAAGAGCTTGCTGCAAGGAGAGAGATAAAAATCATAGGTGCATTTTTCGATGTAGGTTTAGGTTGCCATGTTCATATAGCGTCTCGGGTTCTTCATGGCAACATCTAGTTCCGGTAGCTTGCAACAGATCATGGAGTAATGCAGAAGTAGTCCAGCAACATAAATGTGTAGTCTTCTTTCGTAAAATGTAGATTTTTGGGCAAATTATCATTCTACTAAATTATAGTTACTAGGAAGGACTTTTTAATAGAGTTACATCATGCATGCATTTTAAACAGCAGTTTTAGCTGTTGGTTTATTGTGAACAATGTGTGAGGTAAGAAGTCACGTACACATTGGCTCGAGAAATATTAACTTCTAGTAACTTTTCGACGAGCTCCTTACTTCTTCTCATCCTTTTTCTTTTTGTCTCCTCGGTACACTCCGACCACGACGCAGTGATCACGATGGTACGGCTCCAAAGTCAAGTATTCCTTCGGCTTCATCATCTCCTTCTTCATCTTGTCGATCTCGCTCGCGTACACTGCTTCCGGTGCCGCTGTTGAGTCGACGCAGTTCGCCTTAATGGAGATGATGAACCAACCGTTGTTCTTCAAAAACATGCTAGCATTCAAAGCACAGATTCTTGCCTGATCTGGCTGAGCCACGTCCGCAAAAAGGACGTCGCAGGCGCCGATGAGCATGCGATACTTCATCGGGAATCGGGCATCCTCGACGATGGGGACAACGTTCGGTCGCTTTTTAGCCATGTTGGTCAATTCACGACCACATCTATGCGAAAATTCCACAGCGTAGACAACCCCAGTCGGGCCAACCATGTCGGAAACGTGGGAGACGGTGGTTCCTATAGTTTGAAGTGGATTGGGGGATAAGTAGGAACGTTGTAGTTGACGGTGTTGTCGATTCTTGATAAGGAAATGATGGAATATATATTGTAAATATGGACAGAATTATACTACTACGTACTAGCACTAGAATTGATACTGTTCGTGATTCATCAAAGTGGATGGAGCGATCGTTATATCCAAACCGCGATTAAAAATGAAGGTCGTTTTTTCTTTCAAGCAATAGCAATAGCAAAAGCCAATCATTTTACATATTTTAAAAAAGTACCGCTAGCGCCGCCGAGGTAGATGACTTTTGAGCCTTCCTTGATGGGCATATACTGGATACCACCGACGATGGAAGCGCCCAACTTGGATCTGAACGGATTCCAAACACGGTACTCAACCTTCTCCGGCTTGGCGCCTTCGACAGTCGGGAGGGCATCGGACTCGACGCTAATGCGCTTCTCGCCGTAGACGGATTCACCAGGGACCATGTTCTTGGTGACCATGGAGTCGTCCTTGGCAGAGGCGATGTAGACACGTTCGAATCGCTCGTGGGGCTTGATCACGACAGCGGCCGCTCCTCCCTTCTTACCGCCGCCCTTCTTGCCTCCCTTTCCCTTTCCTTTGCCTCCCTTGCCGCCCTTGGCGCCGCCCTTTCCTTTGCCGCCCTTCTTGCCATCACCCTTGCTGACACCCTTCGGGCCGCCCTTACCTTTTCCGCCTTTACCCATTTTGAAATAAGTTGTGATTTGGGGGTTAGTGAAATTTAAATCAAATTCTTTCAAGTACTTAATAGAATCCTTTTGTTTAAAAAACGTTGTTTAGCTTTGTTTTTCTCCTGAGATATTTTTTATCTTCAGAGATACCACCTTCCTGCGAAAGTTCAGTTGAGTGCAAGAGATTTTTGCCGGAGACCTATCGTGATAGCGGTAAACCTCTGAGACATTTTTGTCACTATATTAATAGTAAGATCTTTGTTGAGAACAGTTGTGAATCGTTCAAGGAATGATGAAACTGAAGTCTTCTTTTTTTTATTAGATCTTTGGTATTCTTCGATACACTGACTGTGAACGTGATGAAGATCTTTGAGCATTAAATCCTGAGATAATTTGAATTGCCGGAAGAGTTGAGATTATATTTTTTGTTGATCTCGAAGAACGCGCACGTCGTGATTGTGAGGATCATTTTTCTTCATCAGGTCATGAAACCGTAACCGATTTTGAAAACACTCAGCGCCATCATGAGCTGAGTTCGAAGTCGCTCGACGACACGTAGTTTCATATCCATCTTTGCGCGTGGTTTAGGTAGATCATTGTTGATATGCAATACCGTCGATATGCGAAAATCCATGAAACTCCCATCTACTCTATCATGATGTAAGTGATTGAGGCATTCATTTTTGCGCGTTTTTCAGGGGGTTTCCTCGCTAGACCGATTACCAATAATTATGCCATGCATTCAAGTGCTTGAAATTGTCATCCTTTAGTGTTCATCCAACACCTGAAGCAACATTTTTGCTGCCTTGACCATCTTTCCTGCTTTCTCTGCTTTTTCTACGATTGGCTTCAAGAGGACGCATCTCTTCTTCATATCGGCTGATTTTGTCGTCTTGTATGCCTCTGCGATGAGATATGGGGCGCGGGAGGTTACCTGTAGTGAAGGTTTGACAGTGGTGAAAATCAAAAAGTGGACGGGATCTGCAGCTTGATGAATGATGTTATTGCAGCTAAAACAGGTCTTCTTCTTAGATAGCGGTTGCCGCGTTTTTATCAAAAAAAATGAATTCGTCCGTAAGTAAGTACAGCACGCACACCACTAAGTACTGCTTCTGAAGTTCAGTGTGATCAAATAATCTGGTAGACCTTAGACAATAATAAAAAGAATTTCATTTCTTGAAAAACTAAAACAGTGTGATCAAATAACAAGAAATATTACCAGTCTCTCCAGTCTTTCTTCATCCGCCACCACAAATTCCCACAGCTTTTGCGCAAAATGCTCATTGTTCTTCGCCAAAACCAACATGGCGGTATGGCCTGCACCAGTGTTTGACAGCAACTTTTCTGCTGTCTCTGCATCCGCGAACAGTTGTCTAGCGATTGTCGTCTTCAGCATTTCTGTACTGGATTCGTGCAAGTAAAAATGGACCACGAAGCTCGGCAATAGCTGAACTTTCATCACTGCCGCAACGTCGGACGTTGGTGCGCCAAAAAGAGAGGCAGTGTTTGCGGATGAGAAAAAACTCTTCTCGAGGATTGGTGCAAGGTACTTGCGTAGCTCCTCCCGTCGTCGTGCAGCATCCTTAACAGAGGCTGGCGCCTTGAGACGGAAGCACGTGTCGAGTTCAAACGGAGAGAAGTGTCGAGAAGTTGGCTCCTCCAGACAACTCAGAAGCACCTTGCGCACATAGAGAGACGACTGCAACAAGGATTCCAAAGAGTCTTCTGCTGTTGATCCTGCTGTCGCAACGATCTCTGCTAAGACTTGTTTCTGCGACAACACTGTGTCATCCACAGTCTGCAACAATCGGCAAACAACCAGATAACAGACGTTGTTCTGAGCCATGTCCTTGAAGCGACCCTTGAACTCCTTGACCAAGGTCTTCTTCTGTTTGGCAGAGCAATAACCAAGGATGCGGATCAAGGCTGCTGCGCCATCCTTGGTCTGCATCAAGTGCGGTGCCGCCTCGATCATCATGCGTTGCTCAACGAAATGCTTCATGGTCAAACCACTGGTTTTGCTTGTTGAAGAATCGGCTGCAGCACCTCCATCTTCAGTTTTCTTCTCCTCTGCGGAGGTTGCTTCTCCTTCGAAGTCCATCAACAACTGCGTGTACAGAGCCAAGAAACCATGGACGATCGGCTGGTCAAACAGTTCCTTGTCGATACAGCGATCGATCAAGTCTGACAAATGCGGCAACAGATGTTTTCCCACGACTTCCTCTTTCTTACCAGACTCGGTCAGCTTCTTGCTGCTCAAAATTAGAGGTTACGGGATTACATTCTCCAGAACATCCCTGGCCTCTTTTCTACTAGGAAAAGAGTCAGGGATGGTAGTGAGGAATGCAATTCGGAAACCCTTAACAAAAAGACTGAGATCTTCTGCGCTGAGTCATAGCCAGGACAGAGGAGAGAAACTTGACGCGGGACTTGCACCTTGTTCAAAAGCTGGTTTCTCAACCCTGCTTTGAGGAACTCGCAGTTGAGAAGTTGAGAGAAACAACGGCATCCGAACTTGTGGAAAAAAAGCTTCGTGAGCTTGTTCTCGGACAACTGCAGGAGAGGTTTCAGGATCTTTTCGACGATCGCATTTTGTCGTTCCTTCTCGGATTTGGACAGTGCTTGAGGCTTTTTGAGTTTCTTCTCGTCAACAGCTGCTCCTTCAGTAGAGGCTTCAGCATCAGCCAAGTCATCGCCCAGTTTCGGACAGTAGCGCAGAATCTTCTCCACCAAAGCTCCACCAGCTGCCGTGCCAACGAGCAAATCCGGGATGCTCAGATTCATTATATCTAGAACGTCCGCACGTTGCGCGGCCGTTCCGTGTTTGAGACAGGCCTGGAGACTGCGAGAGCCGTCTGGAGAACTCCCTAGCTGCAATGGCGTCATGGCTTTTTCGACAGCAGAAGTCTTCGCCTTGACCATCTTGATCATAGAGTCGATGATGCGCTTCTTTTCACGGCGTTCATGAGGCTTGCAGACTTGGAGTTTGTTGTATTCGACGCAGAGTTCATGGAGAAAACCATGCTTCACCTTTTTTGGAGCTTTGTCACCTTGTTCGCCTTGGTCACCTCCAGCAGAAGCGGTTTCAGAAGTCTTTTCCTTTTTGTCTTCATCAGCTGCTGCCTTTTTCACGAAAGGAGGCTTCTCCTCTTGCTTCTTCGGGCGTTTTGTCTCCGGTGCATCGGGCGCGCCCTTGCTGGCTGCACGCTTCTTCTTCATTGCCTCTACCATCTTGTAGTTTGTTCTTCAACTTCAATTCTCTTCGTGTCTAATTATAAAACAAAGAATCTGATAATTTTTACAAGTTTGCTTCTAGGTGGACTCCAAAATCTGAAAAGAAATGAAGGATTTCTTGCATGTCATCATTCAAACAGATGAACGAAAAGGTATAGTTATAGAGCTATTTGATACATCAGCAACTCCATGATCACAGCTTTATTTTTGACCTCCAAGCAGTTTGATCCACCAGAGTTGATCCTGTTCTTGATCCTACTAGGTCAAGATACCAAGTAGATCTTGTTTGACCTTTGACGGTGATCACGCTCATGACGTCTATCGATCATGACATCTGTCCAGCATTTAGAATGAACGAATTGGAAATGGAATGCCAACACCCTATGTTTTTGCATGATCATGTGTTTCAAATTCATAGATGATCAAAGATCTCGATCGTTATCGTTTGCAATGGTGAAGTGGAATCTTTTTCCGAGGAAGAGAAATGGTCAATAGAATAGTCATTGTTTTTGAAAGATCACGCCAGGGACAGTGCGACTACTGTGGTAGCAGGATCATGTAGGAAGGGACAGTACGACTACTGTGGTAGCAAGATCATGTAGGAAGGGACAGTACGACTACTGTGGTAGCAGGATCATGTAGGATTTAGATTTCTTCAACATGGCTACAGAGAAGCGCCAGAACGCGTCATGCCTGATCATTTCTTTGGCCTCCCAGTGTGTGAGAAAAAATGCCAACAAGTGTAATATACAGCCGAGTGAGTATCAGAACCGTCGAGCGCTATCTTCACGGTGCGTCCACAATATCTACACACAAGTATCACTGTTAGTTTCATATGCGCGACTATGGTTAAGACTATGGAAAATGCATACGGATGTACAAGTAGCACAGGAAGGTCGTTGACCAACAAAAAGAGTTGTTTCATGTATCATCTTGAGATCTAGATAAGCACGATTAGAACAAGTACAAATTTTCTGACTTGTTCTTGCGCAATTATGAGAACTAACGCCAGCGCCAACGCGTCCCACAGCACTACACTTCATCCAGCTTGAACGCTCTTCCCGAGAACGGCTGCAAGGCATCACCGACTGGCCTTCCCACGGTCGGATCAACTGGGGACTGCGGTCCCCGGGAGACGACGGGAGTTGCGCCGGCTAAGAGAGGGTTCTCTAGATCTTGGTTCTGCTGCTCTTGTCGGACTGTGAAGGATATAATATGCGGGAGAAGAGACCGAGACGAGGTACAAATAGTACTTTCTTATACGGAAACCTACACGCACAAGGATGATATTCAGTAGATGTAGACGTAGTAGATTTCAGTTTCGTGTGGAAATCAGAATCTGTAGAGGCAAAGATGGAAGTACGTATAATCTGCAGCACGTCCCTCAACAGCATCGCCGATGCATTCCCCGTCACAAGCATCGTTATTGTGTCGCACAACACCAGAATGATGTAGGCAATGAACAGGACTTGCTGCTTAGGTGCTTCCTGGGGGTCTAGGATTTCGATCTTTAGAAGGGAAACGAACGCAATCATCTGCACCAGTGCGTTCAAGAAGGCTAGCAGGACTACGGACACCAGGGTGGAGATAGATGCGCGACGGAAGAGGGAGGTGGACCTGTACGTAGAGAGGGGTGGAGATAGATGCGCGACGGAAGAGGGAGGTGGACCTGTACGTAGTCGAGAGGATTCATGTCATAAGATAAAGATAGGTGGAAGATGCTTTGTTCTCTCCTACTCCTTCTACCTCGCAGCTCCTGCATCAATCTAAGTGAGATCAGGCGGGAAAGTATGAAGAGAACCCTTAGGATCAAATTCAGGTTACCAAATACCAGAACCATACAAAGTATCAATCATCGTGAAAAGTTGTATCAAATATATAACAGGTAGTTCGAGTTCGTTGAACTACATTATAGTTCAACTTCAAGAAAGAAGTACAGCAATATAGCAATCCCTATGTTCGTGACGCCGTTCCACCAATCCGGAAAGATTCCCAAATGTATGCAACCCAGAAATAGCAGGACTTCGCAGCATATTCTGAGTCGAATTGAGTAGTGGCTTTGCCGCAACGTTCTATCTGGTGCAAACACTTGCAGCTGCTCGCCTTCATTCGCTGCAGCCTGAAAAGCTTGAGGCAGCCAGGTACCTAGTGCGGCGGGTTCGCCCTGTAGTTCATTCGGTCCTCCACCACCTGGGCGGTTGTCGCCACTACTAGTATTTGCTGGTCCACCAGCACTGCTACTCGCTGCTTGTGCTCCTCCACCAGCACTGGTTGAGGACGAAGAAGTGCCAGTATTTGTAGCAGCTGCTCCTCCTCTGCCTGCGCCACCGCTACTCGGTGAGGCAGCTGCTCCAGGTGTACTTCTGCTAGCTCCTCCAGCGGCTGCACCAGGTGTTGTCGCGTTATTTTCTGCCCCACTGCTGGATGGAGGTGGTCGATTCGAAGACGAAGACCCACCTTGCTCCGTTGAGCCCGCGTTGAAGATGCCAGGATATGAAAAGGGGCACGAGACAGGGGGTAGAAAGACCACGGTGAGTGCTATGAAATAGAGATCGAGGTGTCGATTATTTTCAGGGCAAGCACCTCCTATCCTAAGGGGTTCTTCTGTCATAAACATGATCAACGTGGCACGATCACTCTCCGAAATACTGTAACGAAATCTTTTTCCTCATAAAAGATTGCTGAAGAACCCAGGCTGCTGTCCTTGACTGGAACTCGAGTTGTCTGTTGATGCAGCTGCAGCCAGCAGAGGAGTACGAAGGGGTCCTGTGCCTCCTGACCTTGATGGATCCCCTGGAGCTGAGGATGACATTTTCGCTTTGTCTATCCCGATGAAAAAGTCTTAGACTTTGTGGGAGTAACAAGAACTAACAAGGACCAATGATGGGCGAGTACAGCGTGTAGTGAATTGTTCTTTAGAACTTCTGGCAAGGAATGAATTTGAATGATACGGAAGAACAAGAAGATGTTCAGCTAGTAGCGCGAACAGTACTAGAAGACGCAAGACACATTTTTATGCAATGAGGACCGAAGAGACGCACCACAATCAACTACTTCTTGCGAGGTACAACTCACGGGTGGAAAAAAAAAAATCACATTGCATTCGACATCGTCCTGCCCGTCAAGCCATACTGGATGATTTCTCTGTCAGTGAGGCTCTCATGTACTAATCTTCCTCTACTTCTCTGATTGTCGTGTGCTGTCTTCCGTTCTACTTCAACTACTTGCTTGTCCGCAAATCTCTTTGCTTTCATTTCCTTGCTAAGGCAATAGGCATGGGCAGAAGAAAGACCGATCACCGTACTGTTCTTACTACTACCTACTAGTACTACAACATGACGGAGGACCTCGACGGAATCGGATACCACAACATGGACACCGTGGTACCATTTTCAATAGCTGTAAACTGCAGCAGCTTCTACGTACAGTCATTATAATTTATTTTCTGGTGGCTTTTCCAACTAAGTACAATATCACGAAGGTTTTCTGCTCTTTATCATCAGTCGCGTCCCGCCTTTGCTGTTCGCATGATTTTGATCCTACGACTCAAGCTTAGCCTTCATCTTCCCCTAATAATACACAGTTTTTCTTGGAAATCAGGATGCAAGAACGACACCAAGCGACACTGTCGGTATCTTCTATGTAAGTATCAATTTCAATGTATGTCAATTATGATTATCAATAGTTTTGGTACTACTACTTCTAGAATATCGACCAATAAATAAACACTAGTACATGTACAGAGCAGTGATGCCGGTTGAAACTGTAATTAGAAAAATATAATGCTGTTGCTCCTTGTTCTTGTACTTACTGCTTGGTGGAGATCGTTTTTCTCCATATTCTACCCACTCGAATTCCTTACTGCTCTTTTCTGATGTAGTAATGGTTCAAGATTTAGTATGATTAGGTGACGGCCGGAAAGGAAATCAATGATCATTCATCAATCTTAGATCTATTTCCTGCATATTACAAATACAATTGTCATTCATTCTTAGATCTACTTCCTGCATATTCCAAATACAATTATGTTGGATGCTTCTATGGATATTGAGTATGCCCATGTTGTATGACAATGGAGATCTTCGACAACTTCATCTATGCTTGTGCTGTAATGCTACGTACTGTCTACTATGGATGTTGAAATGCGACTCAATTACTACAACTAGTAAGGACATTTTTTTCAATTTCATGGTCATGTACATATTTGTCTTGTTATTTTTTCGAAGTATGCTTATGCTAATACTGCTCCTGATGTAATATATTTTCATCATCTCTGCGACTATGCTCTTGGAACCTCAACAAGAACCTGGTTTCGTTCTCGAGAATATAAGGTTAGCCTTCCGCGTCTTCATCGGAGTTTTCCGCGATGCGGGCTGCAGCGGCGTCGCCACGCAATGTGTTAGAAGAAGGATCATGTAGCTTGTTCATCTACACTTCGTTCTCGAGAAGAAAAAGATGCTGTCCAAAATCTTGTCTATTCCTGCATCATCCACCACCAAAGAGGCGTATTTTTTGTGAAATCTGTTCCTTCTCCTCGTCAACTCAGCAGGAGCTGATTTATTCAACAAAAGTCGTCATAATAGCCAACACCTGAACTAAGTTCGGATCCAGCCAGTTGTTTTCGCGAATGAGGGCTTGCTCAACCGCCACCGACCGCATTGCTCTGTGCGAGGCCAGTGATCCAGGAGTTGGGGCGCCAGGGAGATAGGTCGACTTCACCAATTGTCGGGTTCCATTGTCTATCTGGATTTGGTCTTGTCCGCTCAACCCACGCACCCCAGCAGCTTGGGTTATGCGCAGCAGTTGAGTTCGTGCAGTGCTGCTGCTGAAGTCGCTTCCTGGTTTAGACTTAGACAAGCTCAAAACAAGAAGTCACTAAATCATTTCTAAAACTTCTACAGGGGAAGAGGTCAACATTTTTAAATCATTTCTACTTCCTTCTTCAGTTCATTTCCGACCTGAATTTCCCATCATGTGGGAAACTACAGTCAGAGGAGAATCAATGTTGTATGTTGATCCTGCTTCCCCTTCTTGGAAGATGGAAACTACAACAGAGGAAAATAGTCTTCCTTGGATGAAATGACTTACTTTAAGGAGCCTTAACTGGTGCAGGCAAACCGTGGTCACCCGATCCATGACTGCCGCCACTGGCTCTCGGGTCATTTTCTTCAACGTCGTGCTCTGATATTTGCGAAGGCATCAATCGACTTGCAACGCGGTGTCGGAGTAGGCCTTAGAGCTGCCTAGTAGAGGAAGTCATGGAATATATCGACGTTGGTGTTTTTCCTCTTGTATTTGTCTTGTTCATGTGGTACCGTCTGGTAGCTCACAAGTCCTCACAGTCACGACCGGGTTCACAGATGAACAGGATTATCAGTAGCACCACAGTTTGATCTTATCATGTTAACATCAAATGATCATTTTTGACTGAAATTGAAGTTCTAGTACTGGTAAGTAAATGCTGGTGCAGCACACCGCGCCCGGCATGCCACAAAAGCCGCAGCTGGCGGGGACTGCGGCGGCCGGACATACCATAGTCGACCGCAATGACGACCATAGCACTACACACACAGAGCACAAAGAAATCCGGCGGGATCGTACGCGTCGCCCGGAGCGCATCAAAACAAACAAACAAGTAAATGTTATCAAAAATATCATTAAAGTATAAAAATATGAATTCCACGTGGTGGTCCATAAAATTCCGGGTGTGCTTGGTATAAAAACACCTGGCCAACCTGGAGATCCTCCGGGGGCATTGCCAGAAGCTCGGCGAATCGCTCGCGTCCGGGATCGCGGACCCGGGTGTGGTGGACCTTGAACAGCTGCTTCATCAAGATGTCCTCATATCGACCCCAAGAACCGTCGAATTTTCTGGCTAGAATCCAGTCCGGATACTCAAAATCCACGATTAGATCCGAGTAAGCGCAGAAAAGACCCCACAGAAACTGCGACAGAACCCCAAACGTGATCAACAGCAGGAAGACTTGGAGACTTGGCTTCTCCGCGTAGTTGAAGTAGTCGCTCAAACTGTGCGGCGTGTACCAATAGCCAGCATTAGAGTAGAGTAATCTATACTATAGATAATAAGATAGAATAGAATCATTTATAGGGCGGGTGCCAGATCCGGGATGGGATCTATCGGATGGATCGGATGGACTTTCCACCATTGCAAGTAGGATCGGAAGAATCAGGGGGGTCCTCCTACATCCGTTTCCAAGTCCATCCTACATCCGTTCTATAAACTACTCTATTAGAAGTAGAGGTCAACATCCTGATCCATTTCCATCTTGAGCAGCAGCATCGATCCGTGTAGTTCGTGGTGGGATCTTCTATTTAATATAAATATTTCCCTTTGAGTGACTAGTACTGCTACACAGACACCAAACGAACATTTGAGGTGAGGCTACTAGTAGGGGCCAGGAATCACGCTAAGTGTATGGCTCTGGTATTTTGTAACCTGAGTTTGATCCTAAGGGTTCTCTTCTTGTTTTCCCTTATGATCAAATTCAGGTTATCAAATACCGGAGCCATTCACTAAAAGTGTTGGTCATGGTCGTAAATCCTTGAAACTTCCCAAAGATCCACCAAGATCAGAAGGATGAAGATCAGCAAAATGACCAAGATCGCCAGGCGAACAAGGTACCCACCGGCACCACTTTCAACGCGTTGGCCTTAGTTGGCGCGGGTGTCGGCGGTTTCTCCTTTCTCTCTCTCGTTTGTCGTTTCAAGTCTCTCAACACAGTCAAGGACAAAGCAGCACAGGGATCATTTCGCCTAGTGGTCAAGTGTCTCAGTTCAGTTTCTCCGGATCTGAATGACGCAGGGTTCGAATCCGACTGATGTCAGAACTCGACACGCCCGCCACTGGGAGGGCTGAGGAACGGCATCCATGCCGCGAAGCCGCCGGGCAAGGCCTGGATACGAGGTAAGACACGGCGACCCAGAGGAAGGGCCCGGCCCGTCCTGTGCTCGCCCCGGAGAAATGACCAACCAGAGATCATTTGTCTCAGGCTGTTAGTGCGTTCTGTTAGTATCAAACTCCAGCGCTTCCCAGTGAGAAACTAGACGCGGCTTAACAGTCTGTGTTCGAATGTTCCAACAAAAAGTAAAGCCAAAACCTTTGAAAAAATTATAATTATTTAAGTAGAAGTAAACGTCTCCAAGATCCATGTGCTTCTCACTCTGTCTGAGTAGGATGAGCTTGCTCATGTACTTATAGGATTAGGATTAGGATTCAGCCCGCCGCCCACAGTTTTACCTGCATACTCGAGCGGATTAACGCAGCTGTATCAAAATTGAGTACCTTTAACAATGTTTTACCTGCATACTCGAGCGGATTAACGCAGCTGTATCAAAATTGAGTAGTGAACCCTTAACAACAGCAATGAAACCCGCTTCCCATGAAGCCAGTTTGACGATCGCAACCTCAGCTCGTAGGCCACGGTAGAACCTCGTACTTCCGATCTCCACTGACTTGAATTTCAACATCATGGAAGCAACCGACCAAAAATAACCAACGAGAGCCAAGCAACGCATTACGATCAAAAAAGACCACATTCGCTCGCCGGGTTAGGATTAGACGAGCAGCGATGGGGAGATATGAAAGATAAAGATATAGATACTGTTATCAGAATCTTGCAGTCAAAAAACATCGACCAACTTGCCTTAAAAAAACGGTGCACACTGCATGAACGTTGCGAATCCACCTGATTTCCAATTTGCTCCTTCGCAGATAGCATTTGGATCGTAGAACGCAAAGTCAGTCTTTTGAAGACTTTTTAACAGATTGCGGAAAGCAGTCGGGTCAGCGGGAAGCTCTCCAGGGGGAATTGGGGCACCTGGGGTTATTTGGTGCGACGGTGAACAATTGAGTTGTACAACTTGGTTAGATTGTTTTCCTGATTCAACAGTATGTAATATCTGTGTACCACTCAGCACATTTAAGTAATTAAACCATGATGAACATAAAAAGTTGTATCAGTATTTGTAGCAAGACCAATACCACTAACGGAAAGTCTCTCAATCTGCACGAGTTCAAATTTGCGTCGGACGATGAACTCATGAGCGTCATAACCGCCAATGGCGGATCGAGTCCAAATATCGAAGATGAGACAGACAGCGCTCACAATGCCACAAGTGCCAGCAACTACAGCAGACCAACCATGCCACGAAGATTAGACCTCTAACGGGTGAGGATGGTGTAAGACGGTGTGGGGAGAAGTTTGAGTAGTTGATGGTCTTAATCGTTCTTAAATCATGAAGTAGATTTTTGCGTAGTCGCGCTCCTCTTGGTACCCCTAGTAAGTTGGCGCGGAAGTTTCTATCAACAAGTCTGGTGAAGACTGCGTCATCTACTTCCAAGTAGCAGTAGATATGATTATGATAGCAGTTACCACGACCATAAAAAATATCAGTTACGACCATTGATTATGAGATACACAGTTCAAGAAATGCAACACGACCATAAATATCAGACGGAATCCAGCTCACGTTTCTGTTTTCCAGCAGGACACGGACTTCAGCGTGAGTCACGTCTTTGGGTAGGTCGTTAACCCAATAGTCTTTTCGCTTTGCTCGGGGAATGAAAACGCTGAATTAGACGTGGTAGAGCTTCTACTGGGTGTATTCTTTCTACTTCGTTCTAAAAAGAGAAGAATCAACATGCGGAGTAGAAACATCAAAACAAGAAGTAGTCTTCTTGTTCTAGGAACTACAACGAAAATACGTAGGAGAGAAAATGCTCGATGCGGGCTGGCGACTAGTAGAGCCTTAACAGAAGAGCAACCCAGCGACCAAGCAGAAAACGCGAATGACGTCCAGAATGTACCGAATCATGATAGCCCAAGGATCGAAAGCGGACATTCTCTCCGCCTTCGTTGATGAAGGGGGAGAAGGTGCCTGAGCAGCTCCACCACCTGGTGCTCCAGCTGCACTTTGTTGGACTGCAGCTCCTGCAGCTGCTGCTTGTCTTCCTGCTTGTAGAAAATCATTAGAGCAGTGAGGTTAATTATATGATCGACAGTTACTGATTCTAAAATGAATGGTTCCGATATTTGGTAAAAACAAGGGTTCTCTTCTTGTTTTCCATTTCCCTTATGATCAAAATCAGGTTACCAAGAAATACTGGAAGCATAGATAAAAATATGGAGCTGCACATACACATTCTCGACAACCATCTCTATAGATTTCTAATCAAAAGCAAGTCAATTTGTTTTTGTAGTTCATGTGTAAGTGTATGGTTCTGGTATTTGGTAACCTGAATTTGATCCTAAGGGTTCTCTTCTTGTTTTCCCTTATGATCAAATTCAGGTTACCAAATACCGGAACCATTCATCATGGCTCCTGTACTCTGACTGTATAATAACATCCATGCACATTCTCGAGGACAACCATCTCTATCAATTTCCTCCATAACAGACGATCCAGCCATCTTTTCCATGTTCCACTCTCCGGAAAACTCGTCTTCTCCAAGTTTCCGTTCTAGAAACGGCGACGCCGCTTCAACTTCGTCCCCCATAGCGCTGACTTCCACCTCAAGCAACGCTTGTCGAGGACCACGACCTTCAGACAACTCCTCTTGTAAAAACGCAGATGCTGCTCTAGCACCAGTAGCTGCAGCTTTCGGGGCGGCGCCGCGAGGACCACTCCCACCGTTGGGTAGGACCGTTCGCCGGACAATCGGAATGGCGACGTCTTGCATTAGAAGACCAAGGTGGAAAAGGGTGTGAAGAGTAGATTTCAGAATGTAGTCTTGTTATTGTCCTGCTTTAACATTTTTTTAATGTTCTTTCCGAGGAATCGGCCGATACATCAACAAAGCTGGTTTCAGAATCAGACAGCATCTTCAGTTCTAGAACAGGAACTTTCCGTCTAGTTCTCGTATAAGTATCTACAACTTCTTCAGGGACCATGTTGTTACTAATTCAATCAATTATCAGCAGATTGTGATCCATCAAAACGTGTACAACTTCTCAATTATCTACTGAACGATGTGATCATAGATAAAGGAGCTTACATACTCCTACATAGTCCTTGACAAGAAAAATAGCAAAGACACAATCTATGTATGATTTGAGAATTAATCCACATCAGCATCACAATCTAGAAAATCCGTAACTGCAATTCCCTCTGCAAAAAATGCATATCCATGAATCTCACTTGCATGAAGATCAAGCACGCCACCAGCCACGTCCCTTTGAAGATGTGGCTCGGAGTCTCATCCACGTCATTAGCGATCTCTTCCCAATTCATCTCTGTGGCGATCCCTCAAGCGTATAATGCCTTGGTAAAAATTTCCTTGTTGTATTCGGGTGCAGCATACAGGCCTCTTTATTTTTAAGCAATCGTTGTAGTCCCCTTGTAGACCATATGGGATCCATAGTTGTACGGTTCGTAGTTACCACGCTTGAGTCATGTCATGCTACCTCGTTTTACGTCATTCTAACGCAGTTCTTGAGGGATCCCCAACATTTTGTTATATAGCAAATAGAGATCCATTAGCGGAAAGAGCGGAAGCCTTAACATCAGACATCATCTCGGACATATGCATTTCTCCGAAACGAAGGATATTCCTAATGCAATCCGCTTTCTCCTTACGAGTAGGAGTGACGGAGGACACTGTTGGTATATTCAGTTTGAGTATGAGTTCTTTGCTTGAGTAATACGTCTTAGTATCTATGAGTTCTTTGCTTGTTGAGCAATACGTGTAGATTTGCTTGAGTAATACGTGTAGAAGTTGCTTAGTTAAAAAGTTTGAGTTTGCTTCATAAAGCCATGCGTGTAAGTAGGAATCGTGATGGAAAGTATTACGATCTTCCTCATCCTCTGGCACCGGCTCACCTGCAGCCTGACGCTCTTTGGCCTTCCTCTGGCGTTCTCGTAACTGAAAAAACCCAAACGACCGCATCAAAACGCGACACTTCATGCACCCGCGCCAACTCAAAATCGATCCCTGCATCCCATACAGCAGCAATGCGATTCCGCAGAGGAGTGTAAGTGAGTTACCGAACTCCGCCAGATCGTCTCGGTTAGAGATGGTTGCAGTGCTTGCGCTCAATTGTGGATGGGCAGCTGCGGCATCTGGTGCTCCTCCTCCGGCTGCGGAGTGACCGAAACCCACGTGCACCATGTTTTTTGCAGCTCTTTGATATTGTTTTGCAAACCTCCAGGCGGAATTAGTTGTATCCGTTCTTTCTTGTTGTTGTGGAAGCTGATGTTCATACGACAAGAATGTTGACAAGCTGTTCTCCTCCTGGTCCTCGATGAATATCGTACTATAATTTCCTCGTGATCTTCTGAGGAAACCTGGCATGAAGAAGTGCTTAACGCATGACGCGACAGGAACGCCTATCGCGCCATCGGCATGTGATTTCTCCTATTTATATTAAGAAGATTTCTCCTCGTATTATAACTTCTTGTTTTTCCAAGAAGAGTAAGTAATCACAGTTGGAGCTGGATGTTTTAAGAGTGTACTTTCTCTGGTCAAACTCAAAATGCGACTGAATCAAAAGAACCAACAGGGATCATTATTAATAAGGTAGTTGGTGCTTTCCAGATAAAATGCTAGCAGCATAATGACTGAGAGTTAAAATGTTGCGCTCCATGTCATGTCATTCTACGTTTTTCGGACCACTGCTGGGTAAGAGTTGGACGTGGTGGGAATTTGGAACAATGAGGAGGGGCATCTTGCTGGTCTTTGTCTTTGTTCTTAGTCTTTCTAATTGCTGCATTAACAACTAACATGATAGACGAGGACCGTATTACCGAAGATCCATATAGACGACGAGAACGATAATACTACAGGACAGACCGATGATGTTGGTTCTCGTTCTCATCAACCGATAAAAGCTTTGCCATCAAAGCTGAAGCAGTACAAGCATCCTGTAGAAGGTCGATCACATAGTTTTTTCAGAGATCTAGAAGTCCTAGACCGAAGTTTTTGACAGGGATGTAGTCCTAGACCGAAGTTTTTGAGCAGTGCGTTCAACGTGAACACGATGTGGCGGTTCTGACTCCATGAGTTCCGAAAGCGGAAGACGTAGTACTTGGATTTCCACGATCAAAGCGATACGAGTTACAAATCATCTTCGATGACGAAGTTGAAGTAGTAGAAGAACTTTTTCCTAGAAGAGTTTTTTCCTGCTGAGGAAACCTACAAACGTCATCAAATGATTCGGTCGTGTAGTATTAGAACAGTTCTAAGTTTCGTCTTCATTAAGAACAACATCATCAAATAGAAGTACAACTATGTTATCGAACGATCAGATTGAAAAAATCTTCTACAAGTAGATTTTCAAACAGAAATTCACCAAGTCGCTATACTTCCCCCTCGTCTCGCTTTATTGGACTGATGACGTCTTTACCTTCAATTGTCAAATACAACAGTATCCATAAAATGATGTGATTTGTGATTTTTTTATGCGAGCATGTTGGTGCCAAGAAGTTTTCATCTGATGAAACGGTTTCTGAGAACCTGGAACTGGATCTTCACGAGATAAGAGCCATCCTTTCTTCAGCTTGCAGCTGAGGAGAGCTTCACACAGGGTTAGGCACATCATATCAGGGTACCAAAAAGTTCTCGTCCAGCTCTGCTATGAGTATGATGTTCTTGTATGTATTCGATTCAAAGCTCGTCGTCTTTTTGATTTGTCTTGAAAGACAATCAAGAGAAATCTTCACAAGCGGTTTCTCTTTCTCTCCTCCAACGAGGACGATGGCATTGAGTTCGGCAAGTTTCATCGTCTCTGCTCTCCGCACCAAAAATAAAGCTTGGCGGGCGTGGTCGTATTCATCAGCTGCACCACGACAGGGACAGAGTTTGAACCTACTTGGAGGACGCAGGAACTAGAAAATGCTCCCCTCGAACCGTTCGAGTCGATCAGAGGTGCTGGTGTAGAAATAATCACCAAGTTCTGCCCAAGTAACACCCGTTCTCACAGTCGTATCGTCCATCACCATTTTCTAGGACCACTATTCAGCAATACCATTACTAATCATCACAGTCGTGTCGTCCATCACCATTTTTACTATCTATCCATCACCATTACTATCCAACCACATCACCATTACTATCCAACCACATCAGCATTAAGAGCTAGTTCCTCGTCTCCCCCAGAATCCTCAAGAGGTCCAAGAACAGGTTCAAGATGTCGATGTAAATGTTCATCGACGCGAACACGTAGTCGTCGATCGAGAACTGTATCTTGTGCTTGCCTCCCATGATCAACTGCGTGTCGTAGATGATGTAGAACGAGAACAGCACTGCTCCAAGTCCCGCCTGGAGCTTCTCTGCCGCGGGTCCCGGAAAAAAGAGGAAAATCAAGGACATGAAGCACAATCCGGTGAGCGCTGCGAAGAGGTACGTCCCGTAACCGGTGAAGTCCGTGTCCGTCGTATACGCATAGAGAGTTAAGATCCCGAAGATGCCGAAGGTAAGCATGAAAACCAGGAAGACGGAATAGGTCTGGTACGCGGAACAGACGAAGCCGACTAAGAGACTCTCTGCAATGGTGAAGACGGTTAAGCAGATGTAGTTGGCTGGATACCTTGGGTTATTATTCATGGATTAAGGATGGATTAAGGAGATGTTTCTTATATATAATTTTTTCCAGATGAAGGAACGAGGAATATTTCTTGAGCAATAAAGTGCAGGAAGGATTATTCGAGCAATGAAGTGCATCTTTATGTGAACATGAAGGATCAACAAGATCATCCAGCGTTCTTCATGCATCATGTTGCGATGCCCCCGCCATAGAAGTATGGCGGCCATACGCATACCAAAGGTCGGTGGAAATAACGGATGAAGCGTGAGATAAGTGGCAGTGAAAGTCAGGAAGGAAGTAATCAATTTGAGATGAGTCACAGAGAACCTGTTCTTTGCCTATAACCACTACAGAGTCCGTCGGTGGAAATAAAATAAAAATCACTAGTATTCATCTAAGTACTTGAGTATCCACACAATAGTACCGTCTAAACAGATCAGGGTTACAGCTTCCCGCACACACTATTCCTAATGCCGCAAAGCTGGACAAAAATATCAGCCAAGACCCGTTGCTGACAATCCATTTCTGACTAACCTCGTGCGTCGCAAATGGCGCGGCTATTATCGCCGTCGCAAGGAGTTGGCACGTAAGTAATCCGTAGACTTTTCGAATGAAGCCACGACGAACTACGCGCTCGCCCTCTAGGTCTTCGCCTAGCCATTGGTAGCCGCCCAGCGGCTCAACTGAATCATTCGCGAACATTGTGTTGTTGATGTATAGGGGATTTTTTTCCGATTCGAATTTTTGTCTCGTAGATCAGGATCGAAGATTTATCAAGGTAGTAGGAGTCTTAGACTTCAACAGAAGTAGAAGCTGTTCTGTCAAATTTGTTTCTGTACTTGATGAACTTGAAGATGAACTATAACGTCGAACTAGTAGTATCTAGGCACGATAATATGTTGAATGCCGTTTGTAATTGTATTTCTCAATATTAATTATGTCGTCAAACTAGTACTAACACGTATTTGGTTCGTTTCAACACACCACCAGATATCCTTTGTTACAAGAGACACAAACTGGACACAAAAGTTGATATTGCTGTTGTTCTAATATCTAGTGTTGAAGAATTTAATGTCCAAAAGAGAACCACAAATACCCACGACACGAGAAGTTATCTTAGTCACCCAGCGGCCGCGGGTGGTCACACCACTGTAGTACTGGGAGCTAAATAATACTGTGTGTTCGTGGAACGATGAAGTGGTAATCGTAATCGAAATTTCTTCTTCTTGTCATCAATGTAAGAGTAAGTAATGGTTCAGGAGCTGGGTTTCAGCCTTTTCCTTTTGAGTATCTCCGATCGTAGCCATAAAGTGGCATGACTGAAAACACCCTGTAATATTGTCGCAAGAAGGAAGAGGAATGGAGTCAGTCTTTCACAGCTTTGTGAAAAAATCAACAACGTCGATATTTTCGGTTAAGTAACACTCAAACTCATCATCATTTTGTCAGCATTTTCGCTATTATGAGGACACAGATCATGAAGAAAAGCCAGAATCAGACAATTAAGTCAGCTCCTTCTCGACAGATTATGATATAACTTCTTCTAAAAGCAAGTAGACACGACCGTCTTTTCAAACAAAAGCCAGAAGATTCTTGATGAACACCCTGCAGAAATTTCTTGACATCGAGTCTCTTCGCTCGTCGTTTTTTCTGTCTCATCTTTCTTTGCTCATGCGTATGCGTTTCTTCTACATTTCGTCGATATAATCACAGTAGACACTCGAAAGAGAAAAAAACAGTTCACACGTTAAATGCTTTCTACTTAGTTCGGCTACAAGAAGAACAAAGCTCTCGTTGTCTGCTACAACCAATCTACGAGAACTGCTTCAACTCCCGAGCATGTAATGGCTTTACTTCTCATCCACCACCAGTCCTACATTCAATGCGCTCAAATTCGAGACATCCTGCTCAACCACCCTTCTAGAGCAGGACCTCGAAGTATCTACCACCTTTGCACCACCAGACCTGTCTCGACGTCCGACACTCCTATCCCTGTCCAATACAGCCCTCAACTCAGGGTCAAACGCGGTACGAAAGGCAGGTGGTGGTTTGATGTTACTTGCTGCAAGACCGGACGGCGACCTAGTAGAGGAGCGATCATTGCCCGAACAAGTAGCACCAGCACCAGGAGTCAGTGTTGGCGAATGTTGTAAGGATTTTGAGGATGATGTTCCTCTTGTGGTTGTGGGGAGCATCTTCAAATTAATGGATGGAGATGAAGTGTGTAGTTGAGCAGTCTGTGGGGACGCTGGTGTCAGAGCTCCCCCCGATGAATTTTGATTCGCACCTCCACCTGGCGATGGCGCTGGATGCGCAAACACGGGAACTGGAGGTTTTATGCGCGCTCTTCTCGTAGACGTAGATGCTGGCGTCGTCGACGTTGTTGCTCCCCTAGAATTAGAGGTAGGTTTTTGGTGCTCGCTTACCCCGCTTGTTATGCCTTTCTCATCCTAAGGGAGAGAGGCATAAAAAGCGGTAAGAAAAGCACCTTTATAACCTACCCTTAATAGAAGAGGCAGCTGTTGTTGTGGCTGCTCTAGTGGTTCTTGCACTACCCGGATAAGAGACTACTGAAGCTGCTCTGGAAGCGGACGAGGTTGTAGCAATTGTTGGGTTCCTCGTAGTTCTGCTGGTACAACTAACAGGCCTTTCATCGCGTTCGAGGATGAGAGATGTAGAGGCTGCAGGAGGATCATCATGTCCAGCAGCTTCTGTCCTCGTATTATTTTTTGCAGGTATAATTTTCGAACTACTAGAACTAGAACCTCCAGCAAAAGATCCACCTACCACAGTATGCAACACACCACTTGTGGTTCTCGTAAGTGCTGACGGTGGAGGATTGCTTGGGGTCCGTCCAGCTGAACAAGACGAATCATCCGCTTCTATCCACGCCGTGACAGCAGAATCATGATCTTGCTCCTCATCTTCATATCCTCGTCCACAACTAGCAGAGGTACTACAACACGAACTACTTCCAGATGCACCGCCAGAGACGTAGCCCGGCTTCATCCACAAGTCATGATTATGTTGAACATGATTACCATTCTTTGATGAAGCAGCAGGTCTTTGTTGAAATTGAGGAGGCCTCGGAATTTTTGATGAAGATGTCTCAATTTTTTTTTGAAATTGAGAAGGTGCGGAAGATGTTGACGAACCGCCTAGGTCGTGTCCGAAGGCTGGCCAGGCTGTTTGTCTGTGTTGTGCAGCTTCTGTGCTAGATGAAGGAGCAGGAGCAGGTCCTTCTATTGTCGATTTGGAAGTAGAGGGTGTGCGATCTCCTGGGTCGTGAGCTGTTGTATTGAAGGTAGAAGTTCCTCGCCTCGACATTGCGGCCGGTGGCACGGAAGTACTACTACGAGGACGCTTCATGAATGAGAAACTTCCTCTTGGAGTTGTTGCAGTAGTAGTTCTCTCCGTAGAAGATGAATATCTACTTTGCTGTCGTTCACCAGCATTTGAAGATGCTCTAATATCACCATTTGCTTTCGTGTTCAACCTCAGCGCCTCAAACGCTGCCTTCTTCGTCCGATCTAAGCTGCGACGGCTCAAGGTGTCTCCTAGCAGGTCCAATGTCACGGAACGCAATCCATTGATTTCCTGTGCGAAGCCTTTCCTTGCTCGACTTGACGCAGCTAGATGTCGCCATCCTCGGAGGATATTCAGCGCTGTCAGCTTCGCTGTCGTTTGCTTTGATGATGAAAGGAAATTCTCGGAGATACTGTCGACGAGCTGTATTGTATGATGTTCTGTTCTTCTTCTCGCATCTAGTGAGTGCTCCTCGCGCTGCAATGCTAGTAGCGCTGCGCCGTCTTGCTCCACATCAGCTGTTGTGGTGCCTCCTGCACTACTTCCTCCACTAGAGGAACTACCCGCTGTAGTTGCGAAAAAAATCTCCTGCATGTTTTTCCGGAGCGGAGAGATATTTACCCTCGTTGGTGCTGTGATCGAAAGCAAAGAGGATGCTGCGGGTGCGGGTCTACTCTTGCGTTTCTGCTGTTCGAAACCAGGGCCAGCACCGTCGGGCAACGATGAAACCGACGATCTTCTTCTTCTTGATGGTGAGGCTAGCATCAGCAGAGATTCTCTGTCTCTCTCATCTGTTAGAACCAAGAGAGATCCATCTTGAGACGCATCCGAGGACCTTTCTGCCCTTGAAAACGGTCTCGTCAGGATGCTTCTGAAAATGGGAGATTTCTTCTTCTAGCCTTAACTCATCTGGTACAACAGCAGAAGATTTGATGATGTTCCGACCTCCTCCTGTTCTTGACAGCATTGCCTCCGTCTTCCACGCATTAAACACCAGTCGCGCATTCGCATAGTGCATGTCGTCATGCAAGAGTTTGAGGAAGGGTCGTCGCGCTACCTTTTTGGCAAAGAGAAAGGCGTCTACTAATCTTCGGTCCTCAGCGTCCGCACGGCGCGTTCTCACACTCTCCTGGACGAAATCAGCCCAACTTCGGAAAGCGACTGCGCACAGTTGCCGTCCCTGGAAAGCTTCCCGTACGGTGATGTACCTTTTGCACAAACGTCGGTCCCGGTGACGAAAATGCTCCAGGAGAGTTGAAGAAGATGAGGACGCGGGTGCTGCAGCTGACTGAAGCTGATGAAGTACATCACTCGTACCTACAACTACTTCAGAAGCAATTCCTAATCTACTGGACACCTCTCGACTCTTCGACGCTTCTACTGCCACCTCCCTCCACGCCCTGCACAAATCACGTGACCACTGTGCTACTTGCTTCTTCTCTAGAATTTCCGCAATGCTTTCATGTTGGCGACTTCGGGACACCACTTCAGTCCATGCCGAGAAGGCGACACTAATCGTTGATGTGCTGCTGCTCGCGCTCCGACCAATCTTCATAGGAAGATCGGATAATAGTACCTTAGCCCATCGGAGAGCACCTGTCCACGCACGAAATGCTAAGCGCGTCCGCATTTTGCTAGATTGACTCCTATCGACAGAGGCTTGGAGACCACGCAAACGCTGTACGTAGACAAGGTCGGCGACTCTGGTGGTAGATTCCGGCTGCGAATGGTTTTAGAGCATGATGAGCATGTATTCGGCACTAAATAAACTAGAACTAAAAACCGCGTAGATATCGACGTCCAATACAAGAATGAATGCTCCCTTGCTAGTTCAATCATTTGCTAAATGCCTATGCTTCCTACTTGATGATGTTAGTCGGTTCGGAATTGTCCTACGACTTCCCTGAATCTCTTCTGAGTTTTACGGATTTCCCTGATGTTGAAACTGTTGTGTTGAAAAAGTTGACTATGTGGATGCGGCGCTTCTACTTGCTCGCTATTTGCTTCCAATGCTACTATTTCGCCAGTTGTGTCCTGTTGTTGAAGGTGATGATGATGAAGCTGAAGCTGTTGCCGTTGGTGCTGGCGCTGACATTCTAGTTCTAGTGCTAGTTGAGGTGGATCCTGTGGAAGAAGGATTTGAGAAGAAGAAGTGCTGCGCTGAAGATGTCGATGGTGGAGGAGGGGGGGGGTCGTTTGCCTTTCCTTCAGCTATGATCTTCCATCGCTCTCTTTCTAGGCAGTCATCCATTGTGGCAAATCTAGCCACTAGTTCCTTGGATACCCTATCCCTCCACGCTTCCCTATGCTTCCTACTTATATAGACTGTATGTAAGGTTATATGTAGCAAGCCACTCTCATATCTTATCATGCTGCGCCACCCATCTAAGCAGAGCCCCAGCAGCGTGTCTCTCTGGTCCGCTTGCTCGACGTAGGTTCGCCAAAATTTGGCTAGTTTCCCTGCTCCGCACAGTCGCCTTCTCTTTCCCTGAGCCACAGCCGTCGACCAAGAAGTGAAAATAAAGAACCTTCTTTGCCCATCTTCATACTTCATGCTTCTCTCCAAAACGAAATCACGCGCTCGTTCTGCCTTCTTCGCTATGTCGGTAGCGTGCTCCTTTCCTCTAGCCATTGCCGCACACAAGGAGGTCTGTGCTTGGTTTCGCCAATTCGAGAAACACAAACTCATCGTTCTCTCCTCCAACTCTGCTTCTCGAACTCGAGTTCGCATTACCAATTCCGAGTAAGCCTCTAATTTCGCATTTGCTATTCCCAAATCCATCCTCGTAGCGTCCAATTGGTAATGCGCCATGTCGTTGAACCGTTCCTGTTCGACTATGGTGCTATTTATCGATTTCTCGCGCACCAATCCTTCCAACCGTTCGAAAAACAGCTCTGCAGTGCTAGTGGCACTCTTCGCTGAAGCCTCTTCTAATTGCTTGTCTAGTACGCGCAGCGTTGTCTTACTGTGTCGGACGTGCTTGCGCCAGCCTCGAATGGCGGAACGCAGGACTGTGTGGTTAGTCTTCTGCAGAGAGTTCAAGTATCTTTGCAAAGCTACTACTTGCTTCCAACCTCCAAACGAGTGCCGCTTAGCCCTCAAGACGCGACGACGCCAGAGCGACACAAATGCTTTCTCTCGACAGCATTCGATTGCCACTTCGCGCTCACAGGTAGCGCGACCGCGCAGAGCCAGCTTGCACCATCCGAAGACCATAGATTTCAGCGTCATGAAATCTCGCACATTGACGAACGTAGCTGCTGATTTTCTTGCCTGTTGACGCAGTAAGCGCTTGCAATTTTGCAGTTCAGCACCACTGGTGTCCTCGTGTCTCCGGAGGTCTAAGCGAAAACCCTCTCTCGCTCGCTCCGCATCTGCCAGATACTTCGCTGTTTTCCAAGTGCTAAACGTGCGCATTCGCAGAGAATCGTAGTAAAAGGCCAAAACCAAAGCGCTATTGGCTACGAGTAAGGGTCTGGAGAGACAAACCAACGCTGATGTACTAGAAGAAGAGTCGTTTATTCTACTTGGCAAGCCTTCGAGATCCAATAAAGAAGCACCTTCTTCATCTAATAAAGATGAAGCACCACCGGCGCTCATTCTTCTACTTGATGTTCTCCTAGTATTTCTCCTGTCAAAAAGATGAACATTCTGCATTTGTTGTAGCTGATGTCCACCTGAAGTAGACCTCCGACGCCTTGTCCCAACTCTTGTTCCTCCTGGCGTGGAACATGCACTACCACATCCGGCGATACTCGCATCTAAGGAAGTCCGCAATAATGACAAGGCAGCAGCAGATGTAGCCCTAGGTCTTGTTGCTGCATGTTGTGCTGAGGAAGAAGCTGGATTTAGATGATCAAGTTCAACATCATCATACACCAATGGAGGTCCTGCTCCTCGTCCACTAGTTGTACCTCCAGCTGCGATCGTCCTCGTCCCCGTCTCCGCCTTCTCCTGCATCAACTGCAAGCAATACTGTACTGCTGATCGTGCAAGAGAGCCGTTGCTGAGGCACTTCGAGGCATACGTCTTCCAGTGTAGGAACGTGCAGCGCATTGTCAGACGGTTGCGCCATGATGCCATCCGTCGATTTCGTCTTGCGTCTATGAAACGTTGTTCTTGATAGCAGGATGAGGAGGATGATCTCCTTGTTGGTCCTCCTACTGGTCTTGATGATGAAGAAGAGCCTAGTATAGCTAGAGATCCCGTGGTCCTAATATGATTCATCGATGATGTTGCTGATGATGAAGCAGATGCCCCTAGGGCAGTATGCTGATGTTGAGTTGTTCCTCTTCCTGCAAGAAGTGATGCGTCCACCGCATCTGCAACAGCTTGTTGTTGCGACGTAGATACTAAAGTTGCGATAGAAGCACCACCAGTGGAAAGGCGAGCGCGACCTTGAGTTTGCTTTTCTTCGTCTTCAGGCTGCTCTTGCACTTGCTGCGAATGGAGGCGAGTGGGAGTTAGAAGTTGAAGAAAACTATAAACAAATAGTTTGAGTCTATGGCTCCGCCGTGTAATAATTGTTACACCCCGGCATCACGGACACGGTATCGATGGACCAACTACAAAGAAATTCGAATTCGCCTGATTATATTGAGTATGATTCTAAGAACCATAACAAAAGTTCCTGCGTCTGTCTCAGGTACTCCTCCTCTTGTTCCCTATTGACGGCCTCTAATGTCTGGATAATTTCCTGCAGCCTTGACGTAGCTGGGTCCACCGTCTCCCGTTGATATTTTTCCACCTCTCGAGCTACCTCGAATTCAAACCTTCGTGGACGAAAGTTTTTTCTTCTTCTCCTTCTCGTGGTTGGCATTTTTTCGGTTGTTGTAATGAAATAAATGGAGAGATGCTAGTACATTATGCAGAACGAAGATACACGACCGCCACATACAGACACACGAGAGGACGCATAGCTTCTTGGTGATCGACTCAACATAGAGGGAATAAAGGAAAAGCAAGACAAGTACTGTCTATCCATTTCTCGTATTCTGGTTTCCGCTTTGTGTAACCGGACGACGAGCTGTTCGCGGTCTTGGTTCGCGGTCTTGGTGCTGGTATCTTCATGTGCAGGAGTAGCACCACGACGACCTGTATAGCTATAGTTCGTCGAAGAAGACGATATGACTACGGAATCTTTGCTTGACAAAGAAGGTTTCGATTTACTTTTTCCAGGGATATGATTGTTCGACTCTTGAATATTGAAATCCTCCTGTCGCGGTCCTCCACCTTCGAGTAGTACACCAGCAGCATTCTCGTCCTCGAATACAGAAAGTACACCACTCATTGTTCGCACTAAATCATCTTGATCTTGATGTTGATCTACTTGTACTTCACGTTCACCAGTCGTGTGTACTTGTGCGTGCAGCTGAAGTTCTTCCGCTACCGCTGAAGTCGTGAGCCGTGAACTGAGACCTCGAGGCGCTGCAAGGAGGACGTTGTCTTGGTCAAGAAGGTTGAGATTAGAACAGGTAAAGTAGAGTTGTAAGGCTAAAACAAGCTACCAAAGTGACAAATGGAATGGTCATACTAAAAATAGGAGAAAAACAAGAAGTCAAGATCGAAGTCCAAATGAGAGTCCTCTGCTTGTTCTGAGTTAAGATTAGTACCCGGAAAATGAAAAATGCGACTAGGACAATCCAGGGTTGAGCAAAAGTATGAAGAAGATATTAGCCAAATTAAGATAGTTAGCCAAATCAAGATACTTAGCCAAAAACAAAAATAGTTAAGTATTAACATTAAGATAGCCAAAAACAATAGCCATATCAGTATGATCCTCTCTGAAATTTCCGTTTGTTCCCAGTGGCGGCGGAGTACTGAGCGGAAAAGAAGGAAAAAGATCCAACTGAAGAAACTCCTCTCCTGATGGCCGAGCTGCCGGTAGTGGATGTAGTCCGGAAGATGAATGACGATGAGGAGCATGTTCAGCTTGTGGTCCTCCTTCTGCTGGAGGAGCATGTTCATGCTCCTGTACAGGAGCTCCTGCATGTTGTTGTACGGCAATACCTCCAACTATAATAGGACGAGACTCAGAAGATGGACGAGGCACAGGTGCAGCTAGTACAGGAACCATTTTTATCACGGATGACGACGTCGATTCTGCATCTCCTGTTGACGGAAGATAATGCGATCCGAAGGATGGTGGGAAACCCACCGGTGGGACAAGCGGGACGACCATTAATTTTATTTCTTGTTTAGACGTGGACCAGATGAAGAACTAGATGAACTAGAGGGAAATAACGATAAGTAGCCTGGGCCTGGTCAACATCGTGTAACCCGCAAACAAGGGTTTTTATTAGGGCTTCCTATTGTACATTGTAGTTCTCACACATTTTCAAATTCAATTTTCACCTCATGCTGATATTGCTTCACCAACATTTTCTTCATCTTGGTTGTTCTGTATAATAATCTTTTCGGTTTTTTTACAACTTGTACTTGTACTGGCCTCCACGGACCTCTTCTTCATGGAGTTCAACAGATAAAAATAAACTTGACAGACTTCAACATCATCTCTTTAACATCGGCAACTACATCTGCTGCTCAAGACAGGTTGAGCTGGTCTCTAATTTTTGTACAACTGATGGTCGTCCAAATCCACCGACTTCATTGGATCTCTCATCAATCCATTTGTTCCAAAATATCAGTGCAAGAAGTAGTTTCTACAAAGTAGAAGACAACGGACTACTTACAAGCGAAACAATTTCTTCACGAGGTGCGAAGCGCGGGCTTGTTTCCGTCGTGCTTGTGGTTTCGTTGTCTTCGATCGAAAATAACCGACGATAAAAGCATCGAGCCGAAGATGAAGAACAAAACGACGAGCAAGGTGTGGAACCACGAAGTCTTCGAAGACTTCATCGACTAGGCATCGATCAGCATGCGTCTCAAATGCTCATCTTCTACCATTCTTGGCGAGACGAGATACAAATTTCTAAACTACAGTGTCTGAGAAGCCTACAATAGAGTTTTCATCATCGAGTTTTCAATCATGCAATGCATCACATCTCAACCTACCAGGCCTCAATCTACATCTACGTGATGTTTGATGAACCGTCGCGGCTCATTTTCATCCTTCTCCTTGTTCTCAGTAGATCTAAAAAATCTATCATTCATCTGAAAATGAAAAGATGATCAGGTTCATGATGTTAGTTTGATAGAGAACAATTAAAATCAATTATTTTGAGCTCCTCTACCACGGCCATGCAACTCAACATTTTACTTCCACACAATCCTTCTAGAATGTCATGCCATGTCTTTTTGCCTCGGGTCCTGAACTGTCTGTCAGGGAAGGCCTTTCAACAACATTGCACTTTCTCTCGAAGAAGAGCAAGTATCAGTATGTCGAATCATCAATTATCTCTTCTCACTTAATGCCCGCCATTCAAATTCATAAAGATTTAAGGTTAGATCTTACCCTGGTGTACAGCCTGATTTCATAAAGGTATTACCTTGTGCGTGTGCAGCTGGCTTAGTCATAGTGGTACCAGTCTTGGTCTTCTCTAGTCTTCTTTATGTTCCGCCGGGCTTCGCCTACAGCACGAACAGAACAAGCGCCAACCTACAGATGCCACTTGTTTATCAAGATGAGGAGTCTCGCCAGTAAGCACTTGTCCTTTCATCCCGATTTCTACATGATCCTCGTCGTGCTTGTCCAGGGATGGCTCAGTGGTAATGGGCTCCGCTTTAAAAACAAAGCCAACAACCATCAAATTTTCCGGCTTCAATCCCTTGGGTTTTTCATCAGTCCCGTCAATGACAACTGGCACACGCCCATTTGCGCGGGAAATGTCACTCTTGTCTTCTGCACGAACTATACCTAGTTTGCCATTCAGTTCCACTTTTTTAAGGTCTGCAAGCTTGACAACTGCATCGCCGCGGTGATCCTGATTGGTAGGGTAGACAGGCATACCCAACAAGTTGTCCAGTTTGAGCAATATCTTATTTTCGTCTTGCTTTTTAATTTTCGCAGATGGTGGCTCAGGTTCTTCTTGATGAGGTCCTAACTTCATTCTCGTCAGATTAAGTGCGAGATCGTCATCATCTTCCTCCGCAGCTTGAAAAATATGGTATCTTCCAGATTTATCGCCCAGCACACCTGCGGCCTCAAATTCGACGTGATATTTTTGCACTTCTTGTTTCATTTCCTCCTCGGCTCGAAAGACCTGTACAGGCACTCGCAGGAGTCCCTTTGCATCGACTTTCGGCTCGTCAGATAAAACACGACCAATGAGTCCATTCAATTCGGGCTTTTTCTCAAGACCTCGAATCTCAACGAGAGCGCCAGAACGGAAAGACACTGGCGCCACGGGTCGTTGTCTTTGGCGAACAAAAGCGAACCATTCTGGTATACTTACGTCTTTTAGCTGCGAGCCGACAAAATTCTGTGAAGGCACCTTAAGCTTTTCGACGACAATTTTTCGGAGACGTTTTCTTTCTTCATCTTCATGCCTCACCCCATGCTCCGACGAGGCTCCTACTTTCAAGAGCAGATCAAATTCCTCGGGCGTCAAAAAGGTATTGGAACTCGGCTCTGTGATTAGAGTCGCACTGTAGAGCCCGGACTGAAACACCCTTAGCCGAAAGCCGCCTGCTCGTCCTCCCTGAAGATCATGGGCATGCGCATCAGTTTCGGTGTCGGGCAGAAGAGGCTCACTGACGAGCACAAACCAATGATGGTAGCCGCGTCTTGCACTCAAATTAGCGCGTGGGACTTTTCTTCTTCATCTAGCTACTGCTCGGCGGTCTTTTCTCTTTCAATCAATATCATCTCGGAAAAAATCAAAACCACATCATAAGACCGCCACCTCTTGATCATCTTAATGATGTTGTTGTTGATACTTGATAACGTATATCCCTATAATATATAATAAATCCAGAAATTAGACTGCGCAAATTAATAGTGAGAGAAACAACCATGACCAAGAAACAAGAAAAATATGTTCGTCTGAAAGGATCACGAGATTCGAAAGGACCACTACCACCACGAGATGAAAAAAGGTTGATGTTGTTCATAACTTCTAGAGTCCATGCTAGCTCCATGTGCAACATTACTTCAGCGCTCCCTAGTACTTTTCTCAACATACTGCTGGTTGTACTTTCGATTGCAGCTTCATCTTGCTTGACATCGACCACGCCGCGATCAATCGGGCTGGGAAGGCTGTACATCATGCTATAATTAGAAGGTCCAATATGATCTACTTCCGAAGATACTTACAACTACATCCTAGAGCGAGGAGCGCTTTTCCTAATCATGAAAAGGCTCGTCCCGTCCAGCATGCATGCTCTGGTCAAGAACAGTATCATGCCTCATCTGAAGCATTTTAGTACTAGAGTGGGAGAGACCTAAATGAGAGGGGAAACTCTGACTTATTTGGATTGCATCTTCCCCTTGAAAATCAAGCCAGCCCAGGAAGATGCATCTCATCAGGATCTTCATCTTCAAGATGGATTCACGAGAATACAAGGGAAAAGGGCACCAGGATGCCGAGAAACAAGATGGACACTTCTAGAAGCTGATCATGTTGAACTTCTATCTAACTAAACGCTAACTTCATCTACATACATCGTCTGGGCCTTAATGCTATACGCAATCGTTTTGAAGCCTGGTGGAGTTGGAGTTCGTCCTTTTTCCATCGTGACTCCTGCATTTAGTGTTGACATCACCAGTGCGTGCGAGAGAATATCACAGGGAATACTGCCGACAGTGATGTGCTGTACGGGTATCCACCAATCTTGTAGGTATTTCCTTGCCACATCAACATGGTTACCATGTTTTGTAGCTCGTCCAATGACTTCGCTGTTTTCCTCTACTGGCCACTCGAGAAGAGGGCCGACGTTGTTGCCTTCTGGATCCCTAAAATAATTACTCAGCCAGAAAGGCAAAACGGTCATCATATGATCTACTTCTTCTCGTTCAAAAAGAGCCTGTTGTTGTTGTTCAAGAAGATGAGCCTCCTGCTCCGTCAGAGTGCTCCTCCTCTTGATTTCTTCCACAGCACTAGACATGTCGGTCCAAAAGTGCTCGTACAACCCTTCCACTCCAGGAAACGCAAAGGGCTTAAAGCTTTCGCTTTCTAGCTCCGCCTTTCCGTGGCGAAATAAAACCGAGAAAAATAAGCGTCCTAGCCACATCATCTTCTGCTTCTGGTGTCCTATCTCCCTAACCGTATTTGGTTCCCAGTCGTCGCGGTCCATGTCCTTGACCACAGCGATGATAGATTCTCTCAAAGCGAGGGATCCAAAGCTCAAGAAGCGCTGACGAGCCTCCTTAAGCAAATGCAATTTCCACCAAGCATCATGTTGTAGTTGTTCCTCGACTACTTGATCATGATTCTTCATCACAGATGGTGGCTGTTGTTGAGCAGCACGAACAGCAGCAGACTGCTCCTCCAGTACTGCTCGTAGCAAACCATTATGTGACCAGTCTTTCAGAGAAAAAAGCATTCTAAAATTTGGCTCAGCCAGCGTTGCATACGTCTCAAACGGAGCCTTACGCTTCGATGCAGCGGTAATTTCACGGAATGCGTCGCTCAGGCGTGCGCTCAAAGTAGACTCCTGTTTGTCAACATCTTTTCGCCCCGACGCGGAAGAGGAGGCTGACGAGAACTTTCCTTCAGCAGATGACGGGTGAGGAACCTCCGCAAAATGACCACCTCCACCAGCACGCAAAGTGACAGCCCAAACGCAACTTATATGCGCGAAGGTACTTGATGCACGAAACATGTCTTGTGTTTTTTTACTTGAAGATCATGTAGAATAATTTCTGATACCTTAAGAACCGAAACGTACGTTTATGTAGTACGAAAAAAGTTGTACTAGTAGTCGAGAAGATGGAGGAGAAGTAGATCTTTATAAGGTGGAGGTTTTGAAAACTATGAGTTATGGTTGAAAATTAGATGGTATCTGTTCGATTCCATGGGCGACGTCGGTGTCAGCGCATGTGATGAAGGTGTCAAAACATATGAGCGTGAAGGTGTCAAAACATGTGATGGTATTCGGTGTCAAGGCATTTGATGGCATTCGGTGTCAAAACGTGTGAAGGTGCGCGATTGTTCTCCTGTAGTTAGCTCTTTTTACAACTAGGTCTGTAGTTGTAGTAGTTATTTTTAGTATTCATCTACAGCTTCTTCTAGATTCAGTACCCAAAAAGTTGGTTTGCGAAAGCCTGAAGGTTGTTGAAGCCAAGAAGTCGATTAGATCTTCGATTGTCTAAATTTCTTTTGGACCTGATCTCTTTTATAAGTACTCTGGATCTCTTTTAGAAGTACTAAGATCGATACTACCTCTGTACATACTACCTCTAAGAGCCTCCTGGATCATCTTACGGACTTGCGTCTCACTTTTCTTTGGCAGCTGTTCATGGTTCGATTTCTTATAGTTACAGTCGTGTTTGAAACGAGGACAAAGACAATGGTTAGGTTAGGTGGGGGCCCGCCAGAAAAACTAGCAAGCTTCATTGGCTACTGAAGAGCCAAATGATGCCTAGTACAACAATAGTCTTTACACTCTAGTAGTTCGTAGGACTAGTAGGACCCTGTCTTGTCCCAAGAGAAAATCGATTGATGTTCGACTACTTGTTCCATCACGTAGAGATGAATTAGGTTGCTTCTACAACTGCGTAATGTTGCGGATACTGTGCTGACATTTCTAGGTACATTCCTTCCTACTTGTTTGAGAACTAAGTAACTAAACTAGGTATTTCTTGGGATAGAACGTACTTAGAAACTAATGATCTCTCCTAGCTTTTACTCGAACTAATTCAAACTTTCTTAGTTGGCAAAAAAAGATGTTGAAACGCCGGTCATTATATTGATGGCGGGAAAATTTACTATCTGAAAGAAGAGGAGAGTTTTTAGTATGGCTATGGTGTCAACGGTCGTTTTCCCTGTAATTGTATCTTGGATACTGGTGTCACTACAGTGTGGCTCTATCTGTCTGGCATCGATGCGGTATTGCATTTTATGGTGCTCTTGAACTTCCACCTCCCATCCATTCTTGTTACTTTCACCCTGATGCTTTACTTTGCAAAGCATGAACGAAATCATAATCGAAACATCCTTAGATAGAAGCTTGCTACTGATATTCATGTTTCATGAAAAAGCAAAATATGTTACGTCGATGTACTCATGAGCGAATTTTTAGTGTGAGACCATGAATGCTGTTGATCATGATCATGATGTCGATGTATATTCATTATTCTTTATCACTGAGTGCTGTTTAACTTCCCCTGCTACTGATTGCAGAAGACTGTTATGAGAAGTAGTAAGTAACTGTTATGAGAAGTAGTACCAGTACGTGCTTTACTGTATAATATGATAGACATCGACACGTTATCATGACGAAAGATACAGCCAGTAAAAATATTATGGAAAATGATGCTCTTGATGTTATGAGCACAAAAGTGTAGGTCTTCATATTTGAAGTTCAATATCAAAGCAAAAACGAGAACGATTATTTCTGAAATCTTTACAAGATCCCACCACCACCTCTCAGTGAGACAATATCGCTTTTCCTCTTCTGCTCCAGACTTGCTTCCAGGCGTTGCTTGTTTCGCGTTACATCCGTTAGCAGAGATCAAAACAATTCATTTCTTTAGCAGGTCATTGCTCCATGCTAAAGTCATTCGATGTCAAACTATGAGCAGCCTTGAGCATCAGGTTGATGAACCGATAGTACCGAGGGAGGCCAAAGACTCAATAATATTTCTCGGAGAAATAAAAGGAACTATTCGCAGAGCCTATGCCTTCAGCCTGAAAGAGTGTATGTAAAGAGAGCTTCAACACCTCTACTAGAAACCCCTGATCTTGATCGTAGATGAATTTAATTCAGAAGGGATGCTCAAGGTCAACTCTCTCTCTCACCCTCGTATGCTCCAGGTCAAGCGAAAGACAAATGAACTATAGTTCGGGCCTTAAATCCGGGTCCTCTGCTCCGGATAAGTAGGGGAAAAATTTGCCAAACTTCTTCGCTGGAGCTGGGGAGTTTGGAGGCAACAGCATCGCAGCTCCTGAAGACTTGCCGTAGCCGACAGAAGCGGACGCACTCGCGCTCCCCGGTGAAAAACCTCCCTCGTCGTGTCTAGGTTTGCGCCAGGGTGAGCCCTGCTGTACCAATTTCCACCAAGTGTTGGAGGAAAGGAAGGTCGTCGTCGGATCATGGCTTGATGTGGTTGTGCCATTGCCGTTGGAAGGAGTAGTGGTTGAAGATGTCGCTGTGGTATTGTTCCACGCGGAATAATTATCTCCCATTTCGTCTAAATTCTTAGCATCTGCTGTACTAGACGAGCTACCAGCAGTGGCTCTGTTCTGATCACCAGTCGTACTACTGCCTCCAGATGTGTTGAAAGGTTCTTTCAATTTGTTTACCGCTTTCACTTTGTTCACTGCTTTCTTGAGAGCTGCGAGACCTAGTTTTCCTCCACCTTTCGGTGATGAGGGCGCACCCGGAGATTTTGGTGAAGCTACTCTTAGAGGTAGGTTTTCGGTGTTCGTTCTTTATCCCGTTTGTTATGGCTGTCCCCCTTAGGAGAGCCCTAACAAACGGTAACAAAAGCACCTCTAACCTACCCTTAATACTGTATTTGTTGAAGCTACTGTTGCGAGGATCTCTACAGTTGTAGAGGCATCGATTTTCGGTGGATGCCTTGATGTTGTACTAGTTCTTGTTGAAGCATCTAATTCCTTCAATACAGAAGATGCTTCTGCTCCTGATGTAGATGAAGTTGATGGAATGATGTTTTTTACTACATCTACATGATGATTATGTTGTACTGACTTCTTTGTAGGTTCTTCTACTTCTTCTATTTTCTCGCCCAAGTCGTTCCTCCGAATTTCCAACTGCACTGAGGACACTACAGCCGCGATCAGATCGTTGTGGAGCTCCCCGATTCGTTGCGTTTTGGCTTCCAATTCGATCAAAAGTTTCTTTTCTTGCGCTGCCCAGTAGGTTGGGTCTGAAATCCGTACTAATTCTTGACGAAGCACAGCAGTAGGAGTCCGTTTTTCCACGTGCCCCTTAATGGCAGCGACAATGCTCTCGGATTTCTTGGTGAGTAAGTCGGTTTTCTTGACGTTGTTTGAGCTAGAGGACAACACTGTTCTTTTAGAAGGATTCACATTGTTGATCATGTCTTGATTGAGATTGTTGTTTTGCTTGCTTGACTTCGCTTCTCCTGCTTCCTCGCGTTGTAATTCGAGTTCTGCTGCCTTGACGACGGATGCAGCCACAGCTTCACGACGCTCGATGTAATGCTGTGTAATTTGCCGTAAGATCTTAGCAACGTCAGGCGTCGTCGCAGCCTCCTCATCCTCTTGAAGATCTTGTTCGTCTCCCATTGCCCATAGGTGCACATCAACATCATGGTTGTTCTTGTAGTGGTCATCATGTTCGAGCTTCTCAGCGATTCCTGTACTAGTAGTTGTACCAGAAGTTGTAGAAGAGTTCTTGTTGCTGGCCAGTTGTCCTCTTTTGATGCAGTTTTTAGTATGGCTGTGATGATCTGCTCGAGAATTCACATTCCTCGAAGGAAAGTGATGAACCTCTGTCTCCCTGTTCCTACGGAACCGAGCTTCCATAGCAGGCAGTCGCGCAGAGGAGCCAAACAATCGTGCCTGTGTTAAAGCTCACGGCTCACCCGTACTATCCATCTTGAGACGCGTCGTCCTGGGCGCATTTTCACCTTGAAAAGTCTCTGCAGCCAGGATGCTTCAAAAGATGGATATGGGTACTAAGCCTTAACAACTGTGGTTCGTCTGGCAAGAAGCAGTGTTCTCCATGTAAACCATTGTGGCTGAGAATATCTGGTGGTCCAACTCCATGATCAGGCTGGTTTGAAGATGCTCTAACTACTGCGGGAGCTGTCGCACAACGATACCCAGGATGTTGTTCTACAGGTAGTTGTACACCTAGTGGAGGTTGTGCATCAGCCTCAGCTTGAGTACTACTGCGGTGTCGTTTAATATTTATTCGCTGCCCTGGTGGTGCTGTTCTCCTCGCCACACAACTACCTCCAGCTGCACGACCACTGGTGCTGTTATTTCCATTTCGTCCACGACCCATAGAAGTACCAGGACGTAGTTGTTGATGCTGCTGTTCTCGTTCACTGGCGAATAGTGGTCCTCCCATAGTCATCTTCGAAGTCCAAGATGTACTCGCTAGCATTTGATTTCTGTACTTCTCCCTCTGAGGTATCAGGGCAATGCCAGCGGCTGATTGACGAGCCCGACGCTTGCGCTTCTGCATGTGCGCCTTGACCTTGTCGCTTCTGACTGCTATTTGTGCCAACTGTAACGCCATCAACGAACTGCTTTCCTCCAGTTTGCGGCAGAATTCTGTGTCGCTTTTCTTGGGCGCAGAAAACAAAGTGATGCTGCTTGCTGGGAACATGTTAGAAGAGAAGAAGAGGCAGACATCAAGAAGGGAGTTCATGTATTTACATATTTTTGCGTCTACAAGAACTACATGTACATTTGTTTTATAGGACATCATTCACAAGCATCTTCATCGATACATCCGCATCCATAATAGGTTCCCTCTTCGGCTTCTTCATGTTCACTCTAGTACCGGCACTAAAACGACCCATCGACGAAGAACCAGAACCTGTTCCATCGTTCCTCGGATTTCGTTTAATGAGTTGCATAATCTCAGTAGGCGCAGAGCAACTACGACGACTAGAACTTCCGGTGCGACGTAGGAAGCGAGCATGCAATTCCGGGTATCGTTGCTGTATAAACATTTCCCAAGCACCTGAGACTCGATTTGCCGCATCAGATTTGCTAGTCCGTTGAGGTGGAGCGCCTCCGAGGCGCGCCGTGGTGCCAGATCGCAACAGCTTGTTCTTACCATGATCGGGCATTGATGTCGACGTTGTGGCGTTGTCGTGATGCTCAGCCTCAGGCGTAGTGTGCGTCGGCGGATTAGTAGTACTTGTCTTCTCCAAAGCAGGAAGACGGACTTGTTTCTCGTTTGTCTTGCTTCGGTGGAGACCTGGGGGCGTTTGAGGTAATTGGATGCATAGTCGTGAGCGGAAATTACAAGACAGATGAAATGGGGATGCAAGAAGAATCGGCCAACATCTGGATAAGAAGATACGTAAAAGTGATAATTTGTGGTGATGCGTAATGATGACGAATAACTACTCGAACAAGGAGAGCAGTTATCATATTAGAGCAGTTCATAGGGGTGCCAGATCCGGGATGGGATGGATCGGATGGATCGGATGGAACGGATGGACTTTCCACCATTTCAAGTAGGATCGGAAGAATCAGGGGGGTCCATCCGATCCATTCAAGTCCATCCTACATCCGTTCTATAAACTACTCTATCATATGTATAAAACAAGACCAGGTCTTCTTGTTGCACCTAGATCATGCTGCAATGCCGCTGCAGACGGCAATTCCCCTCCCTCTCGCGCTTCACGCTCCTGCAGAGCGCACGAAAGCTTCGCCCAGGCGTCTTGCTCATCTGCGCCACCATTTGCGTCTTCATCTTGTTCCATATCACTACCGTCCTCGTCATCTTCATCGTAGTCCCCCTCATCTTCACCGGATTCTTCAGCTACGTCATCTTGAAAACCTCTTCTCTTGTTCCCTTTCTTCTTTCCACCTTTATTACCACCTTTATTACCACCTATCTCTAGGCCAAGATCAAGAATAGTCCTCTTTCCGGCTCCAGGAGGAGGCCCTTCGCTCGAGACGTCGCTGGCCTCCTCGCCCTCAGCGAGGACTGGGTGCAAGAACATAGAGCCGCCTCCACGAAAAAACTTTGTCGGTCCAAGAAAACTATCCCGACGAAAATAGCCACAACCGTACCCTGGTCCACTGCTTTGCTTCTTCTGCATGCTGGAGGTGAGCCTAGGGTCGTTAGAAGATCATGTCAGTAGTCATGATGAGTGAAGAAGGTCATCAAGTGTACTAGTGTTGATAGCATGTGTGTGAAGAATGGTCATGAGTGTAGAAGGTCATCAAGTTATTTTCAGTGTTGATAGCATGTGTGTGAAGAATGGTCATGAGTGTAGAAGGTCATCAAGTTATTTTTAGTGTTGATAGCATTTGTGTGCGTAGTCATGATGAGTGTAGAAGGCCATCAAGTTATTTAGTTGTGATAGCATTCGTTGATCCCTAACTTTCAGAAAACTGTCCATCTGCGCCATATTGTCGCTCCTCATCGAATTCGGCATGTCAGTTGCATTCTTAGCGTCTTCATAATGATCACCGATGTAGGTCAAGTTGTTATTTGAAGTCATGTCGTGATGGAGGAGGTGAATCTGACCACCACTACGATTTGCATTGGTATTCGCCACAGTCCGAGGAGTGAGAAATTCATGAGTTTCGGAGCTGACGGCATTCATTTGCAGAAACTCAGAGAAATCGAGAGGGCGGTCGTCAGCCGAGCGGGCTTCTTTGAAGCATTTGTTTCCTGTAGTTCCCGTTGCAGCATCAGCCTCCTGTTGTTCGTCTTTATTAGCGTTGAGCATAGCGGTTAAAAGGTGGCGAGTTTTGTACTGTTCCAAAGCCGGACTAGACGGACCTGATGCAGAAACGATAGGGGGACACGAAGCAGTAGATATCCCTGATGCAGAAACGATAGGGGGACACGAAGCAGTAGATATCCCTGATGCAGAAACGATAGCCGGACCACTAGACGGAACCATCCCTGATGCAGAAACGATAGGGGAACTACACGAAGCAGTTGTAGATGTGATTCCACCTCCACCTCGAGACACCATTTTGCTACCACGTCGCTTGGTCATGTTCGGAGCTGGACCGACGTGTTCGCCATTTTTTGGGTCTACGAGCGAAGCCGCTGAATCTTGGTCACCTCCTCCTGTGTTATTGAGGTTGTTAGCTGCTAGAGATCTAGCCGGACTCCGCATGGGAAATTTGCTACCGCGTCTCTTGTTTATATTTGGTTGTGGAGGTTGCTCGTCTATGAAAGTAGAGGAGGTTGTACTTGTTGTATTAGCGTCTTTCGTGTAGTTACTTCTAGTAGTACTACTGGTAGTCTGCTCAGAAGAACTAGGGAGGTTGTTCCCCAACGATCTGGCAGCGCTTCGCATCAAGGATTGACTCCCGCGACGCCTGTTTAGTGATGATGCAAGTGTATTTTGTGCTGCTGGATGTTCCTCAGTCCCACTTTTCTTTGATGCCGGTTTGTCCTGCTCTGCTAGAAGAGTCGCTGGAAGAGTCGGCTGCGCCTCTGCTCCTTCATTGCCCTGATGGTTGAGCAAGTCGGGTACTCCCGACATCAGGAGTCGGGAGGCGCGCCGATTGCCGAGAGAGACCATGTTGATTTCTTGGAATTTTTGTTTTTTAGGTTGGAATTGGAATTCGACTAACAACAACCACCATCGAGAATGACCAAAAGGCACTCTTCTTACAACTCGCACTCCGTTGCTGGTAAAGTTATCAATGCCCTGTCAAGTGAAAGCACCCTCTCCCTCGTTCTTTCGCATTTTTGACACTTTTTTGATGCCATCTTTCGTTAAAGTGCAATAGCAGTTTTATCGTCTGTCATGCAGATTCCGTGCGTCCGGCTTCCGCTCAGCCCTCAATCACCGCATGAATCGGGCACTTATAGCATACCCGCTTGGTGTTGATCTTTAAATCCGATCGAGAATCGGTATTATACATTGTCAAACATCATCTTGTCGTCTTGTGTGATGAAGAGTGGCGCTTATCATTGTCGAACTAAAAGACTAAATTTTAACGGTTGCGGTCCGCGTTGATGTCCATTTCCAGCAACTATTCAATGCTTTTTGTCAAATTTCCAACTATTAAATATCAATTTTCTCTACATTTTTTGTACCATAACCTTAACCATGTTACATTTACAACTTGTAGTTCAACAAACATTCTCAATGCAGTTCATTTTATTTCAAGTTCAAAACTTCAGAATTTTTTGGTGGCTTACAACTGATAGATTAGCTATGACAAAACCTGGTCAAACTAGTATACAACGCGATGTTTTTTGGCCATTATTTAAGTCTTAAAAAAACGTTGCGTCATGCTAATCTTCCTGTAAGTGTAAAAGAGATGAATCACGATCAGTTGATGCTTACTAGTCATTTTCGTTTCGTACTTATGCTTGATCCGTCTTATAGTATAATGATTTTTGTGGAAAGTCTGCTATAGAATTGTATTTCTTGTAAATGTTGCCTTCACTCTGGGTATGATGAAAAATTCAATGCGAGTTGTAATGTTTTTCTGCTTCTCGGTAGCTTCACTATGATGTACAGTTAATATAAGCTCTTCTATGCACTTCTAAAACGTTCTATTTCGCAGGTCTCTTCATCACGCTTCCAACAGCACCCACAGCAGACGACGACACGCTCATCATCTGTGGCATCACACTGCCTCCACCAGTTGGTTGCAACGACGACAATCCTGCACTCTGAAGAGACCGCTGTCCGCCAGCACGCGATGAACCTCTCGACAAGGGTGCGGTCGGCAGCATGCCGTTTCGGACGTGGACAGAGAGCAAATCTTCGGTACTTGGAACCGCATTCATAGGATCTTGCAGTGTCACGTGTGAGGACGCAAAGTGCTGGAAGGTATGATCTCTACTGCTTTCCAAGAAGTGGTTTGCCAGCATGTCGTCGTAGCGTTCCAAACTAATCGTGTCGCGGAGACCTTCGCCTGTTAGAGCAGATGTTCTTGGTAAGATTGATTTTTAGGTACTAGCTCAGGTTCACATCAACAACATGTAGAACTTCTAGGACTCAGCCATGTCAATAAGACTGGTCGTTCTTGCGACTTCTTAGTCTTACTTACACCATGAGTTGTACAACTTTGCCATATAATGATAATTACACGACAATGAGTACAACTTTGCCATAAGTTCAATATGTTCTCCTGCCTATCCCTTGAATGTCGACTGGAGCCGCGCAGAAAGCTCTCCGACCCATAGCGCAGCAGATTTCCATCGTATATGCCCCTAGACTCTTCTAGTCGCTCTCGCACTTCACCTTCATCCGCTGAAGACGACACATCACCGGGAGCCATCATTCCGATAAGCTCCTTGTATTCCCTGAAACCTCGCTTCATTTCCTTTTGCGTTGCCTGGTTTGGCGTGAAGATTTTCTGCCACTGTGTGCTGGGTTCGGGAGCGAGTTCGCCGGGTGTTAGAAGAAGCAGAGGTGTTGAGCAGGAAAGGTATTTCCTCACGGATAGTAGAGGAGCTACTCAAACGCCTTGATAGAAGAGAAGCATGATGAGCCGATTTTTGACGAGTTCCGCAGTGAGTTTAGATTTACTCTTACATACAACATCAACAAGAACATGATTACTTATATATACATTGCCATAAGTTATCCACCACTTGCCAATAGGCATCGCTTTCCTTGTTTCGCACAATTTTGCTCTCGTCAAAGGTTTCCTGCGATTGCGTATGCGAGTACTGGGACATCATGTGACTCGGCTTAATCACCTGTCCTGGTCTCAAAGGTTTATTTTGTGCCGGTTGTTGCTTTTGAGGACTATTTTTCATCGACGAGGCTGAAGATGGTCCTCCTGTTGATGTTGCCTGATGTGGCTGTGCATGTGTCGCACTTGTTACTCCTGCTTTAGCAATTCCAAGTGGATAGGGCTCCTCTACCGACTGCTGCACTGCAGGCATCCCAACGGGGAGCCCTAGGGAGTCAGTTGGAGCTGCTTTACTTGCTGAAGGGACGTCGGGAGGAGCGTTGGCTTGCCCTGCTGGTAATGGTTCATCACCGGCTTTGACACTGGGAAAGTTCGAGGGAGGAGAGATTTTTGAACAAGCTAAAGCGAATTTTCGTCGTATCTTTCTTCATTGAAGAAAAATCTTCAAGACAATGCACGGCTCAAAATTCATGCTGAAGATCACCATCTTCTTCATCATTTTCAAGACCACGAACACAGAGAACCAGTCCATAGTGTTGGTGGAGCATAGTACCTAACTAGAAAAAACAAAAACCTCCGAAGAATCAGTCCATAATTGTTGTAATCACGACTTTTCCTGACAGTCCGCTACCCATTTCCAAATAGTCGCTCTGTTGGTACTTCTGCTTCCGAACTGCAGCATCTTCCTCCTCTTCATATCCATTTTCCAGGTTTATCTCTACCTCTGGCAAGAAGCCATAATTTGGAGTCGTCTCTTCGATCGTGATGGCGTACAACCTCTCCGCCACTGCCCGTCGTCTATGAAATGCCGCTACGAAGAGTGGTGTACGTCCCGTGTGATCGACGATGCGCGGTAGCTTCAGTTCGCGCAGTTTTTGGAGATTGTACTGCTCAGTGCTGCTCTGCAATGCCTCTATTAGCGAAGAGAAAAGCCCAACCTTACGCCAGCAACCTCCCAGTATGGAAATGGATTCCCCTTGTGTAGAAGGGGAATGAGAAGAATGGGCTGTGTAAAGGGTTGGCTTTTTCTGTGCCTTAACTCTAGATTGGAACCTCCTCCCTGCTCGTCGAACTTGGAGGACACGGAGACGGAGACTGCCGTCGGATTCTTACTTGGACTTCCACCTTCGCCGAGACCGACTCGTCCTCCAACTGGTACAACTACCGTCGGATCACTGGTACTCGCGAAAATCTTGCTCTTGCCATCCAGATGCTTCCACTCTGTCTGCAGCAGTAGGTCCACCATGTCTAGTCTTCCTCTCATCGCCGCTAAGTGCAAAGCTGTGCACCCGAAGGAGTCCCGGATGTGCAAGTCTACTTCCATCTCCTCTTGCTCGCACACCATTCGCAGAGTCTCCAGGTCCCCAGCTTGCACTGCAGAATGCAACCCCAATCCTGCATACAGATGTCTGCCTGGCTTGTTCTCGATGCCGCTCTCCTTCTCCACGAAATTGATGTCGAGAGCAATGCTTCCATCGTGGGAGAGGGCAAGGGAGCCGTTGTGCTGGAGGTCCTTGTTTGCGCCATGATCCAGGAGGTCGTTATGCTGTGACAGCATGCTTTCCTCAAATAAGCTCGACTCTTGCGGCATCGTCCCGACGCCTCCCGCAGCACGATGGTCCTCGCCCTTCATGGTGGCGAAGTGTTAGAGTGTGGAGAAGGAGGTGGCTACTTACGTTCTTTCAGTGGAAAAACGATGATGATGATCATCCCCTATCTAGAAGTTGTGCTATTATTGAGTAAATCTAAATCCATGAGTACTACCTGTTTGTAGCTTCTCATTATCCAAAAAATGAAAGCAATAGCAACCTGAGTCAAACTCAAAGCATAACCATGATCATTAGCTCCTCCATCCATCTCCACACTACAACCTCCAGAGGGCTGATTCAACGTGTAATGTCTAACCGGCAACGCGAGGCCCAGAGAATCATTAGAGGTAGGCTTTTGGTGCTCGCTTACCCCGCTTGTTATGCCTTTCTCATCCTAAGGGAGAGAGGCATAAAAAGCGGTAAGAAAAGCACCTTTAACCTACCCTTAAAATCAAAAGCACTGGTGAGCACTTGGTCATCGATGGATTTGCGCAGTTGTATTCGTGAGAACTGCGACTTTCCCGAGTTCGTTCGCGGTGAGTGCGGACTATCCTTGCCGAAAGCGTCTTCGGCTTGGTATGAAAGAAGGGTAGAAGTTCTTGATGTGTCCGTTGCTTTTATTCTGTTATTCTGTTCTCGAGCAGGTCTAGTCGAGTTTTTCTAGTACCATAACTCGTGTTCCGGTGACATCTGCGAGAACCCTTGCTCATCGTACCATGATGCGAAGTCTTGTTTTGGTCCTTTGGGGGACTCTGGACTGCTGGCAATATGAGCTCCTCCAGCAGCAGCACCCCCAACATTTGGTGATGTTCCTGCAAACACTCGTGCATTGTTTGCTCGACTTTCTGGCCTCACTAAACGCTCAGGCGATGAAATTATTGCATCATCTCCTGGTCGTTGCTGCCTCCTGTGTCCCCGAGCTGCACCACGACTAGGACTTGCTATTAGGATATGAGCATGCGTGACTTCTTCATTCATCTGAGCGCGTTCTTGCATTTCTTGCGCATCATGATACGTACGAGACTCCATTCCCATGTAAACCCTTGTGCCAACATCCCGTGTTCCCGGTCGCGAAACCAGAGGCACATTAGTTTCAGTAAGGGAGACGCCAACTGGCGACGGCAAAGGGTTCGTCATCATCATACTCGATTGGTGCTCCGGGTGGAGGATGGAAGACCTGTGACGAGACGGAAATGGAACCCAATAACTTGCGGCAGAGATGAGTACAAGCATTAGCGAAAGCCCATCGAAATTTTTGAGAATAAATTAAAAAAGGTTTGTGCAGATGAAGAATTCTGTTGATGAATCATCTTGTTCAGAGAGAAAAAAATACAAACGAAAACGAAAACCGAGGAATACCCCATCATCTGCGTGTTCAACGAATTTCCACCGTCAAGTTGCATTCCCTGTGTACTAACGATCCCTAGGTCTACCAAGGTCGCATCGTTAGCATCCAAAGTTGGCGCAACACCATCGTCTAGTAGGGCTGCAACTGCCTCATGGTCAATAGCGAAGATGCGGTCTCGGAGCTCTTCGGCTTGGCTATGAAGAGGGAGAGAGCGAAGTAGTAGGTGGGGAGTGAGGTTGAGGCAAGGTGTGTGTGTTCTACTTGAAGAAATTAATTGGAGGAAAAAATCTAAAGGACCCAAAAATGTAAAGCGAATGCTGTGGTCCTCGTCCTTTGGGAATTGATAACTCCTAAAACTATTATGTTGAGTATCTATCCAATTCCATCCTTGCAGCCATAATTCTCCTGTCTCCTGCAGCAAAGCCTCTTTTTATGCTCTGGCACTAGCTTGTAGAAGATGGTCATTTCTCCGCACCAATTGCACTCTATCTGCCTATTCGCACAAACTAGTTTGTGTGATTCCATGTCTTTCACTTTCAAGTGCATATCGCAGAGTGGGCAGGTCCATGGTCTGTATTCGCAGTTTTCTACATGCGCATCCACTTTTAAAGCTCAGCATTCATTGGTCACTGACTCGGACAGGAAGAGACCCCCTCCAAGGCTCTCCCCTTTCCCTTCGTTTTCCCCTGTTCTCTCAAGGGGACCCTCTTCGATTTCAGTGGCTCCAATCTAAATGGTGACCAATGAAAGTTGAGCCTTAACACCTGGTGCAAGACTACTGGCCCATTACACAGAGGACAATAGACGGCGCGGTTGGCACAATGGTTAAACCTGTGATCTTCGTCGTCGCGGGCTAGGGAGGTTAGACACGATGTGTTCAGTCGAATATACTCCACCAGTGTTTGTAAGTAACATTAACAACAACCTATTCAAACTTTCATCGTGGTTTTACATTAAGTCGATCAGTCTCAAAGAACAGGGCAGCGGCAGCTTTATTTCCTCCAAATGCAAATTATCTATTAATCGCATTCTGTAGTTTACTACTTCACCTAACAAGGAAGTAAGATAATGGTATCATTAAATCAATGTCGTTTTTCATAAAATCATCGCACCACAATCCTGAGAACAGCGGATCTTACGCATGAGACACTCTGTCTCCTTATGGTGTTTCAAGGTTCTGTCTTCAATCTCCGGCTTTTTGCAATCCTGACAGGTAACTGTGCGCAATCGGGTCTTGAAGTTGTAGGCTGGAAGGAAGGTTGTGGTTGTGTATCATGAGGATAAAGATAGTAGTTTGGCAGAAACGAGAACACCATAGCAGAAACGAGAACACCATATAAAAAATGTGTATGTATGATATCAAATCTTCCCAAGATGATCGACGACTACAACATCAAGAATTCTTATCAACAATACTGAGAACATCCGCTCGCACCGGAAAGACCGTTTCCAGCTTCCCTCTAGCGAGAAGCATTGACACCATCTGCGTTCGCAAGGATCTTGACATTATCGGAAATCTGGACGTGTCATCGCGATCGACCATTCCACTTGACCCATCCATGTTTACCCACTCGCTCAGCTCATTGAACTTGTCCACGAGATTGTTGCGGCCAGGGTATGAAAAAGGTCCTCCAGGGTTGTAGCTCCACCTGGATTCATCACTTAAATCAAAAGTAAGTACTTATCTGTAAGTGAGCAGAAGGAAGACCAGGGTAGTTCTTGTAGGCGGTGGATGTTCAACAAATTCAGCAGTGAGCACGTGCTACAAATGTTGATTTTCTTGCATTGAAGAAGACTTGCTACACGACCAACACATGAGCAGCATCACTTCAACTTCAGCTTCTTGTACAATGAGGGCTCTTCTCTAGTTCAAGGGGAAAATGGGAGTTCAAATGGAGCAAACCATGGGGATTGGTGCGAAAGGATCGTTTAAACAACAATCCTACAATGGTATTTTTAACCCTTCAAGCATAACGACGTCGGCAGATCTATAGCATCGCTTCGATCTGTTCCTCTAAAGTGTCGTGTCCTCGGAATGATCTCCTTGCCCACTCTAGGATGGACCAGTACGACCTCCATCACAACCTTCGAGGATGCGCCGCCAGCAGGTGAACAGTTCAAGATCATGATCTGCGGATGACAGCTGTAAACTAGTTTTGGATTAGAAGGTGATGATGAGATGCTTAGGGTTAGGGGTGGTATTTTCGAAGATCAAGATCATCACTTGTAGATGTAGAGGGCATCCTGAGATGCTTCGGGTTAGGGGTGGCATTTTTGAAGGCGATCAAGATCATCACTTGTAGATGTAGAGGGTACTAACCTTTTTCTCTTTAGGCACTACCTGAAGTAATAACTGGAGCTGAGTGTACATCTTGTGAATAATTCTCATCCCGTCAACATAAGACCCTGAAGATCCATCACCTGACCCGGAAACAATATCTGAGACAATTCCTTGACAGCCTGCGTTTCGAAGATCCAAGGATCGTCGAGCTGCTCCCGATATGGTATCTTGGTCACGACCAAGAATCTGACCAAGATGTTCATGTCATACTCATTCACTGGTGTACCCAGCAGCCGGATCTGCTTGTTGCTCTTGCTGTTCGTGTCCTCAAGCTTTTGTTCTAGCTGTTTTTTGGCGTCAGCTTCTTGGCAGTAGGCGCGAAGTGAGGCGTGAAATTCGTCGTCGCTCTCGCAGCCGATACAATAACCGGAGATCTCGCATCTGAGGTGATTTGATTTCAATCTATATAGCAACAGAGTGTATTATTTCTGTAGTGGTCTCTACTAAGTATAAAGGAAGAAACTGGCCGTCGTGGTCCCTGTTATTTTGTTCAAGAAGAGGAGCAAGGTCTTGAGGGCTAAGATAGAACGTACTCTCACTCTCGCACTCTACCCTCGTAGTACCGGTCAAAAGAAAGCCAAGACGAGCTCGCGCAGGAAAGAGTCATAACTACTACTAAGTATTATTTCTGTACTAGAAGTTTCTAGTTACTAAGTAAAAAATAGTACCTTTTCGCGCACGTGATCACTTTGTATGTTGTAAGCTCTCTGCACTGAATACACGCTGCGGGTCGGGTCCACCGCAGTTCGTGACATGGAATCGCTGTCATCAGATGGCCATTTCGACAAGTTCGGCCGTCCTGGTGGAGAAGAAATAGAGGATTCTAGCTCTAGCAGTAGCTCCTTGATAAAAGTTCTTCAAGTTGTTCAGAAAAAATGAACTGATCATGTATCAGTATCTTCTAAGTACTTCTTATACTTCTAATAAGTACCTCCATATCGGAAAACAAGGTCAAGTACTTCTAATAGTAATAAGTACCATATCGGAAAATAAGGTCTTCTTCAACTCGTCAGATGCGCTCATACCCATGTAGACTGGTTCTAATTTCCGCAGGTTGATCTTTTCCATCTTGCACATGAAGAAGAACTCTTTGAAGATTTCACGCAGAAGACGTGCGAACTGTTCTTCCTCGTGCTTCCACGCTGCTAATTGAGCACCGGTTAGCTGCTCTTGGTCCACACCCACAGCGCTACCGAGCACGGTGCTAATATTAGAACAAGTAATGCTGGAGATCCATCTTCTGAACAAAAATCTTGGGCCTCCTTTTCCCTTTAAAAACGGGACCAAGATGCCTGTGAAAATGGGAGATTTCTTGTCGCCCTAATATTAGAATCGGTTCCGCTATAGTGCCTATGCGCAGCAGCCGCAGCACTAGATATTGACGCCGATATTGGACTTTGAGTGCCCTTTCCTCCACCTGGCGATCCTAGAGTCGGAGAATTCTTGGTCCCCGCTTTCCCCAACGATGCTGCCCTAGAGTCCAAAGCCTTCATCAGGTCTTCTCCCATGTCGACGTTCGTTTTGATGTCAGAATTAGAGCTCCTAACTTGATCTAACAAGCCTGATCATTCAAGTAGAAAAAGAGCCAAGAAGGACGAGGAAATTCATTCTTGAGGAGGCTCCTTCAGCGATGCTTCGCCTTAACAAAATCCTTGACCTCTAGTCTCCACCCAAGGGAAACTTCGTTGACCACGTGCGAAGACTGGTAGACGATTTCCTTGTCGAAGAGACTGCCGTCTTCAGCCTCCTGTCTGAACTTTATGCGAGCAACGGGTTTGAACATCTCGAAATGTATGAAGTCCTCTGGCGTAGGTGGAACAGATGAAAGAGGGAGAGATGAGCATGAGGTGGGTTCGTGGAGAGATGAGGGGGGTTAGCAGGGAACTGTTCTTGTTGTAGTTGTAGATGAGAGGGTGTCAAGAATTATAAGAAAGTTGGATCATGGGTGTTGGATCATACGTTTTGACGATGTCAAAACGTTGCTTGTTGGACGCGGACCTAGACAGCGAAGGGTATTGTTCTCTAAGAGTAAATTGTTTTGAAACGTTCCTTCGCTCCTCTTGGAGTTGAGCGTGCTGCCTTACGAACTAGCCCAATGAGTAACAGAGTGATTTGCGAGCTGCATGGCATGGAGTGCATGGATCGCATGGAGCTAAAGGGCGCGCTTCTTGCGTCCCTTAGAGATCTGCGCTCCATGCACTCCATGCTAATAATAAACAAGAAGACCAGCAATAGCAAATTAATAAACAGGAAGACCAGCAAACGTCATTGTTGATCATCGGATTGGCTCCATAAAGGTTGATCTTTCCCGACAATGAATGGCTTCTCAAACTTGCTTTTTGGCTTCGGTATTCGTCGTGTAAAAAGACTTGGAGGTGGCTCCTCCCCATCTTTTGCGCGATCCACTTTTGGTGCTATTTTTAGAGGAGGTAAAAACTAAAAGCTGCTCAACAGTAGTTGTCCTAGTCTCACCTACTACTTCATTCTTGTTCTGGTTGTTATTCCCTATGATCCATAACTTCTCTGCGACGTCTGCAGCCTCCTCTGTCGCCAGGTTGTGCCTTCTCTTCGGTCCCATTGCAACGATTAGAGCTCACAATCACATATATTCATCTTTAAGTGCATCTTTGACGTGTTTCCCCCATTGCTGTGAGCCTTAAAACGAGCTCATCAACTGGCGGATCGAAGCCAACCGTTCTTTGCAGCCCATGCGCGTGGATGAAGTCCTCGAAATCGACGTGCTTGCCTTGGACATGGTCGTAGAGCTCGATATTACCGCTTTTTATCGGCTCTACCACTAGGGAGTCTGGCACTATCACGCGCTGGCCGTGAAAAAAGACAGCGCTCTGAATCATCTGCGTACCAGCTCCACGACCGTCTGTCGAAGTCCTGGTCAGGGGGGTTTCTGATTGTTGTAGTCGGAGGACAACGACGTGCACCAGCACACTTCATCTAGAAGCGTTAGCGGATCATGTTCATGAAGAGGTATTCTATAAATGAGTGAAGAGTGAGTGAATGAGTGAGTGAGTGAATGAATGTGCCTAGCGCGAGGCGGTGCAGGTTTAATGTCGCTATGCAGTAGTTGTGAGCAGTACTACTTCTACTACTAGTTTTTGCTCTGCGTGATCATGATTTTCCGTTGTAGCAGTTGTACTTCTTGATGTGTTAGATAAAGTGGAAGAACAAGTCTTAGAAAGTGTTTTATTCGGAATGAACTCAACTCTACCACAAAAATTAATACCGTCTCCCATACATCGGCTCATTTTTCAGCCCAGTTGTCATTGGCTGATAGTTCTTCCTATTGATGTCGACGATACGAGGCAACAGTGTTGACACAAACGCCTTCTTATTCGAGCTTTCCCCTGCCGCAACTGCTTTTGAACTAGATTTAGAGACCCTTACATCTACTTCTTATATATGTTTTGTGCTGGAGCAGCAGCAGACCTAACATAACTACTAGAAAAAAGAAAGACAACCAGAGGAAGATAGAAAAGAGAAAAGGGCATTCTCATCTTCAAGTATACAACTCTTAATATCTGCTAAAAAAGACCAATCACTATCACTCTAAATAGATACATCAACATCTACTTAACATATATTCATCTTGAAGATGAAGATCTTCATCCTGAGACCATCTTCGTCCTCAGGATGTCCTCTTCCTTGAGGTTGAGCTGAACTAAGCCTTAATAGTTGCTGCTCCTCCGCCAATAGCCACACCGCCAGTATGCATAGGACTCGCAGCACCAGCATCTTGTGGGTTATTTGAGTCTGCAGGTGACGCATCAATCGCACTGGGAGGTGCGGATCCTCCTCTAGTCGCGGCATTCACCTCCACGGCTAGATCGCCTTGGCCTTAGAACTCTCGAGAAATCATCTTCTAAGAAACAGAAAAATCCAAAAGGAATCTCTCCAATCTCGTTTCACTGTCGGACAGTCCTTGTCCTTGAAGATGAATCGCAACCATCAATACGTACCCCGCGAACGCGAAGGGGTACTAACAGTACTACTACGACTACAACGACTTCTACTACCTTTGGGGAAGTAGAGGCACTAACACTACGACTACTACTTCTACTACCTTTGTGATCAACAACCACGCACGACATCAAGCAATCATAATAATTACGTGCTTCATTACTAACCCTATTCTTGAAGTGGACATCAAGCAATCATAATGTAAATTCACCGTGGTAAACTTGCATGCCAGACCCATGCAATCCCAGACTGAGCGTGGCAGTTCCAACGTTTCCAGGCCAATCTCATCCTCGAGGACGTCTCCCAGAGTCACGTCCGTCTTTTTGCGCTCTCTGAGCTTCCCCTGTTGCCTCTCGAAGAGGTTCTTGGCTAGGGAGGAGACACGAAATTGCATCATATTGGGCGAAGAGTAGAGTAGAAGAGTACTCGAGTACAAGAACCAGGAGGACAAGAACTAGAAGAGTATTGCGATCTATGTAGAACAAGGGGAGGGGTGGGGGTGCTGCGAGGATTTTTAGAATGGAACTAGTACCTTCAATGAAGAATTACAGTACATGTTTAAAGAGCATGAAGCTATTTTTAGGTCTAGGATGGAGGTATGGGGGTTCTACTTTAGAGATAGACGCAACCAACGATTAGGAAATTTTACGTAGATGAAAATGCTCTCCTCAAACCGACGACACAAACGGAAAGTAAGTTGTTCGTTGTATCAGTAAGAAAAATCGACAAGCAAAGAACCAAAGGAGTCATACATCAGAGGAAGAAAAACAAAGATGGTGGTTAGTAGAAGAACCAAAAGGAGCTTCAGGAGAGAGATATCAATCAATCAATCGGGGTGCCTCTACAGGGCACCGAGATAAATGTTGCGCTTCAAAGCGTATATCTCGGGTGACAGCTTCAATTATTTGTTTTCTGACCTCTTAGTGGTCTCAATTTCAACCAATCAATGAATCAAAAGATCAACCTCATTTCAACGACCTAAAAATATTTTGAGGCCCAAATATCCTCATGAAGGCCCAATGGCGATTAAAAAAACTGGTAAGAGGGATGCTCTACACGTGTCAACTGGGAGACGGGAACAGATGTGACAGAATAGAACGAATAGAACAGACTAAGTCCTCCTGAACTGCAGTTGGGGTAGTAGAGCAACTAAATCGTTTCACCTATTTGAAACTACCTGTTTCCATCCACAGACAGAGACACGGTGGATAAGCGGTCGGACCGACACGTTTTGTTTACTTTATTTGCTTGATAACCCCAACACAGGAAGAAAAATGTGGGACAAGCGGCCGCCAGTGACAGTGCCAGGCAGCCTCGTCCTCGTTGACGTTCTCTTGGACTTGGACTTGAGATAGTAGCCTGAATTGGAAGGAGAAACGTTAGGCAAAAATTTTTTGGTGGTGGTCATACAATTACAACAATGTCACTCGTTAATATCATGACCATCTTCAAATGAAATCAGGATAAGCAACATACAACTCGTTCAAAAATTCCAAGACGGAATATATAGAAGATCGCTAATGTGAAGAATGTAATCATCATCTGGACTTGTTCGCATCTCGTTGATGCATCACGAACATGATCATTCATTTACATCATGATCGCTATTTTTGAAAGCGGGAAATATTAAGAACATGATCTCTCTGTTTTCCACCCTAGCATTCTTCACCTTGCAGCTAGCATCATCTTTTATACACAAGATTTTCGTTAGATGTGTAGAAAAAAAATCTGATGATGAAAGTTAGTACAGTTCATAATTGTTCTGATAACCCATCGTTCCTGCTGTACTACTTAACGAAAAGCCTTCTTGCTTTTGGTATTTTTGCTGCACACGAATTATAAGTAGAAAGTAAGTTGCATACTATACTTACTCTTAGACGTAAGTATATAGTTCCTATTGGCAAAAATCGCAATTCATTTCTCTTTCTCATCTAACATCAGTGTTTAATATGAAGATGCCTGCATGATCATTGCTGATACGGTGGGAGGGGATATGTCACCTCTACACCACCTTCCGCTTGTTCCTCTATATCAGCCAAAGGCTGCGTACCATCAGCTGGAAAAAATGGAGCTAGGTCTTGAGAAGATCCAAGGGTGTCCTCCTCAGGCAGATTTTGCTGCCTTAGCCATTCCGTTGTGCCATCGCTGATGTGAATGTGTGCTCCTTCTGCTCCATCTCCTCGCTGAGGCGACGAATTCGGAGTCCCTACATGGTCCTCCTCACCACCACTCAACAAGAAAGATGCATCTGCATCTGCAAGTGTTCGTGGTTCCAGAGAAGCACCTGGTTCAACGCCTGGCGGAGCAGGTATGCTGGACATGATGAGGGGTTGATTGTTGCGTAGATGCCTTGCGATTAATGCTCCTGGTGGTAAGGACTCGAGTGAAGGTGAGGGTGCGAGTGGCCCTCCAGACGCATGTTGTAGTGGTGTCTCAGGTCTAGTTGTACCTCCTAGTTCAGGTGCTGGATCTCGTTCTTCATCTTGCAGCTCTTCTTGATCTACGTGCTGTCCTCCACCATCCTGCTCCTCGTCGGCAACGATCACATGATCCGCATCATCGGCACGAGGACCACCTGGGTCACTGTTTATCAACATGACAGTTGAGTCGCGCAAACGAGGCACGAGAGTTTGCGGAGTTGTAGCGAAATCCGAATTCATCAAAGCCTTCAGCGACTCGATCTTCTGAATTAAAAAGTCCAACAACTCCAGACCCCTCAATACACGGTTTCGATGAAGCAGAGTGCGGAATAGTTGCGGCAAAGATGCTTCACGTTTGGCCGTCAAGTGGACACAGCCAGCGTCGATGAGCATTCGCACAGCAAAAGCTTCGGGAAGGTCAAGCTGAAAAGGGTCGTCGATGTCTGTGTTAGAGGTGGAACTAGAACTAGCAGAAGAAGAAGATGACCGAGGGAGAGGACTACTGTCTTGTCTATTACTCATCATCCTTCTCTTTTTCCCTTCCAATTGTTGTTCTTGCTTGTTCAACTTTTTCTCCGAAAGGACCAGTCGCGCTTGTAAATTTTGTCTCATTATCTGAAGCTCTGTGAGAGTCGTTCTCGGAGTAGATGAGTCCTTGTTTGCCTCAGGCTCAGCCCCCTGATCCTCAGAAGGTGGTAAGCCGCGTAAAGGCATAGTACTAGTAGGAGGTGTTCTTGAAGTTATTCCACTAAGACGAGGTGCGGGGCGAGCTGGTGGCCCTGCAGCAGTCATTTTAGCAGCAGCAGATTCTATTAGAACCAATGGAAATCCATCCTCAGCAGCATCTTGGGTCTCCTTTTCCCTTTAAAAACGGGACCAAGATGCCTCTGAAAATGGGAGATTTCTTGTCCCCTTAATTCTAGCTGGAGATCTTGAGGCCTCGCAAACATCTTGTCATAGCGGAAGCCACCACCGCCAAGCTCCTCATATAGCAACATTGCATGGTCTAAGCGCCTTGCGTATTCATTTCGTAGAATTCTCTCTTCTTGCTTGCTCTGCGGAGCAGGGATTGCACCACCACGCGGCCGTGGAGTCGCGGCTCCTCCTGTAGAACTAGAAGATGCAGCGGTGGTTGCGGGCAGTGGAGAAGTCGCGGCTCCTCCTGTAGAACTAGAAGGTGCAGCGGATGTTGTTCTCACTGAGCTCATCGCCTGCAAACCCGGAGGAGTTGGTGCCGATGTTGCGCCAGTGCCTGGTGCAATTATGGGACTAGGCGGAAGAGGAGTTGGTGCCGATGTTGCGCCAGTGCCTGGTGCAATGGGACTAGGCGGAAGAGGAGTTGGTGACGATGTTGCGCCAGTGCCTGGTGCAATGGGACTAGGCGGAAGTGTCGATACATCTCCACTAACAGCACCACCTCCAGTGCGCGTTCTCGTATAGAAACTGCTATCAAATCTTCCCGGTGTTATCGAGGACAGAGTAGAGAAGGCTGCGCCCCCAGTAAGATTCCACACTGCCCATCCTCCAGCATTGTGGTGCGGCTTCGTCACTGCGTTGAAGAAGTCTACAGCCAAGTCGAGAGGACTGACCCAGCCATTCATCGGGAAACCTTTGGTACCATAGTCCGGAATCACAGAATTGCACATGTAATCAATAGGAGGCAGGTTTTCCTCGCTATTCCGCTTCCTCATCGCTAGTCTGTGTCTGTTCCGCGCTTCTCCGAGTTTTTTTGAAGGTGTAGCACGAAGAGCAGCTCCACTACTTCTAGCGGTAATATGAGTACCGCTGACTACTGATGAAGCAGAAGTGCCAGTAGGCACAGATCCACCTCCAATATAATTCGAGGAACCAGCTGCCGAAGATGTTGAGTGCGAACCAAGTAAAGAGCCAGCAGCTGAACCTGAAAGAGCTCCTCCGGCAGTACTACTTCTAAAAAGAGGAGCTCCAGGTGCAGAAACAGGGTATATGAAGCTACTTGCGCCAGAGGATGAAGCAGGAACACTTCCCCCGCTTGCAGAAGAAGATTCTATGGTGGAATTTCGTTCTATTTCAGGTTGCTCTTGGAGGTCATTTTCTAGTCCTAAAGCACCGCGCATCCTTGCATCTCTTGTTTCATCTTGCGCTCCTCGTGCTCCACTGCCACGACCTTGTGAAGTGGAGGATCTACTACTTGCTGCAGACATGATCTCTGCAGATGATCTAGACGATAAAGCTTGGCCACCAGCTGCTGCTATTGACTGAGCCACTGCTCCAGAGGACGCAGACTGAGGCCTTCTCGTTCCCATCTGTAAAGCGGGACTGTCTCTAGTACGACCACTGGAACTACTCTCTCTAGTATCTCTTCTCCTGCTAGCCGTGTTTCTCATTCCTAGCTGTTCCTGTCCTCCAGCTGCACTACCAGGTAGTCTATCTCTCCTAGGATCGTCGTAATCGACTCCGAAACACGTCTGTCTTGCCATTTCATCCTCCAACCCGCCGTTTCCATCCCCAAGCAGAAGATCATCATCAAAGCTATCTGCTGTGTCTTCATGCTCATCATCCTCCTCTTCATGCTCATCTTCTCGCACCTCGTAAGTCTTCATCTGTTCTGTTATGGTGCCGACTACCGTGGGCGGAGGGTGGATGTTGCGTACCGTACCTTCTTCTGTAGTTGACCGATTACGCGCTGCTGGTGGAACGGAAGTGGAAGTCCGTGGTGTGTTGGAAGTCTGTTGACCAGGTGTTATAACTGAAGATGAAGCTGCTCCTGTCCCTGGTGCCATGTCAGGAGTTACAACTAATCCTCCTCTTCTCGCATCGTCAAGTTCCTTCATGACACCGATTCCGAAATTATGCAGTTCAGGTTTCTTGCAGTTGTACCTTTTACGAGGAGTCAGTGTTCCTGTATTATCCAACATCGGATGTTCGACAGTGTCCAACACCTGTTCACTGTGGATTTTACTGTCGAAATCCAAGACGTCACTCGTATCAGGACTAGGACCTCCGCGAAGGCCACCAGTCGTATCTAGTGATGAAACAACCTCTGCTGAGGTTAATTGGCGACCATCGAGCGACAGCATGCCTCTCGAATGCACTAACCAATTGTCACGTTTGTGCTCGTTCTGGAATCTGGTGACGTGCCTCAAAACTTCCTGCAGAACAAGCAGACGTCGCCACATCAGCCATCGCTCACGTCCGGGTCTCGCCAAAGGAACTCTACTTCGCCCGTGAAGATCCCCCATAAGTGTAGGAGAAGTACCCGCCGTAGCATGGGCTGCAATGCTGAGCTCCTTGGTGTCGTAGGCTCCTAATGCTGGAGTGGCAGGTCCAGTCAAGGCTGCTCGCATTGCTTGCAAAGAGCCACCGGCCAACTGAGCGGATGGAAATTTCTGCTTGTGCATCACGCGCCACAATGCGTACCGGTTTCCAAGACACACCTCTACTGTCCTGAGAAGCAAGTTCTTCACTCGAGACGTCGCAGATCGATGATTCCGAAGAAACTTTTTCCATGTGATAAACGGAGGAAATAATGCTGCTTGTTTCCCCGCAGAGGGTGATGAAGAAATTCCATCCTCTTGTGGCGCTGAACGTTTTTCAGATGGAATCATGTTAACATGATCATCTTCTGGTGGCCACAAATCGATGCGTTCCGATTCGACCAGTTTTTGGGCGAAAGCAGCATACTTAGCACGAGGATCCTTCGCGGCTGCAGCTGCTACCTTCGGTTAGAGTGTGCTAGAATGCATTTTCTCGGAGGTCCCCTCATCTTAACCCCTACTTTTACTCCTGGTATTAAATTTCATGAGTAGAATTATACTACATCTCAGCGGACATAAATAAAGGTAAAATAAATATGGCCCCAAGATGCCGAGAAAGATGAATAAAAGCTAGCCTTAATTCGGTTCGGCCTCACTTCCGGATCCAGCAGAATAAATCTGTCTTTCCGTTCCTTGCGACAGTAAAAGTCGAACCACCTCCAAACTCGCGGGGTTGCCGTCTAGACACGCAGTTTCGATCGCCAATTGTAGAGGGCGTTCGATCTTCCTGCTACTCTGATCGCGCTCGGCGTGCATTAGAGGGTGCTACTCGGAATAAAGTAACTACGTAAACGACTTATGCTTGAAAATACAACAACGTCGAGGATCGACCAACCAGACTACAACAACACAAAACCACATCAAGCTGGATATTTGTGTCGAGCTTTGAAAACCTTATATCCTAAGTAGTCTTCTCCTCCCTGTCCAGGGGTCCCCAATATCTCCCTCAAATTCCGGTCCAATACCGAATACGTCTGCATCTGCTGGTTGAACTGTTTCACCGTTTTGGGGTAAACTGAGTTGAACGATGTGTACCACGACAGTTCAGGTTCTTCGGGATTGCCGATTCCGTGTAGGTGTCGTTCCTGTGCTGCTAGTGCGGCTGCTGCTGCACCTGCTGCTACCCTGGACGAAAAAGCACCGTTTCTTCGCTCCAGAGCTGGCAGTTCCTGCATCCCAGGTGAGTTAGAGATAGAAGATTCTGCATAGAACAAGATTCATCAGAACGGTACTCCTTGCTAATTACAGACCTTCTTGTTAAATGAGTCTAGCCATATCCAATTCATCTCCCCGTCGTCCTCGCAAAGCACCCGGAGGAGGTGCCACTTCGACATCCTCTCGCTCTCCGTGGTCCCGAGTGATCAATCCATCTCGCGCTCGGTCGATCAATTCATCTCGCTCTCGGTCTCGCAAATCATCCGCCTGCTCGTCCTCGTCAGCCTCTGATGCTCCTGGAGTGGGCGACTGAAGCTGAGCAAACGCCTCTTCCTCTGCATGCACTGCAAAAACAGACCTCACCGCATCCGGCATCGAGTGTGGCAAGAACGCGTTCCAATACATAGGCAAAGTGTGGTCCATCTCGTTATTGAGAGAGGCTTCGTCTCTTAGTGCGATTGAAGTAGAAGGATGCTGGCCAGCACTCGGAGGATCATGGTGTACGAACCGCGGTTCTTGGAGGGGCGGTAACGGCGGGAGTAAGTAGTTGTTGCCTATATTGTTCGTGGATGATGTTCCACCTCCTGGTGGCCCATTTGGAGGAGTGACTGGACTTCTAGCCATGGGATGAGGTGCTGCAGACGCGAGAGGACCTGGACCATCAACAGCTGCAACAGGACTTTGAAGATTTTGTTGCTGAGTACTAGAGGCTGCTTGCGGAGCACCTCCTGGACCTCCTGGCGCCGGTGTAGGTGTTACAGGTGCACCAGGAGAAGATGAGAATGCGCGAGCTGGTAGAATTGTTGGCGGTGTAACTGGTGCCGAAGTCGAAGGACGTGAAAACGGACCACCTCCACGTGGATTTTGGCCTCTATTGCGAAGTATGTTGTCCGGGTTCATTGGATTAATATTGCTATCATCGGTTGAAACTCCTTCTCCTGCAGCTGCTGCAGCTGCACCTGGTGCTGCTCTTCTTGGTAGTTCTATATTCAACTGGCTGACACTGACTCGCAGGTCTGGTCTAGCTCCACTTGGTGGCGGTGGAGGACGCGGGCCTGATATCACACCCGAATCACCAACCGACGTCGAAATTGGTTGCGGTTGCTGTGCATTTCTTGGCGAGGATGAAGTCGTGCTCCTAGCCGAAGCCGATCCAGATGGATCACTAGCCACAGGATTACTAGCCCAGGAAGCTGGAGCGGGAGTAGGATTACTAGCTGAGAGAGCAGTAGCAGGTGGATTACTAGCCACAGGCGGCTCAGGAGCCCTACGGGGACCAGAACCCGGAGTACTGACAGGGTAGAGAACTTGCTGCTGCTCTTCTTGAAGAGCGGTAGGTGAAAGAACAACATCAGCAGGAGCTCGAGAACCTATGGCGGAAGCAGGCAAAATTGGCTGAGGATGAGGTGGAGGGTTTGTTGCATTAACAGCAGGCTGAGCAGTCTGTTCGCCGCCCGCAACAGAGGTACCAGCCACAAGCGTCGATACTAGAACGGGCGCAGGAGGTGGCGGCGGTGGTCGCAGTTGCTGATGAACAAATAGAAATATTTCTGGAATTGCTGGACTGACACTCACTGGACGAGGCCCTTGAAGATGCTGTTGCTGTGGAGGTAACTGAAACGGATTCATAGGAAATCTAGCTTGCACTGCGTTACCAGGTACAGAAAGAGGCGCACGGATAGGCGGGATAGCTCCAGCAGGTAAGATCCCTCCAGATGCTGGAAATATTGGATTCATCGGAGGTACTACAGCACCTTGAAGACCACCTTGTTGACCTTGTTGAACGTGAAGAAGATCTCCAGGAGTTTGAAATTGGATCGGCGTAGTTTGGTACGTAATTGACGGACAAACTCTGCCATTTCTTGGCCGCCAGTCGTCGACTTTGTTGGTGCGGAACTCTCGCACATCGACAGGCATCATAGCATTCGCCAGAGAGCATCCGTGCACATAGACAGCACGTAGCAGTTCTGTTTTGTACATGCCGTTCAACTTCCGTTCATCTTGAATCGTAAGCCATGATGAATATCTTCTCTTAGAAGTAGTAGTTTTTGAACGAAGAAGATGAGGAGCTTGAGAAGTTTTTGAACGAAGATGAGGAGACATTATGTTGGCATTCGCTGATGATGGTCGTGGAGGTGTATAAGGTATTCCCATTTCAGCGCTGACCTCTTGTTCAACTGCCGCTAAACCTCCTTTGAGGTACAGTCGTGCTCTTGGCCTCAAGGCATCCTCGAAAACGGTCCGCCACATGCCATTCACACTCTTAGTCGTTCCTAATCGCATCAAAATCCGCACGCGATCGAAGACACTCATCTGCGCTGGTCCCGCGGCTTCGTGCAGGATTTCTAGTTCGAAGAGTGTAAAATCGAAATTGGACATCCGTCCGCTCATTTCCTCTGGCAGTCGAAGCTCCTGATCCCACAAGACTCTGAAACGAGCTACATGCTGACGCTCTTCTTGCGGTAAATCTTGGACAAAAAGATGTACACTAGACTCCAGCTCGAGGGCAGCGTCTTCGTGCTCCCGTCGGAGGGCCGCTGTCGCGTTCATCATCTGCTCTTGATGATGTTGGTGCGAGGATTGCCTTTGATGTTGAGCCATGCTCACATACAATTGATCGGCAAAGGACGTCTGCTCCACAGACGCAGGCTCGTCTTGCAGCAAGTCTCGAGGAGGCGGAGTAGGAGGCTGCGTGCTCGTAAAGTCCTCACATATTAGAGGACTTCCACTTGTTCCGACGAATGATGAAGAAGAGAAAGGTCCTCGAGTACCCTTGTTGTCATCGATACAAGCCGCTTCATGGTGAAACACAGCTAGGAAGAGAGAGAAATGCAGTTTGTGCTTTCTTTGTTGGAAGCTCCGAGCTAGTCGCAGATAGGTCTCGACGTATTTTGCATATTCGAGATAGCTCAGGGAGACGCGGACGCCATTAATGGTCATTTGCCGCCTCTCAACTCCTGATACCGGATAGGGGAAATTTTTCAGCATCATCATTGGATACAGCACAAACGCCGTATTCAATGCCGCTTGTCCGTTGTAACTCGGAGGCAACGCTGTTGGTCCTCCTTCCGATGAGTACCCGTCTAGAGGTTCTCGGAGCAAAGGCAGAGCGGGCAAAAGATGCAAACGCGGTTGAGCTGCCGCTTTGAAGTCGCGCAGGCCGTATTGGGTGATTCGCCGATGCCTCAACAATAGCTTCAACAAGCTGAAATCTCCGCTAGCCAAAGCAGCATGGACCCAAGGAGAGCTGAGTTCTTGCCGCCCGCGCATTGTAGGCGAATGAAATTGTGTACGGCGGTCAAAATGAGCCATTAAAGCCCTGGAACGTCGATTGGCTTGAGTCCGGATCGGAGGTACGCACTTAGAGTTCCTAAAGAACAACGCAGCTAGGTTTTCAGCTGAGGATCCCTCGCCGCGTTGCATGTTGCGGTACTGGTCCTCCACGACTTGCAGGTAACCTCTATGGTCGACGGCGCCGATGGGAGAGAGTGTTACCTGATAGTGAGACAAATATTAACTACACCTGATCATATGAACAAGATGAAGATTTTGTTATCGCGGAAACAACGTATTGGTAATGTTGGCACTGTGCCATTTATTATTCTCATTATTCATCTCTCAAGAAAGCTAAAGCAAGAAGTTGTACCATCTCAGTTGACACTCCGTCTTCGGCACCATCTGCACCTCCCGCTTCCCCCCCACCAGGTAATTGACACAAACCCGCCGCACCAGCAAAGGCATCTACTGGTGGCAAAGACTCTTCCAACAGAACGTCCAGCATCGCGTCTGACCGCGCTGCCAGAATAGCTTGCGATGGGTGGAAGGGAAAGTATCAAAGGAAAAAGTGCACTCACACTCAAAAAGTGGCTCCTTTGCCTTTCCCACTTGATATAAATCTCATTCCCCACTTGATATATACTCCTCATACTCATTTCCCACTTGATATAAATCTTAGCCGATCTTCTGTTGAGTGATGTGACGAGTGGTGCACTTTTTTCTTTCATAGAAAGGCGCCAGCGTTAATCGTTTGTGCGAGGCCACCGAGAAGGGCAAGTTTGTCCATCCCAAAATCCCATGACCTGGGAATAAATGCGTTCCCCGGATCGTTACGCTCAACTAGTCGCATTTCCCAGACAGCCGCAACGCAATTTTTCATCCAAGTGCATTGGGCCCAAAGGTTGCCCCCGCTAGCGAGGCTTTTGTGTGGAGTGGAAAGGACGAGGCGGACCAAATTTGCATCGCCGAGCTGGATTACGTAGTTCAGGAGAGTACCTGGTAAAAGTTTGCGGAAAGAATCAGGAGAATGCACGTCGAGAGGTAGGTTTTTGGTGTTCGTCTACCCCGCTCGTTATGGCTGTCCCCCTTAGGAGAGCCATAAGAAACGGTAACAAAGGCACCTTTAACCTACCCTTGATATGTAGTCGTTGACCATGACGACAGCAGATATAGAGCTTGTAGACTTCACGTCTTGATGTTCTTTTTATGACTTCTTGTGATTATGCGAGTTGTGTTGTATTTGTACTACTAGTACATCCACCCAACTTCTAGTACGACTCAAATCTTCTTAGTACCAATCTTTCCATACGGCCCATCAATATCAGGGTGCCAGAAGTCAAAGCCTGTCATCTGCTGCACGTCGGAACGCCAGCGATCTGCTAAGAGTCCATGATACCACAAAACGGGACCCAAATTGGGACCTGGGAATCGAGGTTTCGTCAATGGAACTTCACCTCCGAAAACTGGGTCTGACGCGATCTTGCCTCGGACTAGTTGGCAAGTTAGAAGATTCTACCACTTCAGAAAAATACTATATTATAAGTACATGTTCATTGAGTTAGATTCTAGAACTTCAGAAAAAACCTATATTATAAGTACATGTAATCTAGATGAACTTCAGAAAAATACTATATTATATATAAGTACATGTTCATTCGTTATAACATCAGTTGATTTTCATTATGATTGCCACCATTGTTGCTCCCATAACAAGTGCCTATCACTCAGCAGGTTTGGATCCGTTATCTTCAAGCTCTTCGGAAACAACGGGTCCCAGATGGCTCGTTGCCAGCGCTCGTCTGCGTCGTCTGCGATAACGAAATTCCAGACCGTATCTGGCATGTAGAAAAGGATTTCCCGTAGTTTCCTCCTCTCTACCCTGTACTGATGCAGTTTCCCGATCCACCAACGTACAGAGTTGAGACTGACACAGTCATGCAAGCGGTCACTGGAAACCGTGATTAGAAGGAGAGAGCTGCACTGTGCTCATATGCATATGCTTATCCACCATCTTTTTTGTTGAGACTTGAGAGAGACGCTTTTCTCCTACAACTAGGCGGTAGATGAAGACGCATTTTTCCTTTGGAAAATAGAAGCTTCTCTACAGACAGCTAGGTGGTCGTATGCCTTAACATGATCGAAGCTGGAGGAGTGGGTCGTCTGCCTGAAAAGAAACGTCTAGCGCGGTCTCTAGACCTTGAAGCTCTTGATCGTGCACTGCGACTGCGCTCGGGAGCGTTGGGCGTTCGTGGTGCAGGTGCAGGAGGCGGCGTCATTGGTGCTTGTCGAGTCGGAGGCGGCGTCATTGGTGCTTGTCGAGTCGGAGGCGGCGTCATTGGTGCGTGTCGAGTCGGAGGCGGAGTCTGCGGTACTGGAGCGCCTCCTCCAGTAGGGTCATTCGATGCACTAAAAGGAAGTATAGGAGGACCAAGAACTCTGTTCATAAATGGTGGCGTATCACCAGGTTGAGGTAGAGGTTGACCATTCGCATTGTTTGACTCTTGATGTTCGTTTGACTCTTGTTCTGGCTCTGGTGACGAAGCTGCTCGTTGAATACGCGAAAGAGAAACGCCAAGGGAAGCGAGGTTCGCGATTTCCTGTGATGCAGCTGGTTCGGTAGGTGCGGGTTCATGGTCTCCTCCAGCCTGATCTGGATCATCTTCATCGCCTCCATCAGAACCAAATTGTTCGCCATTTAAAGCTAGAGCATCTACATATTCTTGAGCTTGTTGTCCTGCAGGACGATCTGAGGCGCCAGTCTGTCCCGCTTGCGCTTGTTGCACCCCAGAGCCTGATGAAGTAGTTCCACCCTCTTGCTCTGGCGTTCGCAAGGGGGTAGGCGTAACGATACCCGCGGCTCCGCCCGGCGAGACCATTCCAATGGGCGGAGAGGGTGAGGAAGACAACGGCGCATGTGCTGCTGGTGCTACTGCAACCAGACCAGAACCGAGATAATCACTTTGTGCTGCAGCACCTACCAATATTAGACCTACGAGAAATCCATCTTCAGCAGCATCTTGTTGGGCCCTCTTTTCCCTTTAAAAACGGGACCGAGAAGATGCCTCCTGTGAGAAAATGGGAGATCATGTCGGACCGAGAAGATGCCTCCTGTGAGAAAATGGGAGATCATGTCGGAGCGAGATGAAGATGCCTCTGAAAATAAATGGGACGAGATTGATCATGGATTTTTTCTTGTAAGTACTTAGCCTTAACAATACCGATGGTGTCCCTGGTTGTCGCCTCTCGACTTCGTCTTCTGCTTCCTGCTCTTCAAACCAATCGTCCTCGCATTCAAGCCCAGCATCCCGGTCCAGCGCCATATGCCTTGCAAAATCCGTATCAGCCTCGAAAGCACGACTCGGACACGGTTCACGGAAAGAGATAACATCTGCTAAGTTTGGAGCCAAGTCCTTGCCTCCAGCTCCAAACTTGATGGTATAGGGTGCAATCCGCCAGCGTTGTTTCACTCCTACTTCACCGCTGACACCTGGATGTTCTGGGCCGTACCAGTAGTCCTCGTAGTCACCGAAAACAACTGTCTCATCAGGCGGATCTACAACAGGGAAGGACGAGCCTTTATTTCTGAAGAGGCGGGATTAGAACCTAATATATGTATATGGAGTATGTTGAGATAGATTGTAGGTTTTTGTTCAATTTTACTATCCTTGCTAATAGAATGTTACAACTGGCGGGTGTGGATCATGTGCTTCCCCTTGTGCCCTTGTTACCTCGTATAAAAGCTAGTACGGAGTGGAATGTTGCCCAGATCAGTATTCCGAAACTGTCGACGGGACTATTTAATGCCATGCTTCACTTCCGAAGAAGGGCTCGTAAAAACTACGTTGTATGTTGTTCTCGTAAAAAGAACTACGTATGTTGGATTCTTAATCTTATCTGAGAGATAGTATTATGAAGCAACTCGTTGACTTTGACTTTATACTTGAGGAATTGGAAAAATCTTGTGGAAAAAGAGACCCTGCTGTCCCTGATGAAAACTAGAATCTTCATAATTTGGAGAAAGTTTACATCCTTTCACCGCCACCTGCGTGTCCCTGTTTGACTCTGGCTTGCGGCGAAATAGGAAGTTGCTATTCGAGTTTATCGAATCTCGATCTTTCTTCGATTTGCTCCTTTCCTGTCGCATCAAGCATTTCTGAGTTAGTCGATGACGCAGCAAGTTGTTCGCGGTCGCGGTAAACGAGGAAATCGATGAATCTTCTTCAAGATGTATTGGTGCTTCACTTTGCACTACCACTAGTTGCTTCGTATCTTGTAAAGGATCCGGGATGTAGAACGGTTTCAAGAGTTTTAAGTTCTTGATTTTTCCGACTCCTGTTCCACCCGCCTTCTCCGTATCAGTATCTTCCTCGACTCCCGTGATCGCAGCTTCTAGAATGTGCATCCTAGACCGTACCTGATATTCAGCATCTGAAGACACGGCATTATCCCATAGACAGACACTGCCAGTCTCGATGCGATTTCCAGGCAATTCTTCACCGAAATGCGAATGAATGATGAACCGGATGTCCTTATCGAAGGTCGCTGTTGGAGGTGGTGGTATTTTATTTTTCATTTTTGTTTTAGATGAATATGCTGCTGTACTGGGTGGTTCATGTTGTTGAGGCGCTGACGAGGAACCATAATTCGCATTCGGGTATTGCGCATTCGCTGAAGAAGTAGTACTAGA